TTCCACACGCGCGTTGGGTGACCAGGGAAGAGCGGCCACGTTATACGCCGCCGCCCTGCTAGAGTGCTGTTCAAAAGTCCCTTTCCTGACAGAGTGTTGGCGTAGGTAGGTAGGGATTGGTGATGTTGTTATTTGTTTGCTTATCCTTACCTTCTCATGCGACAAAAACGGTCCGCAAACAGCCAACAGACGGGAACTTCTGCCCCGTGGCCAACATGCATAAATCTTTACGGAAGTCCCTCCTCCCGGGCCGCCGTCGGCGGCCGGCCGGTCGGCCGGGGGGCCAGTACACAAATCGGATATCCAAACTCTCTTCCCTACAGCGCAGATTGCATCAATTACACGCAAGACGGATACCGTTTGTCCCGCGTCCACCCTAAGGCCCCTTACCCGCCTGCGGGCTCCAGGCCAACCACCGCGGGGCCGACATGTCCGCATCGCCCGGCGCGCAGCAGTGCCGGGGAAGAAGAAAGAAATCAGGGCCAAGAATAGTATACGCTGACACGGCACCAACCAACGAGCTAGTTACGGATGACTGCCGCAACGTTTGTTTATTTGAAAGAAAACAGCGTCTCATTAATTCTTTTTCAAATCGATGGGTGAATTGACTAAGAGCAATATTCAAATCCTCGTTTTACAACTTCGAGTCATTTCCAGCAGAGTTAGACCTAGGGGATCTTTTGAAGCTGTGTCGTGCAGCGATGGCGAAACGAGACCGTTCTACCCGTTTGTTGTTTGTCTGGACCATTGCCGCGCGCGCGCTATCCCGCTGTCCGCAGCGCCTTTTCTTTTCTTTCTACGTGGTCTCGACTACCTTGGGGCGTGATATCACGACGAAACTACCCTACCCTCACCTGTTGAAACGTTCTGGCTGGCGCCCCGACGGGATATCTCACCCGTCGTCCGCGAAAAAGCCTTTCAATCCCTCACTAGGCACTATTTCCAAAACCCACCTCATCTTCTTGTGGTTCAAAGTTCTTTTTTAGAGGGAGGAGATGGAGTATGCGTATCACATCCAGGGGGGGGGCGGCCGGCGTGCATGATGGGGGCCGCTGGCCGGCTGATGGAAGAAAAACAACAAGAGAAAGAGAACGTCTCACGTGAGGATATCCCCATGCCGGTCCCATTCTCCGAGCGGGAGTGCTGCCACGCCATGGCATGGCATGGCATGTTACCGGCCCCCAACGCGCAGTGTGGATGGACATTGAACTAACCCCCAACATCCATTCTCACACCGCTAGATGTCGGTCATCTTATGGGTGGTGCTAAAAACAAGAACAGAAACGGGAATTGGGACCAGAGTTGGGGATGTGAGGAAGGCGAGGAAGAAGGGGTGACGCCGTTTCGGCAATTCTTTTTTGGTGGCAACGGCGGCGGCGTCGGCGGGGAGATGAGAAATAGAGAACCGGGTAACGGGTCCATTGGCATCCGCGCCCGATGTGCGTAGATGATGTGTGATTGTTCACCATGAGGTAGATGGAGGGTTGGTCGTGAACATTCTTCATCCACCTCTCCACCCTCGCGGTCGTAAGCCCATGTTCCTTCTCGCCTACCTTACACAAACGATGTAGATCAGTCGTCCTCCAAGGGACCAAAAAAAAGAAGGTAGAGAAGATGTGCTGCCTACCACTGAGAAATTCGCCGGGAAAGGAAACCGTTTCGCCGGACCGAAGACGGCCGGCCCGCCTGCTCGAATTCAACCTCCTCCTCGGATGATCAACCTTGGAAACTCCCATCGCCGATGGACTTAAGCACCTCATGATTCGATTCGACTCGGGAAAAAAAGCCACTGCTGCTCAAGCCCCCCTTTTTGGAGCACCACGGCACTAATCCGTGTATATCTCATGATTTGAATCGAACTCCACGACCGCCTCATCGAACGGGGTCCAGAACGGAAGGGGGGAGGAAGGGGGAGGGGGACTGGACGCAAGCAGACACCCGGTGGCCGTTGATCGGCCGGCAGAGCGGTTGAGGCTGACATTATCGAGTAGTCAAAAATCACGAAGACTTTTCAGATCCATGCCCCATTCTATCACTTGGCAAACAAGTTTGAGGTGATGGAGGAGGATGAGGCGTAAAGACCTGGAAGCATCTACGTGGGTGACAGGATCATCAGAGTTTACACATTTCGTTTATTCCCTCGCTTGAATACCGGTTGAATCATCCTGATAGACAACGGTATATGAGACATTGCTTAGGTGAGATAGAACCACCAGCCGAGAAAACGCCTTCACGACGGGAAAACGGCAGAATTGGCAAAAAAACGAGTTCTCTTCTTTCTTTTTCGTGTCCCATTAACCCGTCGCTCTACCGCAAAAAAAAAAAAAACCGGAACCGTATGCATCATCTTTTACTCCGTACATTAAGATTTACGACAAAAGGAAATTATGAGTGAAAGGCAAAAGGGGAGTGAGCGAGTCTCTCTCTCTCTGTCTCCTCTTCGCGGTGTGTTGAGCGTGACACGTTTCGGGGAGTGGAACAACAGGCTGCCTCATTGCCAGAGAAACGGGGCTGGCGGGACATGAGCGACGTTTGTGCCACGGCTCGCTTTCTCTGTGACCATGACATGGCATGAAACAGCCATCTCGAGTGAGCATTTTTGTATGTGTTGTGATGCGACGAGGCATCCGGGGAGGGGGTATGTGTTGTTGTGCCATCGAGTGCTCAGCCACCTTCGCAAACGCTTCCCGCCTTCCACCGACTGGTATGATGGGTAACCGCCCCGTGATTTCTCCCCCGAATTGGTAAAACATAAGGTCTGTCATGTTGATGGTGGTGGCCGGCCTGGTGACCCAAAAGTCAAGACATACTCCCTCCCCCGTACGGTATCCAGAAAAGCCAGTGTCATACTTTCAATTCGGATAAGAGTCTGCTGTGTTTATGTGTGCGAGGCGACTTGGACCTCCCACAAATGAATGAGAGTAACCCCCAAAATAAACAATGCACGCAGCGGTCCGTGGACGATCGATCCCATCAGAAGTACTCGACGCGCTGGTGGATGGGGACCTGGTGATGGACCATGGGGTACTCCTAGTGGCCATAGTATCCGTTCGAACGGCCCGTCCGCGAGTGCTGGTCAGGGTAGGTCTCGAAGTACGGGTGGTTGCAGGCGGCCTTGGCCGAGATGCGGCTGGCCGGGTCGTACACGAGCATCATCTCGAGGAGCTCAAGGCCCTCCGCGTCGAGATTCGAGCACAGCGGTTGAGACTCGTCTCGGATCCACTTGGGGAAGGAGCTCTTGAAGTCGGGGTACGACGTGACACCGGGCCAGACATCTTCGGTGGGCGTGCCGAGCATGCTAAGGGGAGGTTAGCGAGGATACGTGGAGAGTCGGATATTGGACGAAAGCTTACCGGAAGATCTTGAAGATCTCATCAATCTCGGAGTCACCCGGGAAGAGGGGCTTGCGAGTGCACATCTCGGCGAAGATGCAGCCTACGGACCACATGTCGACGCCGGTAGAGTACTGGCGACCACCGAGGAGGATCTCAGGGGCGCGGTACCAGAGGGTGACGACCTCGTGGGTGTAGGTGCGCAGGGGGACACCGAAGGCGCGGGCGAGACCGAAATCCGCCAGCTTCAGGTCGCCGTCCCTACTGATCAACAAGTTCTGGGGCTTGAGGTCGCGGTGGAGGATGCGTCTGGAGTGGCAGTAGCGGACGCCGTCGCAGAGCTGCCACATGAACTTCTGGATGACGTTCTGGCTGAGGCCGAGGCGGGAGAGGGACTCGGAGCTGCCCTCGGGCAGGGGCTTGCCGCGGCCGCCGTCGCTCACGGGCAGGGCCTCCATGTACTTCTTCAGATCGAGATCGAGGAACTCGAAGACGAGGTAGAGCTTGTGGCCATCGGCGTGGACGATGTTGAAGAGCTGGACGATGTTGGGGTCGCGCATCTCCTTGAGGAGGGAGATCTCGCGGATGGCGGTGGAGGGAACGCCCTCGTCCTCGGCTTCCAAGCGAATCTTCTTCAGCGCCACGATGCGCCCGCCATTCTGCAGGTCTCGAGCCTTGTATACGACACCGTATGTACCTGCAGAGAAGAAGAATTGTTGTTAGCAGGCAGATGCAAGGGGCAATCGATTGGGCTTGCGTCATTGTGCGCAGGGACGATGGTCACCGTGGAGGGTTGGGGGCACGGCTTACCTTCACCGATCTTCTCGAGCTTCTGGTAGTTCTCCATGATTGCGGTGAAGCAGGGGTAGCGAAGCAGGAACCAACGAGTGTAAGAACGATAAATTTCCGACTCAATTCGTCTGCCGGTTAAGGGAGTGTCGGATAGAACCGTCGTGGTCTAGGCGAAGGTTCTGTGGCGGGGTTCTGACTGAGGTCGTGGAGTCTCCGTTACCTCAGGGTCTAGGCCGAACGAGGGGCACAGCTAAGAGAGAGAGGGTCCGTTTCGGGACACGGGGGGCAACGCAAAGGGGAAGAGAAAAAAAAGACAGCCGGAAGTCGAGATACGAAGGTGCCGCTACGAGAGAAGAATCTCCATGGAGGAGAAGAGTCGGTCGGTCGGTCGAGGTTTGTCGGTGACGAGTTCGCAAAGGCCGGGCGGGAAGGGCGTCGTCGGGGGCGGATTGGGCGATGTTTTGTGGTGCTAAAATTGCAATTCGTTGTCGTTGTTTACTAGCAATGAAGAAAAACAAGGCGCGATCTGATCTCATCCAACCAAGACCGCTGCAGCAGGGTCGCGTCGACATTGTGGCGTGGGTTCCCCAGTGGGCTACCCGCGCTAGTCTTATCGATAGCAGCCTTATCGCCTAATCGGGTTTATCGATAAGAAAGTTTAGTGTCCGTGTTGGTGGGGTCCAAGACTCACTTGACGGATTTTGTCCCGCAGTTTCAGTGAAGGGCAACGTACGATTCGAGGGCCAGCAGAGGCAGCAAAAACAAATACATGAAAATTGACTCATGGATGCTATGATTCAATAACACAAGAGCTTTTTTTCAATCATCACTCGGTATCCTCGCCCGACACGCTACACCACATCCCGGCGACCCACAATGACGGCCGAAATCGTCGAACTCGACGCTCATGAGCAGCCCTCGGAGGAGATGCGGGCAAAGTGGAAGGGGTACTCAAGAGCAGACCAGAAAGATCTCATAAATGGAGACGTTCTCGATGACCCCAGATCACCAGCTCAAGCTGAGAAATTTTGTGTGGCTGGGAAGATAACCGTCGAACAACTCCAGACTGCATTCTCACGAATCAGTCCAAACGCCGTCGACACATCCTCGCTCAAGGAGGTTCCCCTACTTTATCACCCACTTCTGCCAGGTTAGCACTTACTGAACTCACTTTACAAGAATATCTTACTCATCATCGCAGGCCTCATTATCGTTCCAGACCTGGTCCCTCCCGAAATCCAGAAGACTCTGCTTTCTCTCATGATCAACCGAGATCTCAGCGTCCCAACACATCAAACAAACCTTCATCTTCATTATGACGTTCCTTACCCGAAAGCGTCTGATGGATCAGCGGAATCCTTCTTCTCCTACCCCCCAGACCAAACCCCTATTTTCACCCCAAAGGATCCCTCCGTTCACAAGCCCCTGTCCATCAAGCAAGTCATGGAGCGCCGTCTGCACTGGGTCACCCTCGGCGGACAGTACGACTGGACGAACCGGATATACCCAGAGGAGCGCCCGCCTGACTTTCCCGCCGACATTGCCGACTTCCTCGAGACGCTGTTCCCCGAGACGCTGGCCCAGGCTGCCATCGTCAACTTCTATACCCCGGGAGACACGATGATGATGCATCGCGACGTGAGCGAGGAGACCGACAAGGGTCTCGTCAGTCTGAGCTTCGGCTGTGACGGGTTGTTCATGATTGCACCCAACGAACCCGACAAGGTGTCGGACGAGGCTAAAGCTACCGGCAAGGAGTATCTCCTACTACGGCTCCGCTCCGGCGACGCCATCTACATGACGAAGGACTCGCGGTTCGCATGGCACGGCGTGCCAAAGGTTCTCAAGGGAACGTGTCCAGACTACCTTTCCGAGTGGCCTGCAGAGGACGGGAAGTATGAGGAGTGGAATGGCTGGTTGCAGAACAAGAGGATAAATCTGAACGTCAGGCAGATGAGAGACTAGTGGGACGTCCCAAGATTCCGGCAAAATGAGCGTTATATTTCACAGCCCTTCAAGATACCATGCAGTGTTCCAAACACACTCCTACACTATAGAACGAATGAAGTGTCAATTCTACATCCTCCATTGTGCTGCTCTCGCGAAGTACTCAGGCTCGCGCCTTGATCAGATCCGCAGCCTGTGGTATATCAGATTGCCATCAGAAACTCATTCGAAACACAATTCACTTACCTTCTCAGCAATCGCATACACAGTCTGCTGCGTGTAAGCGCCCGGCAAGTCAGGCTGCACACTAGCATCGACGACGCTCAGCCCCTTGACCCCATACACCAACAATTGCTGATCAACAACGCCCCCAAGCTCCCTGGGCAGCATGGCCGCGGTGCCTATGGGATGGAACGTAGTCGGGCTGACCAGTCCCCTGATGGCCTGGCTCAACCCCTCGAAGCTCGTGATGTTGGCACCGGGAGCCCTTTCGACGGGCTCGTACTCCGCCAGGCTCGTCTCGAGGAAGTACCTGCGCGTGAACCGGATGAACTCGACCTGGACGTCAATATCAGCAGGGTTGCTCAGGGCGCGGTAATCGACCACGGGCTCCTTGAAAAAGGGGTCGGCGGGGTCGATCTCGACGGTGCCGCGGGAAAGGGGGTGGAGGTTGACGAAGGAGGACTCGGTCTGGGCGCCGCGGAGGAAGAGGTTGTAGAAAGCAGCGCCGCGGGAGCGCATCGCCTCGGCGAGGGCTTTCTGCTGGGCTGCGTAGCCGGCGATGACGGTTGAATCGGTGCCCTCTGGAAGGTAAGCTGCCGGGTCCTGGGATTCGTAACGTGAGGCAATCTGCTCAAATGTTTCTGGGGCTATGACGGAGAGGGGTAGGAAGCAGGCTGCGTTCCCGGATGCTATCGTCAGGGGTCCTTAATTCCGTCAAAGTCAGCGATCTTATTGCTCTGGAGTTAGCGAACAATCAATCACCTGTGCGATTCGCCTCAAACTCTGCTTCAGCTTCGTCGATGAAAGTTTGGTTCGTCTGAAGATCCGTCGGGTCGGGATGAACGTCGAACTTTGTGTCTTACATCCCGTTAGTTTCGTATTAAACCCTCGCCAGCCTACTCACAATAGAATGTAGCACCCGGTCCTAGGGGGTGGTCCTGGAAGTTGTGTCCCACCCCAGGAAGGTCAACCACAACATCAATGCCAGCAGCTTCCAGAAGAGTCTTTCCTCCAACGCCGCTCCTCTGGAGAATCTGAGGCGTATGGATCGTTCCGGCGGCGATGATCACTTCCTTCTTGGCCTTGACCGTTCGGGCACCCTCGGCGGTTGTCGACTTGGCATCCATGAAAGACACGCCGACAGCCGTCCCGGCTTCAAAGAGTACTTTGAGAACCTTTTGACCGGTCACTGTCTCGTAGTTGTCTCGGACGGCTTCCACTTCGTCCCAGTGTCCATTTCTCGACATCGACCGGGTCATGGTCGACGGGTCGGCGGACGTGGGATACCAGAAAACTCCTGGTTCACCGGCTCCTGAATCGGCCGGGTACTCGACTCCTTCGATCTCTCCGAAAGCAGCCACTTCAGTCTCTGCAGACTGTTCTTAGCAGAGTGTTGCATCTATGAGAGAAGGACACATACTGAGCATCGGGTAGTGAACTGTCGGGAAAGAAGCATGGATGTCCGCCGAAGCGCCCCAGAAGCTCTCGTCGTACTTGATAGCAAACTGTTCGGCCAGCTGAGGGGTAGGCGGGTGAAAGTGCCATGCCTCCGTTCTGTCAGAACTTCCAGACAAGCTCTATTCAGGCGAGACTGACGAACCTTTTTAAAGTAGGGCAAGAGGCCGTCCCAGCTCCATTCCGAGTTGTCGCCAAAGTAAGCTCCCCACCTGTCGTAGTCCTCTTTCTGGCCGCGGTGGACTTGCATACCGTTGACGCCAGAGGAGCCACCGAGCATGACACCGCCAAAAACGGTGAAATTGCGGCCGTTGAGACCCTCTTGAGGCACGGAAGGGAAGGCGAAGAGGTGAGAGGGGTCGCGGAAGGCCGCGGCACCACCGGCGACGGTGTTCACGGAGGATGAGTTGTCTACTCGCTGGTTAGGAGCTCTGTGACATGTAGACGAACTGGTGGGACTCGCCGAATAGACCAAGCTCGATTACTAGAACATTGTCTTTCGAAGTAATCTGGTTAGCGACGGATCTGAGATGAACCCGTCTGGGTACCCACGCTCTTCGTCTTCTGTGAGTCTGTCGGCAACCGTCAATCCTGCCGTACCTCCCCCAACAATGACATAGTCGTATTCGGTCTTCACGTCAACGGCTCTGGTCAGCAGTTTCGAGTGTGCGATGGACTGCGGTATGCTCAGAGCCACAACAGTAGTGACAGTGAGGGCCCAAACAGCCACCTTCGCCATGGATAAAGGTATGTACGTCATGATGAGCGTAGATATAAGATATCGAGCACGGTATTGAATAGAAAGTGCCTTTGGAAGAAAATGAACCAGGACACATGCCGGAAACGAGTCGCTCTACACATCATGTACATGACCTGGACAGATTGTGTGAATTCGCAACTTAGACTCATAGTATCAGACCCCTATCACATTAACCGGCTCGGTAGTCCTTTGAACCTCCTGCGAATAGCATCCCCGCTTCATAAATGATGTGCCATGGCTCATGAATGTAAGGTTGGAGGCCGAGTGTGACGGTAGCGAGAACCGAAACTGCAACACAAAGTCTTTCCGCTCAATCATGACTACTCAATTCGTGTAAGCGAGGGCACATCCCCAAGCTTACGATCGTCCATAAGCAAACAGATTTCGGGATGTTGATGCAAGGGCAGGAATGCCCGTATGCCGGATAAATAGTTTGCTGGCGCGCCGAGATGCACCAATCCTGCTCTTTCGTGATACTGACAGGGGAGTACACTACGATTGCGGCATTCCGAACTTGTCAGGCCAATAGATATGAAGCAGGACGTGATAGGTTGCATCTCGGGGTGGGATAGTAGCTGCGCCGCTGGCATGCATCGGGTCAGACCATGTGACTGTCTGTCTCCGGAGCGGGGAAATATTTCGAGGAGGGTATCGGGCGCCCTCCCTCGAGCGTGGTCGAGTTTCCCCTACCAATTTGACTCATTAAGAGATTGACCTCTCACGTGCTGACCGCATATGGGTGTCTGGTATTGGGATGATACACATGGTAGCAGAAAGCTGGAGCGGGGAGTCTTGTGAAGCAGTTGAGGTGTTTAAGTGGGATTTGAAATCACCAGCCTACTTGCTTATCCTCATTTCAAAACGCAAGACATGACCTCGATGAGACCATGTCGTTCATGTGTCAATGGACTTATGAAGGCCTCAACAGTGAGCGTTTGTCAGGGTAAACATGATTCAAGAACGTCTTTGCGGCCCCGTCAAAATCAACAGATAGATATTCATCCTCCAGGCATCATGTCTGGGAGTTTCACATGCCAGTCGTCTTACTCGTTGCTGCTTCTGTTGTTGCCTTTGCATTTCATCCAACACTCGCACTCGCTGGCATTCGCTGCATGTTCATATCCCGGACGCAACCACAAAGTCAGTGTCTGGAAGCTAGCATGTCATCGGTCTCAAAGAACAACCTTCGAACTGGAGAAATCCAAGTCATCAGACTGTAAACTTCTCTGAGAAGGGTTCGAGGCGCATTCTGTGGCATATCGACACCGCGCAAACTGGCCCAAAGTATCACCGACACCATGAACCCAGACCATTCGTGGCGGTGTCGATCAACGACATGAGCCAGACCAGATTTCCTCTATCCGATTCAGACCATTCCATCGAAAGCTCATTCTTACATCCGGCACGGTACTGCTGCCTGGACTCGCGAGTGGGACTAAGTCAAGTGGACTCGGACTACTCTGACTTGGAGTCGTGGCTGCGCCTCAACCAGCCCTCGACTAGCTCGCATCCCACACCACTGGGAATATTCGATATTCAACGGCGGGGCTCGGTTCTACAGATCTTTTATATCACCATAAGCTTGCGTGACTTTTGTTTGCTCGTAACGAAGCAAGGAAACACCCCCTTCCCTTGAGATATGTGCGCGTGCCTGCGAGTCTGCCTTCGTGAGAGCCTCATAGGGGCGACGCTAGGAATGCGGAATTTCGACTATGCCTTTCCAAAATCACGAACAATCAGGCCGAGTGTGGTGAAAAATCTCCAGACCATACCGACGATACCATACACTAAGGAATCAACCTTGCTCTGGATGCATCTCGGTACCCTTGAACAACACACGTCTCAAGGGCACTCATGCTCGTGTCCACTCAACCTTGATCTCACTACATAGGCTTACTAGCTGTTAAAATGGCCTTCGGACGGTGAATGGTACTGAGCCCCAGTTCCTCACTCCTAGTCGAGTAGGCAGTGCCACTGGTCACCAGTCAGAAACAAGGATAGCATCGTATATGTACGGCACCGTGGCATAAACGGCCTGACGTGAGTATGTTTTGTAGACTACCTACTGAAAGTACATACTATACCTTCGAAGGAAGCCAGTGGCCACATGCGAGGGTATCAACAACAGATGAACAATGTACATGAATGTGGAAAAAGGGGATCGGACTTGACGAGTTTCCACCAAAATCTCATCACCTCTGCTACACGGTGTAGCCGGCGTAGATGGGGTAGGTAGCGTACTCCCACGGCACAGCCTTCTGGAGAAGCTGGTAGTCGAAGCCGTCACCACCACCGCTGACGTAGAGGAACTTCGTGAAGGCAGCAGAGGCGTAGTAGGAGAACGGGGTGCCGGCAGGGACGAAGACGACGTCGCCCTGGATCAGGGTGACAGGGTCGTACCCCTCGACACGAACGACCAGCGCGCCCTCCTCGAGTTGGAACGCGACGGGCTGGGCCAGGTTCGCCTTGGTGGCCGTCTGGTTCGACAGGAGAAGGCTCACGGTGGCGGTGCCCATGGTGAAGTTGCCCGCGGTCTGGTTGCCGGTGGCCATGGGCGCGAGAAGGTGGTAGACGCCGCCGTCGGCGTTGAGGTACTTGGGCCCGCGGTTCTTGGCGATGAAGTTGGGCGTGCCGGCGTCGGCGGCCAGCTCGTTGGCGGCGGTGTGCCAGGTGGAGGCGCCGCCGGCGCTGCCGTTGACCAGGTCCCTGCGGGGGTTGAAGTCCAGCTGGGCGTAGACGTCGAAGGCCTCGAGGGCGGAGATGAGCGAGGGGTCGGAGCCGACGGAGCCGTTGGAGGCGGCGGGGACGAACTCGGCGCCCGTGGAGGAGCTGAACTCGGAGTTGGCGATGGTGACGAAGAGCTCCTCGAAGCCGCCGGGCTGGATGACGCCCGTGAGCTGGGTGTCCGGGTCGGTGATCTGGAAGGTGTGGATGGTGTTGTGGGGGACGGCGCCGTAGTCGCCCGGGGTGAGGACGCGGGCCTGCTCGCCGGTGGAGTTGGTCTTGGCCCAGAGCTGGAACTGGCCCTTTGAGCAGTAGAAGTTCTCGTAGTGCGCCTTGTGGATGTGAGGGAGGACGCCGAGGTCGCTGGAGCCCGGGGCGTTCGTCTGCATGAGGGTGAAGGCGCCGGCGGAGGCGTTGCCCGTGACGGAGAAGCGGTAGACCTGGTCGCCTACTGAGACGGCGCGGCCTGAGCCCTTGCGAAGGACGTAGGGCTGAATGGTGTCCGGGGCTTGGTCGAGGACGAGGTCCTTGGAGGTGCTATTGCCCTTGGCAAAGGGGCCTTGAGGGGCCGCCGCCACGAGGGAGACGCCAGCTGCGAGGGTCGTGATGAGTCTCATGTTGGCGATGCTGCATGCAGACTCGTTCTCAGGTGGGTTGGTGACTTAACGAGAGACTTCTGAGCGAGAGGAGGGATCGACGGCTGGGTGAATACCATGTTTACGAGTTGAGGACGAGAGGTCTTATAAGGGGACCACAGTTGCTACGGGATGTGGCCGGACACTGGCGATTCGCTCGGAATCCGAGCCGTTGTTCTATGTCGATTGCGAAAGGGGTTTCCTAATCGCTGCAACCCTGGCCGCAGATATTGCTTGTTTCCGCGTTGCATACCGTCGCGGACCTCCAAGTCTCGCTCTTCTTCATAAGGCTCCGCTGACTAACATGTTTCTTGGAGTGCAAAGCGTCGTCTTATCCCTCAAAACGGCCCCGTTTCGTTCCCATCGGCCCGCTGTTCGTCCCATTTGAAGGTGACGATCGCAGGGGTGACGGGTATCTAGCATGAGGTGAGCCAGGGGTTAGATGAGTTGAAGAGCGCTTCAACGAATAGAGGCCGAAGTTCACGCCGAATGGTACCCAAATATGGGAGGGATGTCGCCTGTGGACGGCACTTCTTGATGATGAGAAGGGGACGGTTCCCACAAGGTTGACGTACGCGATCGGATAACCCGAGATCCACCTCCGGAATTCCCGGTATCACGCCAACGAGGGTTTTCTGAGGAGAGTTCCTCGATTGGAACGGGCCGGCCCTATTGAACGCCGAGCGCCGAGATGTACAATTGATTTCGATGGAAGACTTTGACTTTGTCGAGGGATACCACCTTCCTTCACCGTGAGGATGGCCGTGACCGTGACAGACAGACGAGTCGATTCTTGAACGAGCAAAAGGAAGACAATCATAGGAGAACCACCGCTTGAGAGCTTCACGTATCTGCGAGTCTGCGGCGCAATTTGCGGCGTGACGGAGTGAGCAGGCAACGGTGGTGATTGGCCTCGCGAGGACTTTGCGCCAGTAAGTTTTGGACAGCCATCCGAGGGTTCGTGATGCGGCAAAGCTCTAGGTTCCGTACAGAGTGAGAGTGAATCAGACGCCCTGATACGAGATGGCGGTGCTTGAAGAGTATTGTATTTTGGCAATCCTCTGGCGCGCCGCCGCTTATGAATGCCCTTCTGACAAACGAAATCGACGCTTGGCCATCTCTGAGCCTCAAGCTAAGCTTTTAGTTGGAGGTGAGCTTCAGTCACTTGACCGGATGGCGCAGGATGCCTTATCCGTCATAACGTCAGATCTGCCCGCCGAAATTCATTGCTGGTGTAGTGTCGCGGCTGCGCATTTGTAATGGTTCGTGCTAGTTATCCCCTGGCTCACATGGTTGCGGAACCTGGGGGTTGAAAGTTGAAGTTGATGAAGCAGAGCCCCAATCTCGATGTCTACTATGTAGACAAGCTTGGATGTAAGTGCCCAATAGGAGGGTACCTAGAACGCCCATGAGCCTGGCTGCCTTGATTTCGAGTTGATCCGCTTGACAGACGATGAACCTACCTGAGCACCCTAGCAGGGGTTGCTGAAGAAGTTCCAGTCCCCCGGGACCACCCCAGGTGGCGTTGCCAGAGCCTCAATGTGGCAGCCATGTGTCGTGTGGAGGAGGGCCCCTGGGCCCCTGGCAGACGTCTGTTTTTGTAGTATGGCGGTGAATTGTATATTTGGTGGTTTGTAGTGTGAGGTATGATGTGAGTGACAGTCAATGACTGAACACAAGGCCTCAGGAGTCAGAGGTAGGGAGAGCGCATCAAAGCAAATCCGCTTGCGGGCGGTTTGCCTGAAGTGATGCTAAGAAGGGATCTTGAGGTCAGTTGCTTGAAAGAAGGAGTACGGCGGTATAAAGCTATCGAGTTTGACAGCAGAGGTAGGTAGGTGTTTGTCGATGCTCAAGATAGGTGGGTGACAGAAGCAAGCGGTAAAACGTCACGTGTGTGAAACAATATTGACAAAGGCTACTTGCTGCAGGGTATGTTTTTTTTTTGGGATTCTATTGGGAAAAGCGATATCAGAGGATAAAGGAAAAGGTACCTTACACTGTACCTGAGGGAGAGGAAAACGCCTGCTGTCAGCCCAATGGGACGAGGTCTGCTTGCCCAGTCGCGCTAGCCCTAATCAGGACTGGCGGCTGACAGGGCACCATCAGCCCCCTCTCTTTCTTCCCCAGCCTGCTCATTACTCTCCCAATAGATGGCCCCTGGCTTCTGCCGCTGCCTGGTCGTCAGACTGGGCCAACATCAAGTATTTGCTGGACACCTCAGCTCTGCAGCTCAACCAGAGGTGTTATTTGGGGACCCGGCGCTTATCCGTTGGTACTCTCATCCTCCAACCCACCTAACTTTCATCCCTTTACCACTGTCCTATTGTCGCATTCATAGCTAGGTAGCTCCGGTCGCGATCCTTTTTCTACTTCACCATGTTTGCGGGGTCAAAGGGGGCCTTCCTTTGATTGAAAAGTCCTCAATACCCTCCCGCCTGGAATACGCAGCTGGTGACACTCGCAAACCTGCTGTTTCATCGACAAAGACCACGGTGCTGTGAATTACCGCAGATACCAACGCTCAAAGAACTCAAGAAGCGCATCGCCCACTCAACCATATGGGTAGTCTCTGCTCAAACATTGAAAAGGACGATGCGCCTGGCGAAAAGGATGGTCAGGCTCAGAGACGGAACAGCAAAACACTCACCCGACAATCCTCCAAGCGCCTGCACAAGAAGATATCTCATCGCCTCCACCGACAACGCAATCAATCTACATCACCAGAAGACGACTTCATGACCCATCATCAAGCAGACAAGAACATGGCGCAGCAAATCATCGCCGCCCACGATGAGGTCATCGACAAGACTCTCGCCAGCCTTGCCGCTGACCCCGAGCTCACGCGCCGCCTCAAGCGCTCGGCTGATAAGCTTGACGAGTTCGACAACGTCCAAGATTACATGGCCCGCAGAGCCGACATGCAGCACCGCGAGGCCGCCATCTCGTTTGACTTCAGACGTACAGTGTTGGCGAGCGAGAAAGAGCGCAAGGCAAATGAGATTCTGCAGAATCTCAAGAAAAGTGACAACGACAAGGTGTATGCCGCTCAAAACGCCGCTGATGACAAAGATGGAAAAACGAGGAGGGGATGGGGTGGCCAGAAGCACGAGCGATACGCCGGCGACCACTTCCTCTCCAACGTTGACTTGATTCCAGAGACAGACTTGTACAAGGTTGCGCGCAAGATGCCCAAGGGCGCGCACCTGCATATCCATTTCAACTCTTGTCTGGAGCCAACTGTGCTTTTGAACATTGCCAAAGACATGGATCGCATGTTCATCATGAGCGACAAACCGCTGAACGAACCGCTGGCGCCCGCAAACGCAGGCACAGCCAGCACGGAAGAAGCCGCAAACGCAGGCAAAGCCAGCACAGAAGAAGCCGCAAATTTGGCAAATTTGGCTCTTGATAGCTGCGAGATTAAGTTTCAAATCATGTCAGCCGAGGACGAAACAGATAAGAAGAAAGAAGCAGCCGAGGCGAACAAGAAAGCCAAGAATAACAAAAACGCCGACGATGAAGCAAACGAGGAACTGTACAACCTTTTCTCGCCCACTTATGCATCATGGGGGCCGATGAAATATACGGAATTCCTCAAGCAATTCAAGAAGACCTACGAGAAAGACCCGGAGAAATGGCTTGTTAGCAAGCTGGTGTTTCATGAAGAAGAAGTTCATAATCACCTCCAGACGGTTCAGGGGTAAATACACATGCCATTGACGTACAGAATCTCAGCTGACCAGAACAGTATATGGGCAAAGTTTGACGGACGTACGAGAATGATGAAGGGGCTCTTCAACTACGAGGAGGCGTATCGCGCATACACTAGAGCCCTCCTGGAGAATTTCGTCAAAGAAAATATCCAGTACGCAGAGATCCGTCCAAATTTCATGGATACAAATCAAGTGTGGACAAACGACGGCCTGGGCCAGTTCAAGAACGATGACATCATGGAAATCATCATAAAAGAGTACGAAGCGTTCCAGAAAGAGACAAACGGCTATTTTGGTGGCATGAAAGTGATTTACTGCACGCCTCGATCGTTCAGCACCGAAAAGGTTCAGGCTGCTCTCAACGAGTGCCTGGAATTCAAGGACAGGTGGCCCCAGTGGATTGCAGGTAAGCACGCTCTGCCCGTGATCTATGCGAAAGACTGGCGACTAACTAAATAGGGTTCGATTTGGTCGGCAACGAAGCCAAGGGGAAGCCGCTCAAGGCGTTTATCCCCGAGTTCTTGGAGTTTAGAGAGAATTGCAAGAAGGCCAAGGTTGACATTCCGTTCCTCTTCCACTGCGGCGAGACGAACGAGATTGGTGGCGACACAGACGGCAACCTGGTGGATGCCCTGCTGCTCAACTCAAAGCGCATCGGCCACGGCTTTGCTCTGCCCAGGCACCCCTACGTCATGGAGCAGATGAAGAAGAAGGGCATCTGCCTCGAGGTGTGTCCCATCTCGAACGAGCAGCTCGGCCTCACGCCGAGGATCGGAGGCCACGCCATGTACAACCTCCTCGCGAACAATGTGCACTGCACTGTCAACTCGGACAACGGGACGCTTTTCAGGTACGTCCATCACCAGGAGTGGCTGCGGAATGAAGGTGGAACGGCGTTTGCTAACGAGGTCCACAGATCAAGCCTCTCTCACGACTTTTACCAGGTCATGGTTGGGAAGTCCGACATGACGCTGCACGGCTGGAGACAGCTGATCGAGTGGAGTTTAGAGCACTCGTGCATGTCCAAGGAGGAACTGAAACCCGTGTATGCAAAGTGGGAGGAGCTGTGGGAGGAGTTCCTTGACTGGATCATCAGCGAGTACGCCGAACCCGCGTCAGAGGACAAGAAAGTGTCGGCCTGAGGTGGACGCGATGTTTCTCCTGCTTCGATTCTTCCCGAGATACCAAGCCACGCTGAGTAGAAACGAATTGATGATGCACGGATTGGATGACTTCTAGAGGGGCCTGAGGTTCTGTGTGGTAGAGGAATTTTTTTTTTCTTTTTTTTTTCGGGGGTTAGTCACGTAAGAGGAGGATTCATAGTTTTCAAGAAGGAATTGCAATCTCCTATGCCTTCTGAGCCGCGCAAGCCGCCGCGAGCGAGGCAGAATCAGACGCGCGAGGTTCCGCTCCGGGGACCGTTGAGCCGTGTCAGCATGCGGCTCTGCTAACAACCTTACTTCGTCCGTACCTCAAAGGACTTTACCAACCTGAGAGACGTCACTCTGCGTAGGTACCTGGTGAGGAGGATGTGGCTACCTCGGCAGATGAAGTTATCCGCTACGGGGACCTAAGTCTTGGCACGCGACGAGATCGACAGAAATCGGTACCAAATGCACGTACCGCGGAATACTCTGAGAAAAGAACATCACGGTGCGAGGACGGACACACTCTGAATCCACTCCGACGAGTGCTGGACTTGATTGAAACCCGCGGTGCCATGTAGTAGCTGTGGCGACCCAAACTGTCATCTCCGCACTTTATCAAATTTAGGCTTTTAAGCTCAAGGATGGGGGTGGTGGGACCCTCCCCAGGCTGGGGGGCGCCTTACCCGCTCCACGGGCCGAACTGTCTGAACCCACCTTCAACTGGGGACACGGGCTCATGCCCGTCTGCAACATTCGATTCCGCACTCCCCACTCGTTCGTCCCTTCTCCTCGCAGGGCTGGCGATGAGGCTTTGTGATGGGTTGTGCTGGTGGGAGGGATGAGGAGGTGGTTGGGCTGTTCGGCGCCTAGGTATCGCCTGAGAGGGCTGGCCAGGTGGGTGTGGCCTGGGCCCGGGTCGCGAACCGAAAGAGGCCGGGTTGGATTTTGAGAGATGACGTTTAGTTTTGATGTCTTCTTTTACCAGCTCCTGGTCTCCGGATGTCAGGGCGTTGTCCAGTGGATGGGGTGGGGTGACGGAGACATGCGGCTCTACTGGTAACCCTCGGTGTCTGTCCTTGCTGTCGCTGCTGTCATTGCGACTACAGACGGGGATGGAAACAGACACCACGGCGGCGATGAGACTGGAGGAAGCGCGGTGGTAGCCATGTACTAAGAGGTCTGAGATTCGGGGTAGGCTGTACGAGCCAGTTCCCCAGGGTGCCGAACAACTGCTCATATCTTTGCAAAGAAAGTGACGGCAAAAGACTTGCAGTCTACGTATTCAAACTCCAGAACGATGCATTCAGAACTTCTTCTATTCTATTCCCTCGGAATCGTTGGCATAAGCCGACGCCGGCTCTATGATAATTATGCGGCCTAAAGCAGATGCCTTTTCTCTTTTCCACTCCTCTTCCACCCGGAATGCAGTGATTTGAGCGGGATTTACAACGTCAAGCAAGGTCAACCACCCACCCAACCCCCTTACCCTCATCTCCTCAAGTGAAAGAACCGAAACATGATTTTCTTTTGGGGGACCCCAAACTCCAAGGCCAAAAAATGACAGACACAACGCACGGAGAACCAGTCAGCCAGCAGCCGCTTAGAAGTCAAACTTGATGCCCTTCTTGCTGCTAATGTCAATCATGCCGCCGCGGTAGGCGCCGCGCTTCTTCTTGTTCTTCTCCTTGGTGAAGCCCTTGCCCTTGGTGACGATGAGGTCCTCGTGGGCGCGCTGCGAGTAGTCGTTGGGCACGTACTCGTTGCTGGCGAAGCGGTCGTCGACGTGGACGTCTTCGGGGATGCGGGAGAAGGGCTTGTTCGGGACCACCTTGCCGCCCTTGCCATTCTTGCGGTTGTTCTGGTTGCGGAAGGCGACCGGGTCGGGGGGCAGGGGGGGCTCGGCGACGGGGGAGGTCTTCTCGAGGGTCGCGGAGGAGTTGGAGGCGGTGTCTGCTTCCTTCTTCGTCTTCGTCTTCTTCTTGTCGTCCTCCGAGTCGGAGTCGGAGGAGGATGAGTCGGAGTCGGAGTCGGGGAGGGGGACCTTGGCGGCCGTGGAGCCGTCGGAGTCTGAGTCGCTGTCGGAAGAGTCCGAGTCGGAAGAGGATTCCTCGCTGGAGCTGCTGTCTGAGCTGGAAGAGTCGGAGGAGGAGGAGGAAGAGCTCTTGGTGCTGGCGGGCTTCGTCTTCAGCTTCTTAGCCTTGGGGGCCTCGTCTTCAGAGCTGGACTCGTCGGAGCTGGAGTCGCTGTCGCTGCTGCTATCGGAGCTGCTGCTGTCGGAGCTGCTGCTGTCGGACTCGGGGGCCTTGCGCTTCAACCCCTTCTTGGGCGCAGGCTTCTCGTCCTCGCTGTCGCTGTCGTCGCTGCTGGAGTCGGAGCTGGAGCTGCTAGAACTGCTGGAGCTGTCGCTCTCGGCGCCGGCGTCGGCCATCTCCTCGTCGCTGCTGCTGTCATCGCTCGAAGAGCTGGAGTCGGAGCTGCTGCTGCTCTCGTCCTTCTTCGCCGCGGGGGCCTTGGAGGTGGTCTGCCACGACTGGAAGACGGCGACGAGGTTGGGGCCGGCGACAACCTGCTTCTTGGACGCCTTCCAGCCGCTCTGGGCGCGCTGCTTCTGGAATGCCTCGTGGGCCGAGGTGAAGGCGTTCTCGGAGAGGAAGGAGTCGACGAGATCCATCAATTGGTCGGGGGGAGACTGCTTGGCGGGCGCGGCGGCCTTGCTGCCCTTCTTCTCCTTCTTAACCATCTTGTCTTGGGTCTGGGGTGTCGCGGTGACGGGTGCGGTTGCAGACGGAGCCTTGGCTTTGGAGGAGTTGTTGGAAAAGAGCCAGGGAGGAGGACCAGAGGCTGACATGTGCGTCGGGTCGGTTTGCAAGATGTGTCCTGGAGTGGTGATGTTCCAAGAAGAAGCAATTGAGTCTGTGGCGCGCAGCAACTTCCTCGGTGAGGGATGGATACAGGCGTAGTCGGTCTTCACCTGGGAAAATTTCTGTGGAAAGCCAGCGCCGGCGAGTCGGTGTCTCCAAAATTTTTACGCCGTCTCCCGTCGGGCGGTACCCCTGCCCCGCGACTTTTTTTTTCGCGCCAAATTCTCTTATCTTATCGCGACAACCCCGGTATGCCGATTTATGTATGTACGCATATCATTGGCCAGTCCCTCCAGTTGCTTGTTGGTTGCTCCCCTCTCTAGCGTGCCACGCGACAGGGGTGGAAGCTCATTGCCCGATCAGCGACAAGTCTTTGTTGACTTTTGATGGTTTGATGGTCGGGCGCCTACAATTGCAACCTTGGCGACAAAGCACTGTCCTATTTCTGGAGTCCGTTCCACGTCGAAACAGGGACACTGCGGTGAATCTTAAAAGACTCGTTTCCCCTCACATCGTTGGTTCCGCCCGTTTCTTCGCCGCTCGATTACCCGCCCTGCAGAAGCCCAGAACAGCAAGCGCCGTCCACTGCGGTCACATCGTACCACCGACCGAAGATGAACGCGACCAAGCGCAAGTTCAACTCCCTGATCCAGGGCATGGGCAGGTCTTCAAAAGCGAGCGACGAATCGCCCAGCTTGCCGACCGAGTCCCCCCGACCATCGATGACGTCTCTGCCGACCTCGAACGCGAGCACCGCAAACACGGAAAACAAGACGCCCATGTCGATCGAAGAGGATATCCTGCTGAAGCGCCGGCGCCTGCAGGCCCTGACGGAGAGGCGGCCCACGATCAAGAACACGACGACCGGCGTCGCCGCGACAACGGTCTCGAACGTCGTGCTGAAGAAGTGGTCGCAGGACTCCAAAGAGCCAGTGGTGAAGGTCTTGTCGAAATACGCCCCGAGCGACCGGAGCGAGCTCCTCAAGAGGCTGGCGAGCTTCCAGGAGATCACCGATTGGACGCCCAAGCCGGACAGAGTCAACGAGGTGGAGTGGGCGAAGAGGGGATGGATGTGCCAGGGCAAGGACCGGGTGCGGTGTACGCTCTGCAACAAGGAGCTCGTCGTGAAGCTCAACAAACGCGAGGTTGACGGCAAGGAGGTGCCGGTCCTGGTTTCGTCCGACGTTGGTAGGTCCACGATACCCCCTTCTGAACGTCCGTATATAAACTGATTGGTGAAGCAGAGGAAGCCTTGGTGGAGAAGTACTCGGACCTGATTGTCACGGCACATCTGGAGGAGTGCTTGTGGAGGAAACGTGGATGCGATGGTAGGCCACATTGCTTCCATGTCTGATTTTGTTACTGACTGGGTTAGACTCACTTTTGCGGCTATCCCTGACCAACGCCAAGTTAAGTATGGAGGCCTTGCGGCAAAGATACGATGAGCTGTGCGGAAGAAAGTCCTTCTTGCCGTACGAGTTCAATCTCAGACTCCCCGACGGCCTGGACATCGATATCGTCCTTACTCAACTACCAGACGACTTCTTCACGGTGCCTCCACCTGCCAAAGACTCGCCAGACCCCAAGCAACCGAATAGGGTCGCCCTCGCTCTCGCCTTGACTGGCTGGCAGGGCCTGAACAACCCACGCATCGGCGCCGTACCGAATTCTGCCTCTTGTCACACTTGTCTGAGGAGACTTGGCCTGTGGATGTTCAAGAGCAAGGAGGTCAACGCGGACGGGGAAGTTCTCGTCCCGGCGCCGATGGACCACCTAGACCCCGTCAGGGAACACCGCTTCTTCTGCCCTTGGAAGAACCCGATGACGCAACGTCTCGGTGCCGCCAAACCTGGTTCCGAGTCGGACATGGCGGCTTGGAAGTGCCTGGCGCAGGTGCTCAAGAACGACGCCTACCTACGCGGGGCTCTCGACGACCGCCCGAAGAACAGGGCGTGGCACAACAGAGGCGCTTCGGTGCCATCGACCCCCGTTCGCAGAGGTGGCGCCGCGCCATCGACGCCAGGCGGATATGATTCTCCCAGCGCCGCCACGGAGCCAGCAGGCGAAGACGACGAGAAGGCCCGAGACGCCAAGGACAAGGAGCGCTGGGCTCGCCTGCGGAGGGTGAAGAGTCTCTTCGAGTCGAAGAACGCCAAGAAGCTCCGTCGGACGCTTAGCAGGCCCGGGACGGCGCGCTCGTCGGCCACGGTGGCGACGACGGAAACGGAGAAGGATAAGGCGTGATGACGACCGATGGACTGACTGTATTATACAAGCTACTCGCTTGATATTGATTCTGGGACGGGAGGAGTTCTTGCTGGCTTTCGGAGGACGGTTGGTCCTACGTGGTGTCTTAATTAGCTAGAATACCCATATGGCAAACATAACGAATACGTTTTGCTCTTCGCCTCCTTCGGCTGTCTATTATCATATCTATGGTACATATAGTAGTTTCAGCATTCGTCCAAGTGTTGAGTTGCACGTCTTCTAGAAGGGTATCATGTCCTCCGGTCCAATCGAACACTAACATATACGTAACTCACGAGCTCCAGTCCCCAAACTTCTTCTGCAGCTCCTCGTACGAAAGGATCTCCCCTTTCCACGCCGTCGGATCGCTCTCCATGGCCTTCCCAGGCTTCTCCCTCTTCTCCCCACTCATCTCCTTCTCCTCCCCTGCCTCAGCCCCTGTCTCGCCAACCGTCGTCTGCTCTCCCTCGACCTCTAGCTCTTCCACATCGGGCTCTTCCACCCCCAGATCCCTCATCGTCGCACGATCCAACGGCGCAACAAACTCCCTCAAGCCAATCATTTCCAAAATCTCTATCCTGACCCCCGCCATCCCCGGAATCGCCGCCGCCATCGCGTGCCCCGTCTCAGACGCCAGCTCCTTGGGCCTCTCCATCTTCGCCGCGGTGAGATGGATCCTCGGCCCCCACCCCTCCCACCCCGTCCTCGCAAACGCCCTCTCCACCTCCCTCAGCCTCATCTCGATCCCGCCCTTCTCAGACCGCCTCCCCCGCGCCAGCGTCTTGTCCATCTTCGTAAACACCACCATCGCCGGCCGCCCCGCCTCCGCCACCAGCCTCATCACGGCCTCGTCCTGCGCCGACACCCTCTTCTCCGCCGACAGCAGCAGCACCACGCCCCTCAGCATCGTCCTCTTCTTGAGGTACTCCACGATCTCCCGCCCCCACTCCTTCCGGCTCGCGTACCCGTACCCCGGCGTGTCGACCAGGATCGCCCCGTGGACCGACCCCTTCTCCCCGGCCGCCGCCGGCGACGCGACCTCCCGCCGCGGGACCCGCGCCAGCGACCCGATCCCGTACGCGTTCATCGTCACCGTCTTGCCCGCCTCGTGGCCCTCCATCGCCATGCCCCGGCCGCTGAGGCCCGTCAGGCCGTTGACGAAGGACGACTTGCCGCAGTTGCTCGCCCCGATCACGCACACCTCCGGCGTCGTCGTGTTGATCGGGTGCTGCTTGAAGTTGGCGGCCGAGTAGAGGAAGTGCGCCTTGGGGCGGGTGAAGAAGACCCTCGCGTGCTCGTAGGCGAGGCTCCTGGCGGGGGAGGCGAAGATGGTGCCGCCGTCGTCCCTTGCGGCGGGTTGTGGGTAGCCTTTGGATCGGGCTGGCGGGCTGTTGAGCTGTTCAGGGCGCGTGAAGTAGAGGGATCTTGCGCGGTAGATCTTCAGAGCCGTGTTGACTTTGTTTGCGTGTTCAGAGGACAGTTCGGGCTAGAAGCGTATTTGTCAGTTCATGCTCCTTCTTGCGGCTGAGGATCTCACTCACTATCAAGTCGTCGACGTCTTTCCTTTTGGCCACCTGGACCTTTGGTTCGTGCCGTTGTTGAGATGCGGAAGGGCGCTCACTGACTCCCCTGTCCGGTTGTATGGACATCCCCGAGAGCATCTCTGACCGAAATGCTTCTGGATTCATCGGCGCCGATGAAGACCTCCTGGACCCGCGCCCAGAACCGGCTTGCCCTGCCGATCTTGCGCTGTTCGGGGCCTCACCGCTGTACGCAGGAGGCTTACGTCCCTGTACCCGCTCCGGTCGAAACGTCTTCGGAGCCACCGGTGCCGATGACGACCTCTGAGCCCCTCGCCCAAAACCGCCTTGCGGGCTTCTCCAACTCGACCTCCCGCCGTCGTGCCTAGACGTCTGTCTTCCCGTTTCCCGGGTCCGATCTCGGTTTTCCTCCTCCTTCTTCTCCGTCCTCCTTTCAAACCTCGGGTTATCCCGTTCCTCATCGTACCTGACATTCTTGAAATCATTGAGAAGTCTACCGCCGCCACCGGGGCCGCCCCTCGGGCGCCCCGTCCTCTCCGCCTCCCTCGCGAGGGCCTCCTCTCTTCTCTCCGGCGACATCTGCCAAAGCATGTGAGTTTGAATCCTGCCCCTACGAACAAGGTTGCCTGCAGGGTTGTTGCGCGTCCTGGTCGGCGTGCTGCTCAGGCATCTCTGTGGTGGCGGGTGAAAATTTCGCAGAAGCACGCGGGCGCCCCGCGTTTTGAGGGACAACATGTTGCTTTATCTTTAATCGCGAGTGGAACAAAATGAGTTCATGTTCATAAATTGCTATTCAGAAGGACATGAAGAAAAAAATCGTCATGAATGATGAACATTGTGACTGAGCAGTTCAAGGTTTAAGTGGGTAATTTATGCATTTAACCAATTTTGACGTTTCGATACGAGCATAACCCCACCAGAACATCACCTTCAGCATTGACCGTTATAAATATCACGATGCGACACGTCGGAGCGGCTTCAATGGCCTCTATTTTGGTCTACCTTCCATGTGCCTGGTTAATCAAAGCCTCATCACGCATGCCAATTCCCATGGTGGTTTGATGAAACTCCCAAAACAAAACATCCCGTCCAACGCCCTTCCATCCAACTGCGTGCGTGCGAGTCGATCAACCACCGGCCTGGTAGCGGTAGTAGAAGTTCTTTTGGTTGTTGTTCTTCTCGCTGACCTTGTAGTCGCGTCTCTTGTCGTAGCGGGTGGCGGCGCTGCGGCCTCTGGTCGCCTCCTCCTTGGCGACGCGCTTCGCGTGGTCTGAGACGCCCGTCATGCCGGCAGCGTCTCTGCGAGCGATGGCGCGCTGGTTGCGAGACTTGGGGTTGCCTGTGGTAGCAACCTCACGGCCGTCGACGTCCATCTCATCGCCAGAGCCAGCACCCTCGATCGCCAGGCGCTCAGCGCGCTCCTCGGCAGTGGGGTAGTTGTGGAGGTTCTGGCGGTAGTATGTTCTGTGGGCACGGTGACCGACAGACTTGCCGGAAGGCAGGTGCAACTCGTAGTCATCGTAGAAGACGGCGCGGGTGTGCTTGTGCGCATGCGAGTGCCAGCCGTCCACCTGGTGATGGGCGCGAGGATCATCGCGGGAGTGGTGAGGGTGCTTGTCCAGGCGCTCGAATTGTTCGTACTTGCCATCCGCAGTGAAGGCGGTCAGATCTTCCGAGTCGAGCGAAGAAGCGTCACTGTCCGTCTCCCATCCCTCGTCGGCTCCGTCCTCCAGCTCCTCGCCGTCCTCGCCAACCAGTTTGGTGGGACGCTTCAGGCCCAGCTTGGCTCCACCGTTCTCATCAGCCTCCTCTTCCTCGTCGGTATCCTCACCACCGTCTGAGTATGTGCTGCGGAAATCGTAGAAGTCGCCAATGTCCAGCTGGACCTCCTCGGTGTCGTAGGGAATCTTGCAGTGGCCCTTGTCGCGCATGTGCGTCTGGACGGCGAAGGCAGTCTTCTTGGTCTTAAAGCAGTACAAGCACTGGTGGCCCTCGTGAATGCGCTCCTGGAGGTGCTGGAGAAGTCCCTCGAGGTCGACGAGGTACTGCTTCTCGGGGATGAACATGTCGTGGAAACGCTCCATGTGGTTGGCGTTGAGCTCGACAGTCGGCGACTCGTAGTTGCAGAACAGGCAGGACTTGAGAGTCCAGGCGATCTCCTGCTTGCTGGACGGGACGGGGGTGGTGGAGTCGGACTCCCGGTTGATGGAGGCGTCGTCGCCGGCGTGCTGGCCTTGAGCGGACAAGTGGGGGTTCGAGGGGCGCTTAACCGGGGAAGGGCGCTCGTCCTTGGGCTCGTCGATGTTGGCCTTCTTCAGACCCTCGACAACGGCAGTGAACTCCTCCTCGGCCTCGGAATCCAACTCCTTCTCGATAGCCATGGGCTCGCCGAGGGAAAAGGTCGAGCTCATGACGGAGCTGGCATCGTCGGCGATGGGTCCCTTGCGACGGGCGATGGAAGCGACGCGGACCTTGTGCTTCTGGCTCGTAAGATGGTTCTGGTAGGCGTTCTCGCTGGAGTAGGACTTCTGGCAGGCGTCGCAGGTGCGCTCGAACATGGCCTTTTCGGCTTCGGCGCTCTGGGCAGCGCGGGCCTGGAGGACCTTCTCGTTGAAGATCTCGGAGGCGATGGGAGGGAGAGAGGCGACGCGGCGCTTGAGGTTGTAGCGGCTGCAAGGATGATGTCAGTTGGTCTGGGCGGGATAGGCGGGGTGATGATGATGGAGCCATGGCGACAGCAGAATGCAAACAAGATGGAAAGAAGAAAAACACATACTGCCAGTCGCTCTTCATGTGGCCTCTCTGAAGGTCGATGTTTCGGTACGCAACAGCGCAGGTGTTGCAGGTGTAGGGGTGCGAAGCTGCGGTTGCCCCTCCATTGGGAGGAGAGGCACCAAGTGCAGCGACGTCAACGTTCGCCACCTCCATGGTGAAGTGTCGCGTGCAGGTTATGTGGTGTCTTTTTCGTGATGAATGGGACTGATGTTTGGTTCTTTGATAGACCCTGTGAGATCTGGAGTGAGCGCACGCAAATATGAATTTGCAGAGTGCGCGCAGGGAAAGAAAGAAGTTGAGGCAAAAGACGAGCGTCGCGGGGTGTGGTGTGTCGGAGACAGCGGAGGGGGGAAATGATTTTAAAAGGGACGTGGATGGGAAAATTCTCAAGGGCTTTAGTGGGTTAGCGGGGATTTGCTGGGCGGTGATAGGCACGTCACTCCGTCCAGAGCCCTGGCTTGGGTTGATCTGAGAGGTTGTGTCACTGGGGAGGCTTGAACTTTAGCGGCGTTCCTGGCATTTGCAGCCCTGGAGAGTGGGGGTCTGGATTGCTTTCCGAGCCACCAGACCTGTGCAGAATGGGCCATCGGTCTGCATCTGTTTCTTTCTGTCCGGCTTACATATCAAGTGAGTGGTAATGGAGATCAGAGGGGCGAACTGTGCTCGTGCTCAGTTACCACAGCGGCTTTAAGATGAGGTACGGCGTCTTGTTGAAGAGATCTAACTCGTTCTGGACGCCGAAGAAGCCACCAAAAGTGAGCTTCTCATGATGAACGCCATCTCATGAGAGACCATCCTCATGTTTGCCGGACACATAAACAGTGGACCTTTAGTAATGAATGTATGATATTAATGTTACTCTCCTGAGCATGAGGTAATAGTTGAGGGGACAGGAGAGCCGGATTTAGTGTCCCTAAGGTAAGTGGTACTCGGAGTGTTTCTTAGCAGGCCGGCAGGTGGTCTTTCTTTCCCCTTGGAGTCCTACTCATTCCTAGAGTCGAGGCGATTGTGACTGTGGTTTTTGTTCGTCATATTGCGTAAGAAATATCATCTAGAATCGGTTACCTATCTGTTAGTGTTCTCTTCGACTCTCGTTTTTGTTAGGTCGTGGTTTCCTCTTCTCAAAATGTCTCTTAGACAGAATCCCAGCATGATAGCCCCAAAGAATTGCCAACTCTCCGGCTCCTGTCATTTACCTATTGGCAGGCAATGCAGGACTTTGAGCGCTGATGGAGGGGTAAAATCATCATCGGACGCAAAAAGCGCCGACCAGGCCGAGCCACCAAGCCTAGACCGAGTCGGGCGTTGGCTGTGGGGAGAGGGAAAGACCCCGTTTTTACACCCTCGAATCCTGAAGGCGGCAAAGAGCAGCAAGCAAGCAGGTGCAGTGGCAGGAGGCGGCTGATGTCAGAAGGAGGCCCCTGTGCGGCATTCCCTTCCCTTCCCTTGTCCACTTCCACTTCAGTTGTTGGTCCCGTCCCATCTGGAATTCTGCTGCTAAAATCAGACCCTCCACGGAATGTTCCTCGTCTTGATTGCCTGCTCCCGTGCATGCGTCTCCACTCTTCTAGAAAGCCACCCCCAGCAGCCGTGTCTCCTCCCAAAGCAACCGCACCGTGTCATCCCCAAGCTTCGTGCCGTCGCTGTACGGTGCCCATTCCTGCCGCTAGCACAGAGGACGGCAGACTAATCCACCTCCTTCCTTGCCTACCCGTCTCTAAGTAATCATTCACCATCAACAATATCTTTCACTGCCCCAGCTGTCGTCTGGCGGTCATTATCTTTTCATCGTCAGGGAATACACACTAAACCAGAGTACACGGCTCTCTGTTCATCACCTCCAACGAAACACCTCCTAAGATGGCGTCACTCGATGTTCTCGCCAGCCTCTGGGAGGACGCGCCGTTTGCGCGCCTGCCTGCCGATGCGCCGCCCGAACTCAAGGACATGGTCCAGAACATCGAGAACCCCAAGCGCGTCTATGCCATCCACCGTGCCAGTCGTCGGCACAACTTCCAGATTCTCGTCGAAGTGTGCGTCGTATGCTGCGACCCCTTGAAAACACCGGCGCTAACTGCTGCTTCACAGATATGTCCTCCAGCTACGATACGGATGCGATTCGAAATCATGTACGACTCCTACCTGCTTCTCCTGCCGAAAACGCCTCGCCGGCAAGGCTCCGATCAGACGATATAATACGACGAGCGCGAGGACGCTGGCTGTCTACTTGGCGAGCCAGGATAACCCGGAGAATGGAATATGCCCCAACCTCAAGTCGTCGAAAGAACCACCAGCCGCTCTGAACTCGCTCATATTTTCCCCGAACCCCGCGGCGCCGGCCTTCAACGACCCCTTCTCGAAGCGCCCCGCTACACCGAAGGAACCACGGCGGCGGAAGTCAGGCTCGTCCGTTAAAATGAATGGTGAATGCAGCGGTTCTGCCAAGGCTTCCGGGGATGAGGAGTCCAACCGTCGCACAGCATCCCCGAGCGAACGGTCACACTTCGATGCCGCCACGGGCACAGCGCAGAGGCCTGTAAAGGTTACGGAGCGGCCGATCAGCAAGGATTACCGTTCGTTCGCGGCGAATGTCTTCGGCAGCGTCACCTTTAAGATGCTGGAATGGCTCACCCCGGCTGGTCTGGACGCCATGTCCAAGAAAGTTGCAGCTTTGGAGGCCGATGCGATACCGAGTCCGGGCAGGGAGGAACTCTTGAGGTCGCAGAAGCCCTCGGGACAGTCGACACCGATCCAGTCGATATCGCCCGTCATATACAAAGACCAAGACGACTTGCCGGAGCCAAAGATTGAGCAGGGGCCGGACGCAGCTCTAGAGCAGGCTTCCGAGAAGCTCCACAACTCGAGCTCGGCAATGCCAGGCTCGCGGCCAGGCAAACCTCAGCGAAGCTCAAGTGCGAGAGTGCGGGCGAACTCGAAACCCAAGAGGAAACTGTCCATCGAGCCGTTCCCGACGTCGTCATATTCCGAAGACGTCACCTCAGGGCTGATGTCTCCCAAGATGAATGGAGGACCGCATGAGAAGCCGCCTAGGCCGCCGAAAGGGCCACATATAAACCCCTACGCTATTCCGGAGATACCGTCCACGCCGTCTTTCTTTGACAACGTTCCACCTCAGAACCACTCGGTCACGATTTCCCAGGAGCCGGAATCATTTCTGAGGCCAAACATGAACACGGGTGAAGCTATAGCAGAAGCAAGGAAGCCTGGTCCCGAAACAGTATCGCAGCCTCAACCCGCCCAGGTTGAGCAGCCGACAAGTGAGGCCAAGACCGAAGAGCCAGTGGACGTTTCAATCTCTGACACCATGCTGCCACAAGCTTTGACGTCGCTGAACGTTGAGGTTGTCGACCTGATATGCGACATCCTTCAAGACGACGGCACTTCAGAATCTCATCTCCTGGATCCTGCCAAAATCACCAGTACGTACTCTGGGCTTAAGGACCGGCCGAAGATGGAGAGAAAACGAACATCCCGGAGCAACTACCCAAAACGACTGAGACGACAATGGAAGCTCTTCATCGAGCAGAGCCTGTTCAACATATTGAGTGATCCTCAAAGCTTGGTATCCTCCTTCGTCAAGGACGATGAGCTTCTCGATTCACACACGATCTGGTACTGCATGCTGCGACTCACACGCGTCGCCCCGAGTCTCGTTTTCCACAGCCTCTGGATGGCAGCCGGCAGCCTATTCGGTGCCCCAAAATCACTGCAATCGCTGCGATCTCCCACTACCAGGGTTTTCCGCCGGGAGCGTTCGTTTCCCAACGTGGAGGCAGGCCAGCTCTTGTCAATCTGTCTGCATGCTCTGGTCGCGGCTGCCCCGTTGATTACGGATTCCAGAACACTCTTCGACATGTCCCGAATCCGCTCGAGTGGGCTGACGTTGGCTGGAAGCGGTGACTTAGCCCGACAACCAGCCTGGCTGTGCCTCCTTTATGATGATGCTTTCTCGAACGACTTGGCACTCAGGTTAGCAAGGCGTCTGTTCGCCGCCATCTCGGCTCGGAAATGCTTCGCGGAAATGGTGGCTCAGGACGACGATATCGATGACAACGAGCAGGAGGTCGATGCTCTTGGGCCCCTTCTCATGCAACTGGCGTCGTTCAGCGGAGACGTGACATCCAATCCTGAGTTGGACAAGCTCGAAAGAGCAGGACACGAAACCAGGGTTTCCACCCTGCTGATGGACTGGGCCAAGACTGTGATGCTTCAAGAATGGGATGGCAAGCCAGAAATTTCGTGTGACGGCTCCTTTGGTGGAGCGTTGTCACTCATGGCGGCAATGTGTGAGTTGTACCAGTTCTATTGGTGCTACTCGAGCTAACTTGCAACAGACGAGAAACGACAATCCCTTCTCATCGGGGACACTCACTTCAGAGTGGACTACTTCGCGGAGAGAATGGATACTATCAACATGCCCGTCGCCTGGCTGTCCCACACCCCGCACAGGCAAAAGAAGCACCTACTAGACTTCCCCTTCATCTTCGATCCAGCCGCGCTCGTTTCGTACTTCCGATCCATCAACTTCTCAAAGATGAGCCGGAGCTACGAGGAGTCTAGCTCTTTGCAAACTAGGATGAAGGCGATTGTGGCACCGGGCGGGTTGATCACCAATCCTCACCATAAGTTGGTCCTGCAAGATCTTCTGAAGACGGCATCCTCAAAGTACCTGATTCTCGAAGTCAGCAGAAAGCACGTTATTAGAGATGCTTTTGATCAGCTGTGGCAACGAGAGGACCGAGAGTTGCACAGACCACTGAAAATTCACCTTGGCGAAGAAGCCGGCGAAAAGGGTTTCGATTCCGGCGGAGTCCAACAAGAGTTCTTCAGACTTGCCGTCGCCGAGTGCTTGAACCCAGACTACGGCGCTTTCACCGTCGATGAACGGACTCGCATGGCCTGGTTCGTACCTGGATCCGTCGTCCCGACATGGAAATTTGAGATCCTCGGTCTGCTCATGTCACTGGCTGTGTACAACGGCTTGACGCTTCCCATCACCTTTCCGAAGGCCCTCTACCGCAAGCTTCTCGGCGAGCCCGTGGACGAATTGTATCACATCGCCGACGGGTGGCCAGACCTTGCCATGGGCTTGACGACCCTCTCGGAATGGAATGAGGCCGACGGGGCGGTGGAGGACATCTTTGCCCGCACCTACGAATTCTCGGTGTCCATGTTCGGACAGCCCGTGTCCCGAGAAATGGGCGTAAAGGCGTCCGGCTGGCCGCAGTTTGAATCATCAGGGGAGAAGTCGCTCGTTGACGAAAACCCCGAGGATGCACCGTTGGTAACCAACGAGAACAGAATTGCATACGTGAGAGACTATATCCGGTACCTCACAGACGTCTCCATTCGCCCACAATACGAAGCTTTTGAGCGCGGGTTCCGTACTTGCCTGCACCCCAAGGCGCTTCGTCTCCTGACGCCTTCTCTTCTGCAGTCAGTCGTGGAGGGTTCCGAGGAGGTTGACATCTCTGAACTGAGGCGGTACGCCAGATACGTTGGCTGGGACCAAAACCACCACAGCGTCCGCGACTTCTGGTCGATCGTGAAGCGCTTCGACGAGAACATGAAGAGGAGGCTTTTGGAATTCGTGACGGCGTCAGACCGTGTTCCCGTCGGAGGAATGAAGAACATGCAGTTCGTCCTCCAGAAGAACGGCGAGGAAGAGGGAGAAGGGGGTCATCTACCCACAGCATATACTTGCTACGGCACGCTTTTGCTGCCCGAGTACAGAGACAGGGAGGTCCTGAAAGAGAGGCTTACCATGGCATTGCAGAATGCACAGGGTTTCGGTTTTGCTTGAGCAGGCGACGATGGATTGTATTTTAGAGTCAAAAAAAAAAGCGTGAGGGTTGGAAGGGCATTGTTGGCGCCATCTACTTGTTTCGAGCGGGTGAATTGAGGAGTTTCTATATTTGGGAGACTCTTGCCGTGCCTGTGTATGTGAGTGGATGGGGCCTTCCGTGAAGACGGTATGAACAACAGTGCCTACTTGAAGCCTCGCGGTTTCCTCTTGAAACCGTTTTGGGCTGTCCGGGTAAGTTGTTGTTCGCCAGGTACGTTCGGGATTAACCCATACTTCAATTCTACCTAGGATCTCTTACATTCAGATAACTTTTCAAGATGTTTCCACGTCTACCTTCTACCGTAGCCGAGCCTCTTTGTCTAAGGTTTTCTCTTCATGATTCTCTCGTGGGTTCCCATCGGCGCGTAGCTAGGGAGCTTTTCTGATCAGAATCAATTGCAGGACACATTTATCCACCAGACATCCTCTGTCCGACAGCCGGCCGATCGTATGCGGCGCAGCCCGACACGTTCCATCCGTCGTGGGGTCTGCAGCGGATTCCATGACAATCATTGGGTGCCCGCTTCTGCTGATGACGCCTTTGAGGAGACGAGCCTGTCTGCTGCGTAATCAGACCGGCTGGGTTTGGACGAACTTGGTCTTACGAGCCTGGTCTTAACTACCAGCCTTCTCTAAATGGCACTTCCATGTCAGTCCTATTCGTGTCGACCACGCCCAGCTCGTCGCCATTCCCTTCTTTGACCGTCTGTCAGCATCATCAACATGATAAACTGGCATGATTCGACATGTCGACGGCCCGATGTCGTCTTTTTCCATGCACTCGACGCACCGTCGTGCCAGAGTTGTGGAGAGATCGGGATACTCGACAACGACACATGCGATCAAGCCACCGGGCCAAATCATGAACCGACCCCCGAGGACGGCTTCGACCTTCGTTGGCCTTCGTGTCTACCATATGTGGAGGACGATTCCCCTAAGGAGATGTCTAAGCTCGCCAGGGACGCAGTGATCGGTGAAGATGCACTGGCGACGGACCACAGCGCTCGAACGCGCGTGACCGCAACGTCAATGTCACCACTGTATGAGACCTTGTACGCACGAAAGATACGCCTTTTGCAACTTCTTCCGGGGTCACATACCGATCCCATTCGGTGCAAGCTACAAATCGCGGACCTGTCAAACAAACCCGAGTACGAGGCCCTGTCGTACACGTGGGCCCAAGCAAATGGAGATACCGCAAGGTCCCAGCGAGTCTACTTGGGAGACCGGTATGACATGCTCGCCATTACCGTCAACTGCGCCAACGCTCTTCGTCGTTTGCGTTCACCGAATCGCAGCAGGATGCTCTGGGTCGACAGTATCTGCATAAATCAAGAGAACATCGAGGAGAGGTCTCAGCAGGTTGGAATTATGCAGTACATATACGCCACTGCACTAAGAGTTCTCATTTATCTGGGCGAGGACCCAGAGGACCCCAACCCAACCACATCCAAACCCTGGATGTTTGAGAATCACGGCAACAACCTCGAGCTAAGCCAAGACCTGGTCAGCCAGCCTTACTTCACCCGGATGTGGGTAATTCAAGAAATTGCATCTGCAAGATTCGCTTGGGTTCTCTACGGCTCGAGGGGGGCTCGGTGGCAAGACATCATGATTTCTCCAGAGGTCGATTCCACAGACGGTGGTCTACTGATCAAAGATGACAACTACAGACAACTGGTCAGTTCGCATCCATGGTTGCGGTCTGTAAATCTGCCACGACACAGAGGTCTGGACGAGCTTTACCAATTCTTAACCGAAACGAGGGGATGTCAAGCTTCGGACACAAGAGACAAGGTCTTCGCACTTCTGGGCTTGTTTGTCGGAGCTCGGGATGCCGGCCTGATCCCCGACTATTCTCTTAACAAAGGCCAGGTCCTCGCCGGGGTCACCGCTTCATGTCTCCTAACCCATCCACGGGCTTGGGTGCACTGCTTTGCCATGGTGGACCGTGTTCAATCACCGGACATGCCGTCATGGGCCGTCAACTGGTTATCGCCCCTCCACCAGGCCCATTCTGATCTTGGTACCATAGATCATGCTCGGTGGCGAGATGAATCTTCCAGATCCCCCGACGGGAAAGTCAGGATGAAATTCAGCAGAAAGGGTGCTCTTATCGTGCAAGGTATTCCCTTTTGCCGTCTCGCCAACTGCCTCCCCTCTGTTCGCCTGGAGCAAGTGAAAGCAGGCCCTTTGGGTGTCATCCGCGACATTTTCTACGACCCAGACGCTCACGATTGCTTGCCAGAACTTCAAGATGAAATCATACAGAAGTCTGTCCCTGCCGATCAATTGTTTTGCATCGACGGCCTGCCAGATTATCGACTAGTTCTCAAGCCACTGCAGGACGCTGATACCTATTCTTTTGTGGCTATCTGCGAACCGCCTCGGTGCATCAACACAGACTCTCAGATAAACGCTCTTAGCCGAAAACTGATATTGCTGCTGTCCGCATGGAACGAAATACTTTTGCATGACGGCCAACCGCCTATGTGGAAGACGCCGCAACCGTGGGAGGAAATGAAAGAAGTTTGCGGTTTACTTACGTACTTTCATGGTCACAAATTGCGACCTCATACCCGAAATATGGTGGATACACTGTTCGACGATCGTGTTCGCAGCCACCGGGGTATCGACAAATTAGAGGTCTCAAGGCAGCGATTGTTTCGTTACTCATCAGGTCGTCATCCTCCACCAGGCTCAGAGCTGGAGCGTCGAGTATGGCCCGGGGAAGAAAATGCACCAAAACAGGAAGTCTTGACTCAAGTCTATTGGGACTTCGGGGCAACCGCAAACTTGGACATTGCAAACCCGGTATCGGAGCAAGGCTTTGGATTCGCACGTATTGGACGCGTGTTGCCATGGACCCGCAACTACAACGACAACCCGTTGCTGGATGGATTGAAATACTCGTTGGACTTGGTCTCCTCGCGGAATATCGTTCCTCGGGTTTGGCCGGAATCGGATCGCATGTTCTCTACCCTCACATGCCAACTACTCTCAGCGAAAGCGAAGGCTTTAAGGGAGTTTCTAGATCGACCAATCAACTTGGATACGAGCTATACCCAAGGCAAAGACGCAGCAAACTTTGAAGAAGAGGAGCTTGAACGAGTCAGAACATCGTGTTGGCTCATGAACTCTATGGAGCTGCGACCAAACCCAGCACTTACAATCAATGACGACACATGGGCCGATTCGTTTCTTGAGGTGTTGTATTTCGGGATTTCAACCTCCGGAACAAATCTCCAACATCTTGAACGGGTTGAAACAGACTTCACTACTATGCATATGAAGAAAGCAGAGGGCATATTCAGGGAGATTTCGGGGTTTCGTGCCAAAGTGGACAGCCTCGAAAGAAAATTGATGTCTGCGAGCGATTTGGAGGATATTTCGGATACAACGATTGCTTTAAAAAATATGTGGACAGAGGTTAAGCAGTTTGAGAGAAGAGTTGTTGATTGTGGAGATTCCAAAGACTTCCGCGACAAATTCCAGGGATTTCAAAAAGTCTCCTCCTTGTTTGGAGGCATTGGAAAAACCGCGAGCGCGGAAGAAGGCATCGAGGCTCTCCGTGCTACGTTTCGAGGTTGTGAAGATGCTTTGATTGCTGCCTCGAGGGCGTTGCAGGACAGTCTTGAGGAAAGGAGGTGGAATATACTGCTTGAACTCGTGCGCGAGACTGAAGAGCACATGTTGCCGCTAGAGAAGCTTTTCACCTCTGAGGTTGGGAAAGTTCCAGAAACTAAGGACGCTGATGCAAGATGGAGGGAGATCAAGATATATTGACGGGGCGTTTACCAGGTAGCTGATGTATGGCTGGTCTTTAGCACCTCAGCCGCAATCTGACGGTCAAGTTCGTCTGCTCCTCGAATCTCCATGATCTCTTGCGAACAAACATGTGAGTAAGTAGATAGTAGTAGATATCCCAGTACCTTTCTGTACGTTGCAGCCAAGACTATGTTACGTTCAATAAATTGGGTACTCTGCTTCCGTGACGCGAAGCTATGAACCGGCTTTTTTGACATACTTGCAGGTTTGCGCCGATGGCAATACTCCTCCACAGCTTCTTTGGGAAGAAGCAGACTAAGGTATGGATCTGGATGAAGCCTGTGCTTTGGTCGGAGTATTGCTCAAGTTCGCAGGCACATCGTAAAACCTGCCCCTCCCCCCCCTACATTGTTAAACATCCGAGATTGTTGTTCACTGGGGAGTTGCTGCGGCAGGGGCGTAGATCTTCTAAAGAAAGGCGTTGTATCTTACCCACGGGAGTCTTGTTGCAGAAGCGCCGACTTGAGACCCGTCCCTACGAGATCCGAAGGATACCTACCGTCTTGATGACATCGGATGTACGCAACCATGTCAAGAGCTCATCGCATGTCGGAAGGTCGTTGCAAGATCGAACGATGACAATGGAGCTGCATTGCCCCATGTCGTGAAGCGGGCAACAACATACCTCAACCCCATCCCAGAAACGTACATGACTAAACAACCCAGTCTGAAGAAACAACGTTTCAACAAAGATTCCCCAGATCTCCAGCCCACCCCGGATCGTCGCAAGCGTCTCATGAAACGAACCTACCCTTACCCGCCGGCAAGCGCCGATCGGAAAGGACGAATGGAACCCGGAAACTTCCAACCCACGTCAATGCTCCCCTCTGACGTCGTGTCACCACAGCAAGCAAGCAGCTACCCGACTCAGCTCACTTAGAACCATTACCTTATACATCTCAAAGCATACATCCGTAAGGACTGACGACAAGGACAAACAGACCACGTTTATCACACCTCCTCTTTAAGCCGAGGCCCGCGATACCAGCATGATGTCCCGAGCATCAAAGTCTCAATGCGTACATATGCACCTGTGCCCTCGGTCCGTGCAATACCGCAGTACGCTTATCGAAGTATGTAGGGCACATGAACTGCACGAACAATTTGTCAACCCAGGCAGTATGAAAGCATTTGATCATGTTTTGATTTTTTCCTCTCTCTCTCCGAAGCCCCTATTCGACGTTTATGCTGGGAGACGTTAAACAAAAAACGGAGGAACTAGACCAACCCCCTCTTCAATCCAGAACGCCGGGGGGAACTCGTGAGATTAAGAAATAAGGAGAAAGAAAAAAAAAAGGAACACCCGTTATCATGAAGAAAGAGTCGTGGATCAAACAGGATGGATGCCACCCGGAGTATCATGGAATAATCAGAAAATAAAAGCAAAAAACGAAGTCTCTCCGCCTCTCAGTATGCAATTTGACCCGTGAGCTTTGGGGGGTATTTATGCACGCATTACGTTGCCCCGACGATTACCAAACGTTATTCCTTCATCTTGACGTAGTTGCTCGGGAAGATGCCGTGCTTCGTTCCAATCATGCCGGTCCTGCGCGGGATATGTCAGTATACGCACTCTGAGAAGGAGGAGCTCGATTGCACCACGTACCACCAATCCGTCTCGTTCTCCGTCTTCTTCAGCACCGTGATGACGTCGCCCTTCTTGAAGCCGAGATCGCCGGGCTGATCCGCCTCGAAGGTGAAGAGCGCCACGGCCTCGTTCTTCTTGAGCATCGCCGTCTTGGACGCGAAGTTGGGCTTGGGCGCCGCGGGTCTACCGGGCGGCCCCGTCTTCTGGTCCGACACGGCCCCGAAGCTGTTGCTGGGCGACGGGTTGTCCCTGTAGACGTAGCTGTCGTTGCCTCTTGACGCGAATGTGTTGGACCGCGAGACCCCTCCGAAGCCGCCGCCGCCGCCGGTGGGCCGGTCGTAGACGTCGTCCTGCCAGGTGCTGGACCTCTTGGGCCCGCCGAACTCGTCCGCGCCGGCGTGGCTCCCACCGAACGTGCTGTGGCGGTTGTTGTTGAACTCTCCCTCGCCGAAACCGCTGCCCCGGCGCCCGTTCCATACCACGTCGTCGTGGCTCTGGTCGTACACGGGGATGTCGTTGTACATGGCGTCGTCCGCCTGGCCGGTGCGGCCGGCGTTGAAAGATCGCGAGTTGAGGATGTTCATGAGGGGCGCGGCCTGAGCAGGCGGGCGGACACTTCCGGTGAGGATCTGGGCCGCGGTATATCGGGTGCCGTAGAGCTTCTCATTGGCGTCGCGGCGCTCGATGATGACGGAACCCTCGAGGGAAACGCCGGCGAAGAGACCCTTGGTCTTGGAGTAGGAGAAGATGCCTGCAACGGACTTGAGCGAGGCGGCGCCGGCGGCCTCGGCGTTGCGACCGACGGGACCGGCGGCGATGGAGACGTTGCCGCCGAGGGTGAGGGAGCCCGCCTGCGCGAAGGTCTTGACGGCATTGGCGTCGTTGAGGATGAAGACGAAATCAGTCAGCTCGAAACCGATCTGGCCGCCAAAGCCGGCGCCCGCGGTGCCGATGGCGCTTGGCGCGCTCCATGATCCGTCGGGGAGGCGCGAGACGACGAGGCCGCTACCGAAACGGCCGGAACCGAGGAAGCCCGCCTTGAGGACGGTGAGGATCGCGAGGCCCTGCGCAGGTTAACCAGTGGTCAGCAATCAGTCGGAGGCCTCCTGTTTTGTTTGTGTGTCTCTGCGCGCGCCAAGGCGGCAACGGTGGGGGTTTTTGGGAGGAAGGCAGGTGTCGTGAGAAAAAGAGGGCGGGGTGTGGAATATGGCTCACCTTCGCGTTGGCGAGGATCGAAGGGGGGATGATCTTGTCGGGACTGAAAGCTTGCCTCGGGTCGATGAAGGAGGTCAGGATCTTGCCGCACTTTTTGCATTCCGCTGTCGATAGTTGGGTCAGCTTCAGGCCGTATTTTTGCGCGCGGGTGGATTGTGGTGACGGAGTCGAGCGGGACGACCGGCACGGCGGGAGAGAGAAGGGTGGACTTACACGCCATAGACGACGGCAGCGGGTTGTGGAGGCCCATTGTGAGACGTGGGAAACGGGCGCGAGAGGTGGTGAGGTCTGCGTTCGTCTCGAGAGGGAGGATTGCGAGGTTTGCAAAAAAAAGAATGAAGAGAGGAAGGAAAGTGACCAGATGAAGAAAGTTGCCTGGAGGTGATGGATGATTTTAGTCGGTGCTAGGTAAGGTAGCCCAAAGTACCGTTACTTTCGGGATCCTCTAGGCCTTCGCCCGCGGTGAGTTCCACCCGACACCTCCACGTAATAATGATTTTGTGGAGTCCCGATAGGTGAAGAGCCGCCGAGGCCTGCGCCTCTTCTGTTCGTCTTGAGAGGGGACGAGGTGCGAGTGCAAGTGAGCGTGTCTTAGCCGTCCGCCTGTCGTTCGTATTGGTTTGTGTTGGGCTTGGCTTTGATGGAGTTGGGCAGAGGACGGGACACGGCACTCTTAATGGCCTCCACTGGTTGTTTTCTTTTTAAACTTCGGGTTGCCTTTCTTCGGCCGAACTGGATTTGATATGTGCACCATTGGACGACCCTCATAAAACAAACGAGCATGGCGCCCGGCTTCTGCTTCTTAAGGGACAAGATGGACGCATTTTTCTGCCTTTACGATATTTGCGTTTGTCTGGGGTTCGGGGCAGCTGACAGGACGAGCTCTGGGATTGCCGGGCTTCAAGTAGAGAAACACCAAATAAAATGGAAGATTTATCCATGGAGCTGAGCTACTCAGCTACACGCCAGGCCACACATTTTCGGCGCTGAGAGCCGGACGTGACAGGCCCGGGCGAGTGAGGTAATTGCGCCTCTAATTCGCGGGGTACTTTGCACCAACAAACAATGGAGGGAGCACCCATGTTGCCCAGGTCAGGTAGGTATCCGTACTGGACCTTGAGTGTGGCGCAGGAACTGACGCGCAAACCCCCACCAGCAAGGGTACCGATCCGAGCAGTGACCGTCTTCCTCTCTACCGCTGGGGAACGCTACCAAAAACACGCTCCGGGGTTCCAGACCATCCCCCGTTCCAGTCGTCCAGCCTCGCCTCCAAAGAAACCGCCCGGCCCGACCATCGTCATTGTTTCGCCGCCCGCCAGACTCCAACCACCACGCAACCTCATCCTCACCCTACATCCTGTCGCCGCCGCCGCCCCTTCCTCACGCCAAACCACGAGAACGAAAATAAGCGCCGTCAGCTGCGCAAGGAAGACATTCCAACCTACACGTAACCTTTAACACCGCCACGTCCGATCACCCTCCGATCCACGCACTCACGACGACGAAGGCGAATCCGTGATACCTACCAATACGCGGAAACCCACCATCACCTCCGAGCGTGCCTCCCTCCGCCTCGACCACCGAGCCCGACGGACCCTCCGATCCAAACCTCCCGATCCGCGCCGTCGCCCCTATCCACCTACTCATCCCCGCGTCCATCCCCCGTCCACAACCCCGAAAATGTCAGAAGCCTACGAGCGCGAACGCCAAAACAACGCCCGCCTAGATGAGCTCTCCGCGAAGGTCTCGGCCCTTCGCGGCGTGACCGTCGACATCTACGACAACGCGCGCGCCCACGAGGTCATCGACAGCACCGTACGTTTTGCTTCCGTTTACCCCCTTTTCCCTCTTCTCCTGAAAGGGTCTCTCTTGCTAACCGATTCCACCACACAACAGTCCGAAACCTTCTCCTCAATGTCGACCCAGCTCAAGGGTTCCGCCGGCCGGTTAACCCGCATGGCCGCCTCGGGCAACAAGGTCGCCATCCTGAAACTCTCCGGCATCATCATCGGCTTCTTCATCGTCCTCTTCTACGTCATGAAACTCTTCTTCTGAGAGAAACGATAATGCCCTTGTGGACTCTTGACCTCTTTGTTTCTGTAGAAGCGACGTGAGAAAACACCAGACGAGACCGGGGAAAAGAAAAGGGGGGCCGCATGACTGGTGACGAAGTGTAAGAAACGAGAGACGGCTAAAATTGGGGAGCAAGCCTTGGGAAAAGTCAAGTCATCTCCGGCTGCAAGACGGACGAAACTTCTTCCCGTTGGGCGGAATAACAACCAGAATATACGGGAAAGCGAATACTTTTTTTTTGCTACACGAAATGGCGAAGGGGCGCGGGAACGGAAATGTTCGAATACCCTGCGCGCGCATGGATTACCGGAGTTTGTTTTAATGACTTGGGAGGGGGAAGGGGGAGCTTAGCACGGCGACGACGGGTTTGCGTGTACTGACAGCACTGTGTATATATGTGTACCATGAATTTGCTTGCTTTCACTTTTATTCGCACAAAATGTTCATCTATGACGCTTTTGCATCCGAATTACAGACATTTCACATGAAAACCACTTCACTTCGTGCCCGCTAACCGCCCCCTTCATTGCAACGTCTATAGGCGGACGAGAAACGTCGAGGAACCTTGAGCTTTCCCACTCGGCTGCAAACAATTCCGTGACTTCACCCTCACCATATGTCCCGCATCCCCCATTTACTGCCACACGTTCGAAAAGAGGTCGTCGTTTCCGCCAACAGGCTTGGAAGATCCAGAGGCAGCCGGGGTTGTGCTGCTCGTCCATCCTCCGAACTCCTCGTCAGCCGCCACCTTTGGTGCGGCGCTGAAGCCGCCAGACGCGCCGGGAACGATGGGGGTGCTGGCAAACGAGCCGGACGCGCCCCAGCCTCCAATGTCGGCGCTGCCTCCGAATCCACCAGTCGGCTTGGGTGCTTCCGGGGCCTTCGCAGGTGCAGCCGCGGCAGAGGTGTCGGGCGCGCCCCAGGCGTTGGAGCCCCATACATCCGAGTTTGACCAGTTCCCTGTGCTCATGGTGCTCGTGGCGGCGGCCGTTGGGTTCGTCGCGGGAGGTGACTTGGGCTGGCTCGAGAGGTTGAAGACGGAGCTGGAGGCCGCAGCGGGAGCCGGAGCCGGACTGGGCGCGGCGGCGGCGGGCGCGGGGGAGGAAAGGTCGAAGAGGTCTCCCATGCCGGAGGATGCTGATTGAGCGGGCTTGGGCTGGGACGGCGCGGGCGCCGGGGCAGGGGAGCTGGACCAGCCAAACCCACCGAATCCGCTGTTGGAAGGTTGCGTCTGAGGTTGAGGAGCGGCGGCCGCCGGTGCGGCGGGCTTCGAGTCGAAGAAGCTGCCTCCGCCGAGGCCACCGAAGGCGTTTGACGAAGGCGGCGGTGACTTGCTGCTGACGGGGCTGGCCAGGCTTGCGAAAGGGTCCGCGGCGGCCGGCTTGGGGCTTGTGGTGTTGTTAAAGCTGAGGTTGCTGAAGGCATCGGTCATGCCGCCAAACGACTGCTGCTGCTGGTGTCCGTAGGTGGGGGAGGGCATGCCGCCGAATTGACCTCCGGGGACTTGAGGGGCTTGTTGTTGCTGGGGCTGCGGTTTCGGGGCGGAGGCGTAGAGCGACAGGATGGACTGCTTCAGGTCTGGCCTGGAAGGGCCTCCCATTCCACCGGCCGCGTTGGTGCTGGCAGGGCGTGGTGGAGCCGCAGGTTCTCCGAAGAAGTCCAAGCCCAACAGCGAATCCTTAGTGCTCGTGGCCTTGGGGGGAGCCGGGTCGGACTTGGGAGGCACCTTGCCGGGTTGCGGGCCGGCGGTGCTGGCCCGGGGGATGGGATCGCCGCCGATGAGATCGACCTGCGGCTGCGGGGCAGCGATGCTCCGTGGGGGAGCAGCCGACTTGCCGACCGAGCTCTTGCGGACCGATTCTCGCCTCTCCACGTTCTGCTTCTCCTTGACCAAGCTCAGAGGGACGTCGTCGTCGCCGTCGGCGTCCAGCGAGGCGGGGTCCGGAATGGGGCCGTCCATTGTCCATCTCTTCAGCTCGTATTTGGTGCGAATGAAGTTCTCAATCTTGGATTCGGAAGGCACGTGGCCGGGTGCCAGCTTGGCCTCCCAGTATTTGTTTGCGCGCGCATTGCCCCAGCTGAGGATGCTCTTGAGTTGCTCGTCGGTCCAGGAATCGAGGTCGACAGACTTGACTCTGCTGATGTGCGTACCCATGCCACGGTGGATGCCCGAACACCGAATGCAGATAAAGACACCCAGGTTCCAACTAGCCCATCGCGGGTCTGGTCATGCGGGAGTCAGCGGGGGGATACGTCGGGGGCGAGAAGAGACTCGAGCAACTTACGCTTGTTTCTCTTGCAGTCGGAGCAGACCTTGTTGCACTCCAGCTTCAGCAGACTCTTGATCGTGGCCTGGTTCTGGAGCGCTCTCTCGGCGGCGGGATTTGGCGGTCTTCGAGACATGGTGGCCTTTGTTTGGGTGTGCGGTCGGTAAGATTGGAAATCTCGGCGGGCGAGAAAGACTTGCAGTCGGCGGGTGCAGTCTTGTATTCGATGCGAGTGCTGTCGGAGAAAGGGGGTGAAGAGCGCAAGATCGCAAAGTTGTCAGGTCGGGCCTTGAACGTCGTGTGCCTGGCATTAATATTATGAATTACCATATCCACGCGGCGGCGCTGATACCGGCCAGGTAAGGGGCAACTGGGGGCAACTGGGGTCAAGAGTGCCCGAATCGTCCCTGCCTAAGGCAGTGATGACGGTAGAGAGGTGGGGTCCTTTCAGCGGCTGCGGAAGGAGTGGTAGGATGGATTGACAGGTGGCTTTGGTCTTTGACAGGTGTCACCGTCTACTCTTTACCATCGCTACTTGCACTTGTAACACTCAATGCCTTCAATGTGTTTTGTTCTTCGTTGCTGCTCTGCTTTCATTGGAACCATGATATATATTGAACAACTCCAGGTCGAGCTTCGTCTTTTCAAGCAAAATGTTTGGCTTGACCACGGACTTGGCCACATCGCGCATTGACCCTGTCATCAGAGTTTAGAAGGTGGAAGTTCTATGCAGAAGAAGCAGAGATCAGATAAACATTCTAACTGTATCTCGTACTCGAATCGGACTTCCTGAAGTCGAGGCCATCTGTTGATTCGGTGTTCACAAAAGATTAACTCGGCAGGCAACCACTTAAGATCGAAACAAAACGGCACAAAACAGGAATTCAAGCTCGAGTGATGGGTGCCTACGAACGGATGATACCAAAGCACACACTGCCACCATCAGGCACCCTTTGAAGAGAAGACTATTTGTTGAATGTCGATAGCAATCACGTTGAAGCCATGCTGTCAACAGCCATTGGGACACATTTCTTCCACGTGGGCGCCTCACAATACTTTCCAGTCTTGATTTCACTTCATGCCGACCAGCATACGTGGTCCGTCAAGTAAACTCGTCTTAGCATGTCGAGAAGCTCTCATCCAGGTACTCACCTCTCCAATACATCTCCAGATCGAGCTGCGGAGAACACCACCGGGTCCCTTCCGACTGCACCGCTTCGACGCAGGCCTGGGATACAACAATCCTCCAATTGCGAGGCCGCCGGCAGCGCTTGCCGGATATGAACCACCCAGCATCCAAAGGGCCGCAAGCAGGCTGCAGCCCCAAACATCGATCTCCCCAGGTCGTCCAGTAGAGTTGCGGGGGCGGGACGTCGGTGCAGCAGTAGGACGTGGGGGAAATGAGGGGTCGCGCGTCTTCACACTTTAATCCGTCGCATCTTGACGTCTCGCAGACTGATCCTCACTCTGTCATAGGTAGAACCCGTGTCCGTTCGCGTTGCGGCGCTGCTTTCCAGCTCCCATTAGCACATGGCATTAGCTTAGTGACTGCCGCTCGACTACTCGGAGGAGCGCGATATCGCCTCACGGCCATCTCGGAACAAGGTCCCTCGAATCCGGACGAGACATGCAGCTTGCCGTCGTTGTGGTCAGTTCCGTATCGGACGTGGTCAACGGTGCCAGGAGGGGCGCTTTGTATAAAACCTTAGCGGCTGTCGCGCGTGCCAGGTGATGGTGTCGTCTTGTAACCTTCTCAGTCAGACTTCTGACTTCCTGCTTTGATCAGTGATTCTTACTACTTTGTAGAAAATTAGTCCTGTTAAACCATATCTCGCATTCTAGTCTCGAATCAGCCATGGCACCCTCGGCGATAGAGAAGATAACATCAACCGTGACCTCCTTTTCGTCAGACCGACCTCGAATCTTGGTCCCTGAGAAGGTCTCTTCGGATGGCCTCGCGCTGCTGAAAGACAGGTACGACGTGGACAACCGCACCGGTCTGTCCGCAGACGAGCTCATCGACGCGATTCCCAACTACCATGCCCTCATTGTACGGTCCGAGACCAAAGTCAATGCCGCCGTGCTCGCGGCTGGCAAAAAGCTCCGGGTCGTCGCAAGAGCTGGCGTGGGTGTGGACAACATCGACGTGGACGCCGCCACGAGTAACGGCATTATCGTGGTGAACTCGCCTTCGGGCAATATCGTGGCGGCCGCCGAGCACACGATCGCCCTCCTCCTCGCAACGGCCCGCAACGTCGGGCGAGCCGACACCACCATGAAGGACGGCAAGTGGGAGCGAGGTAAGCTCGTCGGTGTCGAGGTCGGCAGCAAGACTCTCGGGATCATTGGACTCGGCAAGGTCGGGATGAAGGTCGCCCGCATGGCCATCGGTCTCGGGATGAAGGTGAAGGCGGTCGATCCGTACGCCAGCAACGAGATCGCGCGGCAAGCGAACGTCGAGCTCGTGACGGACCTCAAGAGCCTCTTGCCCGTGGTCGACTTCTTGACCATCCACACCCCGCTGATGGCCAGTACGTTGGACCTCCTAAAGGAGGAGGACTTCCAGACGATGAAGAAGACGGCGAGGGTCTTGAATGTCGCTCGTGGCGGCGTATACAACGAGGCGGCACTCCTGCGTGCTCTGGATGAAGGCTGGATCGCCGGCGCCGGCTTGGACGTCTTCACGTCAGAGCCTCCTGCGGCGGACTCGACGGCGTCACAGCTGACGAAGCACCCCAAGGTGGTAGCCACGCCGCACCTGGGAGCGTCCACGGTCGAAGCCCAGGAGAACGTGTCGATGGACGTGTGCACCCAGGTAGCCGAGATCCTCCGCGGAGGCCTGCCGACGGCGGCCGTCAACGCCCCTCTTATCATGCCGGAGGAGTACCGCAAGCTGCAGCCGTTTGTGCGGCTCATCGAGAAGATGGGCGGGCTGTACACGCAGCACTTTGTCGGGAGCAAGGGCGGAATGGTGGGCGGTCGTCGGTTCGAGCTGATCTACCAGGGCGACATCGCGGGCATCTCGAACACGCGGCCGCTGTTCGCGGCGCTGGTGAAGGGGCTGGTGTCGTCCATCACGGACTCTGGCGGGCGGGACGTGAACATCGTCAACGCCAGCCTCATCGCCAAGGAGAAGGGCATGATCATCAGCGAGACGCACAGCGGGGAGGCCAAGAACGGCGCGTATGCCAGCCTGGTGACTCTCCGGTCGCACGGCGAGGACGGCGAGCAGGTGATTGAGGGATATGTGTCGGGGCAGAGCATATACATCTCCAAGCTGGACCGGTTCAGTGCGACGTTCCAGCCGCAGGGGACGATGCTGGTGCTGCACAATTACGACGAGCCGGGCAAGATTGGCGGTGTGGGAACGGTGCTGGGCCGGCACGGGATCAACATCACCTTCATGCAGGTGGCAAGCCTGGATGGTGAGGAGAGGAGGGCGGAGGGCGGCAACGAAGCTCTCATGATCCTGGGCGTGAGGGGAGAGATTGGCGGCAAAGTAGTGGAGGATTTGCAGCACGAGGAGGGAATCCTGAACGTGAGCCTGGTGAGGTTGTGAGGCGGGTTGGACCGGGTTGGCAGTGAGAGCTTCCATAGGCAGGTAGGTTGAGTCTAAGGCGCCCGCAGACTGCAGTTGAGGAGGCTAAGGTCGAGTGGATTTGTGAGGGGCCAAGCTGCAGGAGCTCGAGTTGAAGACGGATGAAAGGCGTGGCCCCCACGAGTTCGCGGAGCTTGGCAAGAGTTGTGATTTCATTGGCGGGTTGAGGGGCTCAATTAAGGTGCATTGCAGACTGGAGACGGTTGACGCGGGCAGTGCAATAATAACCAACAGCTAGAGTCGGCCATTTTGGTCCAACTAGAACAATGAGGGTTTTGCTATCTCGTTGAACGCCAAGCCCGTCGTGCCCATATTGTACTGACTGTTAAGCTGTTCGGGCTGTAGTTTTGAGGCCCGGGTATCGGCATAAATCGGCAAAGAGTGACATCGTTTCTGACCGTGTTCCGCCCGGCCTAATGCCTTATCCAGTTGTTGCAACTCTTGCGACAACGCACACTGATGCTCCGCAAGTGCAAAAACCACTGCCGGACAAAAAAAAAAACGAGTGGCGCGGAGGATTTCTGGAAAAGACATCGTTCTCAGCTCAGGGTCTGTTCGAGGATGACGCAGGGTCCGAGGTTTGTGACAACTCGCAGTCTCCATGTCTGTTCGGTCTGGACAGCTCATTGGGCACGTGGACAGATAAGGTGGTGGCCGTTCATGTACCTCGCCATGTACCCCTGCACCATGTCATTAAGGTGAGGTACCTGCTCGACTTCCCACGAGTTGCTTCCGGAGGTAGGGGACAGGCCACTAACGTAGACCAATCGCACCAGATTGAATGTTAACCATGACTCCGGGTCGTAACTTAGAAGCTCTGTGTCAGTTACTGTTGAACTCTAGAAAGACGTAAGGGTAAACATTAAAACAAGAGGGCGCGATAAGACGGGAAGAGTGTGCCAAGACATGTGCTCACAGAAGAAAAAGACTCAAGGCACATGCAATATGCAATATGCAGCATAAGGTATCCGTACCGTAATGCACCCAATTACCCCGGATTCTGCACAAATATGACGACCTTGAGATACGCGCACAAAAAAAGGCGGGGGCAAGTGAGACGAAGGATGACTTTTTTGCTTTCTCGCGCTATCCGAATAGCCGTGGAGGAGCAACAGGACGCATTCCAGTCAGATTTTACCCTTGGCCTCACATACTTCATACACCTAGGACATGTCTTAGAATGCTTAAAAAGCAGTGCGGAGGTCGGACGTCTCTGCGGCAATGATGCATCACTCGCACTGCAAAGCTGCCCGCCTCCCCCGACCCCCGACCGTTGATGACGCCAAGCTCGACCGCCACCCGCTGCATTGATTGGCTACTTGGCCGCCGACCAGAAGAAGGAAGCTTCCGTCCACGGCCTGTGTCGCCTGTCGCCTGTCGCCATCCTCGTTGGTGTTGGATTACATAGCACAGAGAGTACCTGACCGGACACACACCTCTTTGTGTTGCTCTCCTAGCTTTGACTTTTGGCTAACAAATTTCAACTTTTATTTTACACCTACTTACACCCAACTCACTTATCTACCCTTATGAACCCGTGATAACGTCTCTTCCTCGCTTCCCGTTGCCATCACCGCTACCACCCAGTGCCGTCGAACCATCTCTGCTACTCGTCTTCCGATCCTGGCTCGTCAGTGGAGCTCGCCCGCCTTGCCTGCTGCACTTGCGTACGCACCGCAGCTGCAGGTAAACACAGAGAGTGGAGTAAAACCACCCTGAGCCCACAGTCACACAGGCAAAGGTCCAGGTCCAGGTCCACCAGCAGCACGCCTGCCCCGTTTCTCGCCCGTCGCCCGCGTTTCCGCCGCATAAAATGTGCGCTTGACCTCGACCTTCCCTTCATCGCCTACTTTAGTCCTTTTCTACGAATTCCGAATCTCCTCAATTGACGAGCCGAACTATGGCCACAAGGGGAGTTGTCCCGATACGACCGGGTAACAATGCTGGCCCCTTCGGCATCTTTCGCACTGCTGTGCTCGGCTTGGCCAAGGCATTGACGCTCGGCGTGTCTTCGGTCGCCGCCGCTCCCATTCACGCCAGAGCCCATCATGAAGAAGAAGGTCCCGCAGAGGGCGACGACGTCTGGGTCCTCTATGTTGCCTCTATGGTCTTGGTTCTCGCCGGAGGCGCCTTTGCTGGTTTGACCATCGCGTGAGTCTCACCTTTCGACCTCGTCGCACACACGCTTGTTTAGATCCTGTTTGCTAACCTTGGCAACAGCCTGATGGGACAGGATAGCATCTACCTCCAGGTTCTCGCCGGCGACCCTGACGAATCTCAATCCAAGAACGCCAAGCGCGTCTACAACCTACTCAAGAAGGGAAAGCATTGGGTTTTGGTCACCCTGCTGTTATCCAACGTCATTGTCAACGAATCGCTGCCCATTGTCTTGGATCGCTGTCTTGGTGGAGGTGTTACTGCCGTTGTTGGCAGCACTATTCTTATTGGTATGCATCAGAAACCCTCCTCGGTGTCACCGTCATCTAACCGTTCCCGCAGTCATCTTCGGCGAAGTCGTTCCCCAGTCCGTCTGCGTTCGATACGGTCTCCCCATCGGTGGCTTCATGTCCAAGCCCGTTCTCCTGCTCATGTGGCTCATGGCCCCCATTGCGTGGCCCATCGCGAAGCTTCTCGACTGGGCTCTCGGCGAGGATCACGGCACCACATACAAGAAGAGCGGCCTGAAGACACTCGTCACCCTGCATAAGTCCCTCGGTGACGTCGGCGAGCGTCTGAACCAAGATGAGGTCACCATCATCAGTGCTGTCTTGGACCTCAAGGAGAAATCTGTCGAGAACGTCATGACGCCCATGGACGATGTCTTTGTCATGGCCGAGGACACTGTTCTGGACGAGAAGACAATGGACCGCATCCTGTCGGAGGGCTACTCCCGAATTCCCATCCATGCCACTGGCAAGCCCACCGATTTCGTCGGTATGCTCCTCGTCAAGATCCTCATCACCTACGACCCCGAGGACGCCCTCCAGGTCAAGGACTTCCCTCTCGCCACCCTGCCCGAGACCCGCCCCGAGACGAGCTGTCTGGACATCGTCAACTTCTTCCAGGAGGGCAAGTCGCACATGGTTCTGGTTTCCGAGTACCCTGGCGCCGACTACGGCGCTCTTGGTGTCGTCACCCTGGAGGATGTTATCGAGGAGCTTATTGGAGAGTGAGTAGCCTTACATGCAACCACAGGATCATGCTAACGATTTCAGGGAAATCATTGACGAGTCTGATGTCTACATCGACGTCCACAAGGCTATCCGTCGCCTGACGCCTGCGCCCAAGGCCAAGCCCATCAAGCGAGCCTTGGAAGCGTCCCCCCGTGTCATCCCCGAGAATGGAGACCTCATCGAGTTCGACCGAGAGATTCCCCACGAACGTAACGGCTCCGTCAGTGTCATGAGCGACGCCCCCCACCTGTCAACGAGTCCCGGAAAGACGACCACCTTCCTTATGAGGAGAAGCTCTGCTGGTCCCGATGGTCGCATGACCTCGACGGCTGTGCCCGTGAAGGCCACTTTCGACGAGGCCAAGCAACACTTGAAGCACCTCGGACCCTCCAACCGCGCATCGAACCCGAAAAATACAAAGTCCACCACCGTCAAGATCAAGCCCGTCCAGACGGGCGCGCCCTTGTCACACGTGCAAAGCCCTCCGCCGGCGTCTGCTGGCCTTCGTCCTGCCTCCGTCGCCGGCGACATCAGCCAGGAGAGACACGACGAGGGGCACGAGGACGACTCGGAGCAAACCCCGCTCATTCGACCCAAGCTCACCGGAAAGGGTGGTGTCCACGCCGTTCGTAGGAGTTACGGCGGAGCAGGTATGAGCGACGCCCAGGCGAGACTCGCCAGCGCCGCTTCTCACCATGAAGATGACGTGAAGCCGTCCGATGAGTTGGATCTGCCCCCGACTGTGCCTGAGAACGGCAGCAGTCCCGAGGCTAGCCGAAGAAGCGGAAGCCCCGAGGCCACTCGCACGGACTTGACCATCATTGTTTCGCCTGGCCGCGGCAGCAACTCTCCCAGCGTCACCAGCGTAATAGAGGACGGGTCTGCCACTCCCAAGCGTCGACCTCTGGTTCGAAGCGGTAGTATCAGCGAGAACGTAGTCGAGACCAGTAGTGGCGTGCAGAAGATCATCATCCAGGCTGCTAGTTCCGACTCGGATGACGCTGGGTCCAAGGGCTCGTCCGGACACCGCTCGCGTACTACCAGCCAGTCCAACATCCTGTCCAGCCACGACTCTGAGGGTGAAGAGCAGGAAAATGGCGGCGAAGCGTCAAGTACGGCGCCCAGCACCAACAATAGCCAACAACCGAGCAAAAAGAAGAACAGGCGCAAGAAGAGGAAGAATAACAAGTCGTAGACGTAGGTGATAAGTTTGGGTTGTTTTTCGTTGTTTGTATGATATTGGTAGTAATTCCAGCGGCTGCTACGGTACGCCCTTTCGCACCCTAGTCCTGCGTGTAGTTGATTGTGATCTATTTGACTTATTTGTGACCATCCGGCTATATGCTCTAAATATTCATCTTATTTTTTATACAGCTTCCTCAGTCGTACCAGATAGCGTTCATACCGAAACCCGGCTCGGGGATGCGCAACCTCGCAACGCGGCCGAGGAACTCGTCGTGCCAGCGGTAGATCTCGATCCAGCCCTCCTGGTCGTCGGTGATGGCCAGCCACTCGTCGCTCCAGTCGCACGGGCTGACGGCGTTGCTGTGCCCTCCGCTCGTCGGGGTCGGGTTCAGGCAGATCTGCCTCTCGATGTGGCCGTTGTCGTCGAGCTTGAAGGCGGCGATGTAGCCCGTCACGTCGAAGCTGTTGGAGCGCGCCGTCGCGAAGAGGTACCGCCCGCTGTGCGAGAGCGTGCACACGTCGGAGCGGTACATCTTGTTCTTGGACCCCGGGATGCCCGGCGGGATCAGCGGGAAGGAGCGGTGCGTGTACACCGGCAGCTTGGAGATCGGGTCGATCACGTACTCGCACAGCCGGTTGCCGGCCTCCATGAGGGCGTAGAGGTAGGCGCCGGAGGGGTGCATGGCGACCCAGCGCGGGTGGTCGCCGGGGTCCGGGGCGTCGACGGAGCCGACGAGGTCGAGCTCCGGGCTGTCGGGGGCGCGCTTCTTGTGGGCCCAGAGCTTGTTGGCGGTGAGGTCGGCGGAGTAGAGGTAGGTCTCGGTGGGGTCGAAGACCATGCCGTGGATGCCCGTGTTGGGGTCGTAGGGGTAGTTCTGGACGTTGTCGGCGAGGGCGCCGGTGGGGGAGACGGAGAAGACGTTGCCGTGGGAGGCGTGCTTGTAGAAGGGGTTGCAGTAGACGGCGTAGGGGGGTTTCTGGGCCGCGAGGAGGAAGATTGCGCGGGTGTTTGTCGTCGAGAGGGCGGCGTTGGCTTGGTTTGTCAGTCCTTCCTTTTGCTGCTGGTTTGCGGTGGTCAAGACGTACGGTCGTGGGTCATGTCGTGAGAGGCCTCGTGGACGATCTCGGAGGGGCTCTTGACGGCGAAGCTGGACCACTTCTTCATGGCCGCTCCGTAGAGGTTCTTCTTGTCATGCTATGTCGCGTGCGTGTGTAAGCCAATTGGTTCAATTGGGGAACGTCGATCGCACCCCGTCGTCGTCAACTCACGCTGAAGGTCATCCATGATATGGGCTGGTCCTGGGGTATCTCGGTGCGCTTGACGAGCTCGAGGGTGAACTTCTCGTCGTCGAAGGCGACGGTGAAGATGGCGCCTGGAGGGGTCCAGGTGCCGATCATGAGGTGGTGGACCGGCATTTTGGGGGTTGTCGAGAAGGCTCTCTTGATCTGGTGACGGGTGGTGAGGCGGATCTGGTTCTGGATCGTGGAGAGGGCGCGGACTGGCGGTCTCGGGAGCATGAGCTTGATGCGTTCACTGACACGTGAGATGAGAGAGAGCGGAACAGGCGAAAAAATAAAAGAGAGGAAGGAAAAGGTTCGCGTGTTCGGAAGACTTAGGAGCGAGGTTTATCGGGTTTTTGGTCCCACCGAGGTAGGTTCCTGTCAGAGAGCTATCTTTTTTGGTTTAAATCGTTTTCAGATGTGAAGCTTCATTTGCTTGCCCCTCGTCGCCCGAACCCCGGACGACGTACGTGCGGAGGGGCACGGTCGCAACAAAAGCTGGGATGTGGGGTGTGTTTTGTTGGAGATCGGGACTTTGAAGCGGTAATTGGGCTGGCTTCCCGGTAGAGTGTTCTTCCCCCCGACAGCTTTTTTGTCGATTCTCAGTCTTCGCTCCGCCGACGGGAATTATGATTTGACGGTCCTTACGTGCGCTACATGGTGACAGCTGTAGCCCCTGATGTTATTTTCTCATTTGACCTATGAGCATGTCACGTTTTGAAGGCCCGGTACGGTGCGGTACGGTGCCGGCGGGCCTCCGGGCCTCAGTCGGAGCTCGAGGCCCGACTTTGGCCGATCAGGCCCGGGGCCGGGCGGCGAGAGCAAATCTTAAGAATCGCCATGTTCCGGTACAGCCACAACTCATCGAGAGTCCTCAAACAACGACATTGAAATTCAATCGTCACTCGGAATCTCCGAATAGAGGCTCGTTGGCTAGTCAAGTTTCCCGAGGTCTTCCTCGTATCCCCACTCAACCCCATGTCTTCCCCCGCCTTCTCCATCGTGTCGGGGCCAGCCAGTCAGACTCGAGCAGAGACAAACTGGAGAGAAAGGCACGTGGGTATCAAGGCACGCGGGTGTTGAGAAAGACTACGCGTTCCATTGGTTTTGGAGCTTGTCTTCGGGCTGGATTGAAAGACGACTTATATATTCTGGCGATGCAGATTTCATTCTGCATAGCAATCAAGGGTTAGGGTTTGCCTAAGTAGTTCTTGAAGCTGATTTTTGCTGTTATTCCGCCTGATTTGATGGATAGTGAAGGATAGGTAGTATTGAATGACAGCGGTAATGACGCTGTTCACAGGCGTCAGTGGGAATAAGTAACACCGGCAAGCACCTTCTCTGTTTTCGTACTATCCACTAGAAAAAAAAAGTAGCCTTCCAATCAAATTATGCTCCACGCAGTATGATAACTCCTCCCTGACAAGCACCTTCCACTCAATTGTGACATCCAAGTACCTCATCAAGCATCTATTACGGATATTCTCACCGTATCCAATAGAAACCAAAGGGATGCGGTCTGCCCTGTCAGCCTGGGAGGAAGCCCATGAGGCGCACTCTGCAGGTGTGTAAGACAAAGCTCGCTTATTGACTGCCGAAAGCCAAGCAAGATCAACGCTCTCAGCTCCTTCAGCTATCCCTAACCTCAATGTGGTCTGTTCGATATTCTCATCCTGCCTCCGCATTTCAGCAACCACCGCCATTGGAATCGATGCGCTTTCGAGATGGACTCGTGGCAGAGCTTCGCCGACGGCCTTGGTTCCTTCGATGCGAACACCGACCAACATCGCCAAAACCTTGTGGATAGGCACGACGAGACGTGTCGATGGGTCTTTGAGACGTCCGAGTATCGCGAATGGATAGAGGACCAGGGAAAATTCCTCTTGATGACCGGTCCTCCCGGTGTGGGGAAGTCGGTCCTGGCGTCGGTGGTTATCGAAGAACTGCGGCGACAACAGCAAATCGTCACGTATTGGTTCTGCGGTCGTGAAAGCACGCAGAACCCAAACGCTCTGGCAAGATGTGTTCTGAAACAACTGGTCGAAGAGACAGTCGGCGGTTACACACCGTCGTCTTCGATCTATGAGTTGAGAAGTATGAATGAAGACGATGACGATCCTGGACAGCTATGGGATGCGTTGACAACTCTCCTGCGCACCATCAACCAAGTTCCACGTCCAGTCTACTTGGTCATCGACGGTCTCGATCATCTGAGCGACGATACCTTAGGTGACGTGACGTCGACTCTCCAAAGGCTTCACACCGAACACAACTTCGACGTCTTCGTCACGGCGAGATGCCTGCTTCCTCAACTCGACATCCTCGGTCTCACAGCTACCTTGGAGTACACCGACGGCGGAGAGGACTTGAACCAATACATCATAGCCAGCCTAAGGTCTAACACAGAGCTGCTTCCCAGGGCATCAGAACTCGCGGAAGCCGTCATGGAGGGGTCCGAGGGATTGTGAGTGGTGTTTGTCTGTACACTAACTCAAGAGATAACTAAAACGGCGCAGATTCTCTTTTGCCGACCAGATCCTAGATTGTCTGCTGGAGGCGCCCTATTCCGAACCAGACGGCAAAAGCCCGGCGGCGTGGACCGCAATGGACACCAAACTCGGCCTCTTCTTCGACGGCTTACTAGAGCGTGTTCTCAGCCAGCCAGATACCAGCGCGACGTGTTGCGCATTCAGATGGATCCTCTTCGCCCGCAGGCCCCTTTCGATGAGGGAGCTCCAGCACGCGCTCGCCGACAATGCCACCAAGCATCTATGGAACACGAAGGAACCTCTTCACCAGGCGGTGGAGCCCCTTTATCATACGGTTGAGCCAGACACCGTCATTGCGGCACTGAGAGGCTTGGTGCGGGTTGACAAGATCACGGGGATGGTCTCGTTCTTCCACTCGGCCGCGGAGGGGTACTTCCGTCAACGTTCGGAGCGGTTTCCAAATGCGCAGGAGGAGATAACCGCGTCTTGTGTGCGGTTGTTGACGTTTGCTTGTCTTCCTTGTAAGTGTTGGGCCGAACGCGCGAAATAAGACTCCATCTAACTGCACATTGCTACGTAGCCCCGAGCGAGGCCAACTGGGTCATCGAAGATTCCACAGATATCAAAAGAGAACAATCGACATCCTCTCGTAACGGGCTGAATGGCTCCGAAGATACAGCTGAAGAAACTCCGGCTCACAGCCCCTGGCTTCCGCGCATGATGGACAAGCTATACCATCCCACGCAGTCCTATTCCCACCAATACCGACCCGCGCAGAACCCCTTTCAAGTCAAGCTCCAAATGCCATCCAACAAGGGCTTCTTCCAGTCCAAGAGAGGATACGAGGAGAAGTTACGCCTACAGCCTTCGCTGCAGTACGCGGCCTGTAATTGGGGCTACCACGCCCAAGCATCTGCCGAACTCAGCGAGGATGTCTTGGACCTGCTACGAGACAAGACAAGAGTTGAGGGCATAAGCCAGACCATCGCCTTCGAAAAGGCTGGCTACACCGAAAAGTTTCCCCAAGACGTCACCGGCCTCCACCTCGCCGCCTACTTCGGACTCGCACACGCAGCGACCCGCCTCCTCAAAGACGGCGTCCCGGTCAGCAGCAGGGACAGCCGTGGAGAGACGCCGCTCTGGTGGGCCGTCAAAGACGACCAGCACGAGGTCGCCCGGCTTCTCAGCTTCAAGGACACCGTAACCCTGCATCTCCTCATCCGGGCCAAGCAGAAGACGTTGATGCCGCTGCTCGAGGCCCTGCTGGAAGCTGGGTACAACGTCAACACGGCTGACATCGAGAAGTGGACGCCCCTGCACGCCGCCGTGGCCTCGGGGGACGTCCAAGTGGCCGAGAGGCTGGTCGTCGCAGGCGCGGACGTCGACGCGCGGGACGTCAACGGCGCGACGCCGCTTGGCCTGGCGCTGGAGTCGCGCAACTTTGAGCTGATACAGATTCTCGTCGCCAACGGCGCCGATACGAGAGGCGTGGACTTGGAGAGGATACGCGGGGTGTTTGGGTTGCAGGATGATGACTCGCTTGAGATGTACGAGGACGGCGAGGGGAGGCGGATCTTGAGACAGATTCCGAGGGAGTTCTCGTGGACTGCGGCGAACGAGGATGACACCGGGAGGTTCTCCATGTGAGTTTTCACGTCGTAAACCGTGATCGACTGAGATGTCATCAACTAATCTTCACGCCACGCCTAGTAACCTCCTCAACCTGAACAAACACCTCCCGGGCCTCCGCGACCTGAGCGTGGAGCAGCTGCACAGTCTCAAGCCTGACGCGCCCTTCGTCCTCCGCATCCATCAGTCGACGGATGTGGAGCACGAGAAGAGCACGTGGGTCTACTACCTCAAGATCGAGCTGCCGGCGGCGTCGCTCGAGTCCCGGAAGTACCGCGCCCTGGGGATCTGCTGGAACGTGGCACCGCACACGGACGACCACGGCGTGCAGTCGTGGACCACGACGGCGCACCTAAGTAATCTTCAGGACATCTGGTTGCCGTCCAAGGGCATCGAGCTGTTCCGGGCCTTTGTCTCGCAGGTTCGGCGGAGGTGGGGTTTGCTAGTTAAGAATACCATCAGCATGGTGAACAGCGATGTACGTATCCCTCTTGCTATCAGTCTTACTCCTGACCACGTCTGTTGACGAAAGGGCCACAGAGACGCCGCGAGGTCCTGGGCGCGAACGGCGGCGACCCCAACCTCCTCGGCACGCTCCTGAAAGACGCGCTGAAGTCCGTCAACTACCGACAGCGGCTGCAGGTGACGGCCGGCGAGGCCAAGGTGTTCGCGACGGAGTACTGCCACCGGCACGACGACGTCGGCGAGCTCGAGGGGCTCCTGGGGCTGATCGACGCGTTTGCGGAGGACGTGGGGGATTACATCGGGCAGTTGGACGAGATTTCGAGGGATCTCATCCAGATGGTGAGTTGAATGCCCGCATGAAATGGCTTCATCGCTGATTCAAGGACAAAAAGGAGTTCAACTTGGTCTCGATCAACGAGGCGAGGCAGTCAGTGAAGATGGCGGCTAGTTTGAAGCGGTTGAGCTGGATTACCGTGGGTGTTTGAAGCAGTCAGTGAGTAGTTGCTATTATTGACGCTATTGTGTAGTTCATCTTTCTTCCTCTCACCTTCGTTGCGGTAAGCGAGTTCCTTGACCACGCCGAAGTTGATCTGATTTTAACTTGTGATAATAGACGTCATTCGGTATGAACATTGACATCCTGGCGGAGGAACCTCCGTGGTACTATTACCTCCCATTCGCCGGCGCCACCATACTGCTCACATCGGCAGTATGGCTCATCTTCAAATACAGCAGAGTAAGCAACCGTAGCCACCTCTTCCTTGACCGAATCAGCGATTGATGACAGGGCAGCTGGAGGAAAAGATCGAAAGAGTCATGGCATCGGTGTTACAGAAGCGGAAAAACCGCGATGGTCAACTGATGTACATCTCATGAAGGAGCCATGTTGTCTGAGAAAGGGGTATCATTTGTTCATTACAATTACAGAAAATTGAGCAGCGATGATCGCTCTGTTGTACAAATCTTTTCGTCTCACACCTCCATCACGTCCTTTTAGTCGGCCGTCTTGGCCGAGTGCTCATACAACGCCTTGAACGCCGACTCTTGCCCGAGAAGCTCTCGAGGCTCGCCAAACTCTACTAAATCGCCAGCGTCAACCACCGCAACCCGATCAAAGTCGAGCACGGAGTCCAGCTTGTGTGCGATGGCGATGATGGTCCAGTCGCGGAACCGCGACCGGAGCACCTCGTCAACAACACGACTCGACTCGTCGTCCAGGCTGTGTCCCGCGTTAGTCCATCAACCCAGACAAGAATCAAGACATAGTATGCTCACCTGCTCGTAACCTCATCCAGAATCAGCACCCTCCCCCTCCGCAACATGGCCCTCGCAAAGACGAGCAGCTGCGCCTCGCCCTGCGAGAAGAACCCGTCGTCGATGACCGCGTCAAGCCCGCCCCTCTCCTCGACTTTGTCCCACAGCCGCACCCTCTCGAGGACCTCGACGATCTCGGCGTCCGTCGCCCTCTCGGACGGGTCGACGTTCAGACGGATGCTGCCGTCGAAGACGTACGACTCCTGCGGGACCGCCACGAGTCGCGAGCGGACGTTCTCGTGGGGCACGGTCGAGAGGTCGACGCCGTCAATGGTGATGGTGCCGCTGTCTAGGTCTAGCATGCGGAGGAGCGCGAGAATGAGGGAGCTCTTGCCACTGGGTTTTGGGTGTTAGGTACAGCGTGTGGGGAGAAGGGGATGATGGTGGCTTACCTCCCGGTTCGGCCGCAGATGGCGACTTTCTGGCCGGGCTGGATGGACATTGAGATGTCTTTGAGAACAGTTCCTCCTGATCTGAAGACACGGTTAGCATTCATGATCTCCCGAGTGGGATGCCGAACTTACGCGTATGAAGCCGTAACATCACAAAGCTCGATCTGCCCCTGAGTCGGCCACTCCCCTCCGGGCTCGACAAGCTCACGCTCAGAGTCACCCTCGGGCTTCGTATTCAGAGCGAAATTCCGAACCCTAGCCACCGCGCCGAGCGAGACCTCGAGCATGACCCAGGACGTGATGAACGCCTTGATGACAGCACTGAAGGAGAGCACATTATTCAGCGCGACGCCGATGAACGCCGGCCCGATCTGCTCCCGGAGCGTGGTCACGAGCACGATCAGCACCAGCGCGATGACCGCGATGGTCATGTCGACGGAAAACGTCAGCCAGCGCTGGAGGCATGCGAGGAGGTAACCGGGCCTCTGGGAGTCGTCCAGACGGCCCATGTTGGCCCGCGCCATGCCGTCCTCCCACCCCAGGGCGCGGATGGTGGCGAGCCCCTCGAGGGTCTCGATGAGCTGGGTGTAGAGGGGCGCCTTGTGCTCGATGTCGAGGAGGCGCATCTGGCGGGAGGTGCGCAGGTAGAAGTGCTGGAGGGCGTAGAAGACGGGGACGAGGAGGGGGAGGACGGCGGCCATGTAGCGCGACGAGACGGAGATCATGACGAAGCGGGCGATGCCGTAGACGATGCCGATGGCGACGCCGAGGGCGGCGGCGGGGAGCTCCATGTCGATGAGCTGGAGGTCCTGGCTGAAGCGGTTGACCGTCACGCCGCTGTCTACCGAGCTGTGGAAGGACATTGGGGCGCTTGGCTTGTTAGCGTTGGATGGCGAGGGGAAGGAGGTTAGTTGGGCTTACCGGGAGGTGGTATCTAGCAGAACACCGTGGAAGTAAACACCGGAGTTGTTGATGATGACGATGAAGAGTTGCCTGGGAGAGACGTCAGAGGATGTCGAGTTTTGCAACGAAGGGCCTTCTTACCACATGGCGATCAGGAACGAGAGGATGGAACCGACGCCGAGGGCGGCGTACACCCCGATCCACTTGCCCAGGTCCTGGTTCGGCCTCCTCTCGTTCGCCTCCGTCCACCACTTGAGCCAGATGTCCGGGAACGAGTCGCAAAAGGCCATCAGGATCATGAAGCCCGCGAACACGGACAGGCTGAACCAGCCGGCCGCCCTGGCGTAGAAGCTGTACATGGCCCAGTCGCCGAGCTGACGCGTGGCGTCCGCCTTGTCGTCCAAGGCGTCGAGGAAGGCCTGTGGGCTCGCGGCATCGGCCGTGGGAGGAGCAGGATCAGCTTGCGTCGGGGTTGGGGATTTTTTGGGGGTGGTTTGCCCCGAGGCCTGGCTGGGTATCGAGGCAGGATCAGCAGCTTTGATTTGGCCATGCTCGTTGAGTAGGACGACGTCGTCGGCGAAGGGGATTCGGCGGGCTAAGTAGATGGTGTCAGTGAGGGCAGTGGGGAAAGGGGAGGTACAGGGTAACGGACAGTCGGATGAGACCAGGACGACGGTCGTGTCTGTGTTCCTCAACAATCCGTTGCTGCCGAGGAGGTTGTTGAAGACGATGTCCTCAGTGTTAGAGTCTAGGCCGCTGAAGACGTCGTCCAGTAGCAGCAACTCTTGTCTTGCGTACAGAGCTCGAGCTATGGCCTACGATAGTCTCAGCAAACGAAACTTAATCAGCTCAGGAGTTCGGAAAACACGTACCAGGCGATGCTTCTGACCGCCGCTCATAGAGATGCCCTTGGTACCAGCCACCGTGCTGTCCCCGTTGGGCCAGCTCGCAATGTCCTCTTCCAAAGCACATGCAGCCACAACGGTCCTGTACCAGGCTTCGTCAAGGACACCATGTCCAACGACGATATCACGTACGGTCGTATTCGGGATCCAGGCTGATTGGCCACAGTACGCAGCGCCCGAGAAGCTGGTCTTGATGGTGCCCCTGAACGAGGAGAGTTCACCGAGCAGGGCCCTCAGAAGCAAAGACTTCCCGCAACCAACAGGTCCTACAACCAACGTGAAGGCCCGCCGCCTGACGTTCCAGCTGTCAATGTCAATGACGGGCCTCGAGTCATCGGACCAGGAGAACGTCCCCTTCACGGAGGCGATGATGCTTTCCGAGAGACTTTCGCTCCCAACCTCGGACTTACGGATCTCCGAGAGCTCGACGACATCACCATGAATCGGGCTTGAAACGGCCGCCGCCGGGTCCTTCACAGTCACGACACCCTTTAAAGTCCTGTTCCCACCGGCCGCGGCTATTCTGGTGTCGGTCCTCTCCTTTCCGTTCAGGAAATCCTGGACGCGCTGGAAGGAGGTGACGGCGGCGGCGGTGATGGGGAGGGCCATGATGATGCCGGCCAGAGGCTGGTTCACTAGAGTCAAAATGGACAAGGCCGTAAACGCTTTTGAAATGGTTAAAGTGTCATTGCTGCGAGCCGCGATGCCCGCATAGGTTCCGAGTGTGAGGATGGGAGACCAGATGGGGGTGCAAATCACTTTGGCGCTGTTAGCATCTCTCCCCTCTTTCTTGGCGAGTTCGAGGAGTTGGACAACTTACTCAACATCATAGACAAGCCCAGAAGGACCCTGTATCTCTTGGACACCACCAGCTCGATGCTGCGAAGCTTCTGGATGACCGAAAACGCGACATCGCTGAGACCGGATATCTTGAGCCATTTGATGCTTCCCAGAGTCTTTGAAGTCGTCGTGACACGGTCTTGGGAAGCCTTGATCCATTGCGCCGAGGCCGTTCCCGTAGGGATGGCCAGGAAGCCCATCAGAATGATGGTGACTGCGAAGGGAACGTCAGCTGGCTCTCCGAAGCTAAACCTTGAAGGCATCCGCACCAAACACCAGAGCCACGGGCATCGCGCAGGCGGCCCCGAGCTGTCTGTTGATCAAGTAGATCCCGACGGCGATTTCCACGAGACCTCCCCATATCTCGTGCAGCTGGTTGACGCCCTGGCTGATCTGCTCGCTATCGGTCCCGACCAAGGTCAACGCCCCGGAAGGGCTGACGTCGGGTGAGGTCAGATCGAGGCGTAGCGCCTTCTGATAGATGAGCGCCGACGTGCTGCCCCTCATGATGGAGGCGGCACGCTGGGTTCGCCACTCATACTGGCCGGTCGAGACCTGCACAGAGGGCCGTGTTAGTCGCTCTCAATTTGAAAAGGCGCCAAGCCCACGATGCACTTCTAGAACTTCGTCTGAAGACACTCACAGCGATGCCGGTGTAGACCAGGACGTAAGCGCCTATCAAGCCAAAACCACGATTGTCGTATTCCCGGGTCTGGGGCAGGCCTGCGAGCTCGATGGCCTGCTGGATGAGCAGTGGCTGTGCGTAGTTGAAGCCGATCTGGAAGAGTTTCGGAATGACCGCCGCGGACATGGGCCCGGCGAAGACGCGGAGCCAGGTGCTGAACACAGCGTTGGGGACGGTTTTGTCGGGGACTTTGGAATAGCAGATAGATTAATATTAGCCCGCGGAAGATTCTTTTTTTCGGCCCTACGAGGAAACGCGGGCTGAGAGGGATTGATTACCTTTGTCCCACGCCTCCGCCAGTTTCTCGTAGAGAGGCTCGGAGGCGAGCTTCGGATCCAGAGGGTACAGGTCGTCGAGCTTGAGGATGTTTCGGTATCCGTTGACGAAGAGTGACGTCAGCCAGAAGAAGACGGAGCGATTGAAGGTGCCGCTGGTGACCTCCTTGGAATACCCTTTGTGCTGCGGGACCAGGATGTGTCGCTTCTCGGTCGACTCAAGCAGAATCATGACGGCCCTCAGGGCCAGCGCGCAAGTGAAGACGGCCGGGATGGTCTGGTTTGAGCCCAGCATCCATAGTGTTCGAGCACGGGCGGTGTCCAGCAGCACCGAGGCGAAGAGGTACGTCGAAAGGACGAACGACGGCCTTACGGAGCGATCGTGGGAGAGCCATGACAGCAGACTTAGACCCAACGAGGCGACGAGACTCAGAACACCAGTTGGGACTGTTGCACGGGTATGGGTGATGGAGGCGGACGATGAGGTGGTCCAAAGGACTAGTAGAGCAAGGTTGAGGCCTACCAAAGCGGCGGAAGCACCCTTCGCACCAATGTTAGCCAGAAAAGTGACAGGAAAGTCAATTTTGTTTGACGCACAGCTTTCAGAGGACGCAGGATGCTGGCGACGACCTTGACATCGGACCTGACCAGGCGCAGGGCGCAGGCGGGGAGGGCCAGCAGGAAGAGGCAATGCAGGGGAACCGCGAGAATGGACTCCTCGAACAGCAGCGTAAAGTCGAATCCGCCCCGGCACGTTGCTCCGGCCCACGGACCGAACGAGTCGTCCACGCCGGCAGGGCAAGCCGGCTGGTGCGGATGCGGGTGCGGGGTCCACATCGCAGCGGTTACAGTGAGCCGATAGCGGCTTTCCTGTCGCTTGGTGTGTTTCAAGACGAGGGAGTGAGCAATTTAATTAGACAGTAGCAGATTTCAAACAAAACAACGACCGAATGTAACGTTTTGCTACTTCGTTTACACTCGGAATGCCATCATTAGGAACTGTGAGATGAGAGAGACACAGCACCAACACTGGTTTGTTGCGTCGTCGGATTATAAGTGAATCGGGTTCAGACCAAAGATCCTTCTGCGCCGAAAGGAACGGAAGAAATTGGAATGCAAACTATGCAGCCGCCGTGTTTTGACTGTGCCGTCCCGTAATCTACAGACATCAGCCTTAGGCAGAGTCGCCGTCTTCCGTGCGAGTGCGCCGATGTGTGCCATTCAAGGATAATACAAGTATCGCTGTCTTGGTAGGCGGCACGGCGCTGGTTGCACAGCCACCTCGCCAACTGCCCAAAGCGGAAGCGTCTCATCTCTTGGACGGATGGACCAGATGACACTCACAATCGACAGCGATGGAGGCGTGAGAGTGTCGGGTGGGAAAGGGATGAAGAGAATAGATGCCCAGTGCTGCAGAAGTCAGCATCGGACGAATTGGTCTCCGCGCCTCGACCTCGGTATTGAGAGGCTGTAGACACTCGTAGATGACAGTGACCTATGTGACGAACGGCCGGCGGGCGCATTACCGTTTGGCGTGGAACCGTCAGAGTCTGATGGTTCGCGTTGATGAGATGACTTTTGAGATGAGTGAAGCAGGTCTCATGTAAGGCAGAAGTTTCTGTAAAAGAGCAGTGAGAATGAGCGGGATTCGTCACCAACACTCGGTCCCGGTTTGAAGAACATGATGGCAAGTCTGCTCATCTGAAGTCGTTTCGTGCGCTGATGTTCATCTTTTGCTAATTACAGACCTGCGCGATTCAACCCCAGACATGCATTTGCGGAGGATAGAGTCATTTGGAATACACACACCACCACGACCATGGACATCACACGTGGGAACGACGTGAATAAGAAGGGAAGACCCGACCTCACCTGAGAAAGAGGACTCGTCATCACCCACGTGACCGCGTTGATGCACTGAGTTCGGGTTGAGCTGAGCGTGTGTCACTGCATCGCGGCGATGAAGGTGAGATGAGAGACCGAGGACGGCCGCCACGTGAAGTTGATAGACCGCCAAGACGGGACACATTGGGGCATTCCCTCTACCTGGGTCAATCAATACCTACGAAAGATGGGCCTTTCACAGTCAGTGTAAAGTAAAGTGAACCACCTTTTACCAAAAGCACCGGCATTTCTCTTCCTCATCGTGGGGGACACACCAACACCTGGGGCAGTGGGAAAAGTGTGGACTCTCACTCAATGCGCTCCTGAGTCCCGGTGCTGTATGATTTCCTCTCTGCGGCGATCATCGCTCTCCCGCCTCCTGATTCTCCATGATTTCCCAAACAGGATCGCAGCACATCCGTTCATCCCCCCCTCTCGCTTGAAAACTTGGCTTTTTTGTCAATCGAGTGCCGCCCCAGTGATCTCCAGACCAGCGCCTGAGGATTGTTGTGGATTCTTTGTGAGAAGCAGGGACTGGGCGCTGTTCTCGGCCGCCGAGGGAGAAGTCGAGAGAGAGAGATGGGAAATGTCTCTCGAAAAAGGACGAACCCAAGGAATCGGAAACCGCCATCTGAGACTCGAGACTCGACAGGAGGCCACAAGCATCGCCAACACCGGGTGAGGTTTCTTGGTGTCGTCTTGGCCAGCCATTCTTGGCTTTTCTATTACTCACGATGGCACCCATTCTTCGCTATTCTCAGCCTCTCTGCTGAGAGTCTTGGCCGTGTTGCGGCGACGATCATCGCCCGACTTTGTTCATTTCTTCGAGACAGCAGCCCTTGGCATTTCGATGCACGAGTTGAAACACCGTGCTTTTTTTTTTTTCTTCCTTCTCTTCTCGCCTCCCCAACTTGGGCCATGGAGCCGGACGACCAGGTTTAACCAGTTTCTGCTCAGACCAGGTCAGGCCAGGGGAGGGGGCTCTATAGCGTTACCTTTTGTTCTAGCCCTCGGCATTTATCGTATGAAAGGGGATTAGGGAACGGACGGGATGGGACGGAATGGCGCAGCAGGCGAGGCAGCTTCCAAACAAGCATCTCGCTAGGACAGGATGCCCGAAATTTCTAATTGCCTGGCCCAGCGAACAATGTTGCGGCGAAAGGAGGTGACATCAACTCGTATCTCGATGGATATGCGACAAGGGCATGAGAGCCAAGCTTTGGCGTATCGTACAGTAGCGTGCGGCTCGCAACACAAGCTCGTGGGGAATCGTCTCCTTGACACACGCCATTTCTACCGCGAACGGCCATCGTAGCCGGTTTATCCAACGTCCCAGTCCAGAGCAGTCCGCGGAATCCAGAAGATTCGCCTGAAAAGAGTCATCCAGACGACTATCGTTCTGCTATGTATCATTGTATCAAGTATCAAGTAGGGGGGCGGATCTCGTTCACGAGTGATTCCCCTGCTTGTCAAGAAACGACCCAGGGTGCATCGTTGCAATTCTGAAATTTAGACTTTTTCGCTTCGTCTATGCCCAGCTTCCAGACGTGATCCCGGTTCTTCTTATTCCAAGTCGTTGGGCTTTACCAGGTGTCGGTTACGAGAAGACAGAAAGAGGAGAGGCGTTCGCGACGGGCAAGCCAAGCGCTCACAGTTGGGCGTGTTAGTGTTTCATCCCAGGTTTGACAACCTGTCCTCCGATCAAACCGCTAAACCCCCAAACCCTCCTCCTCTTCATTACCACCCCCCCCGTGCCTTGTTCCCGGCGCACAAGCATCCATATCGCATCATGGTAACAAAGTCCATACTATAGACAGGGCTGGATCAACCAAGTCTGTCAGGGTACATGGCTGTCGAGCCTGTCGCCGCATTCTCTACCGTTTGGAAGAACGTAGGAGAGTACCTGTCCTATGCATAGTAACCTGCGTGCCAGACTGAGTACCTCCTCCACAAACCCCAAATGCTCAACACCAAAGAGGATATGGAGCGGCGGGGCCGTTCTGAATCACCAGCCGTCTGATCAACCGTCGCCCTTCCCATGGTCTCTTCTTCTTCAACCCAAACCCGGCACCATCAACCGCAGACGCACGGTAGCGAGCGTCCATCATCAATCGGCTACGGCTGCTCTGTACTCTTCCTCTTATTTTTGGCTACACTCTTCGTCTCCGCTTTCCCCGGCCCACGGCTGCTCCGGGGTGCTGGCGCGACATGGCGCCGTCGTGATGCTTGGCACACGCACCTCCCATTCGCCCATCAACGTCCTTTTTCTCAAACCCGTCCCGTCCTTGCTTGCTTGCTTGCTTTCGATGTCCAGACTCCCCTGACTCTCTCCACAACCGGCGTAGCGGACAGAGCAGTACCGTCGACGGGGAACGAGGACGAGCACACGGCGGGCGGGACCATGAAGCCCAGGCCAGCCGCCCACCGCCTGCACTGCCTTCCAGATGGATCAGGATCACAAGTCTGTGACATGGCTTGACATGGTGACATTTGCGCCTAGATAGCGTTCACCTCATTTGTTTGACAAGACGTCTCAATTCCTTGGCACTGTGACCTCATGGTAGCATCCAGGGCTCGCCGTCTATTCCGAAGGGGGACCCAGGCATCAGATCCGAGAGCTGAGATCCATCCCAGGGCGAGCTTATACTCTATATATCAATCCGTCCCGATCCGGATTCTGTCTACCCTTCCTCTCTCTCTCGGCACTCTTCAGTCCTACATCAACAAAACAATTCTGGTTCAGGTCCTTCTCTTTGGCTGGTCCAGTCTTTCCTTGTCTTCACTTTCTTCTTCAACTTTAGATTCCATTCTCTGGTTCTGTGAACCGTTTTTTTACAGTTGTAGATTTACCACACCTTTTTTTCTCACTTCACACACATTTTTTCTCTCTACACTCCTTCAAAATGAAGAGCACTCTCATCCTTTCCCTCGCGGCCCTCGCCGCTCAGGTCATCGCCCTCCCTACCCAGGTCGAGGAGCGTGCCGTCACTCTCCCCATGGGCGACATGAACCTCGCACCTCGCATGGATGTCCGCCCCAAGCTCCGCCGCGGAAAGAAGGATCAGGAGGCCGCGGGCGCTGCTCAGGACGGCCAGAACGGCCAGCAGGGTGAGAACGAGGGCGAGAACGGTAAGCCAACAGCGGACTCAACCAGTATAAGCATTCGACTAACACCTTCAACAGACGACGCCGCCAACGCCGTCGCCAAGAAGAACAAGGCCGCCGCTGGCGAGAACGCCGCCGCCGCCGGAGGAGCTGCCGGAGCCGCCGATGGTGCCGCCGCCGGAGGAGCCGCCAACAACGGAACCGCCAACGCCGGAGGCAAGAAGAACAAGAAGAACAAGGGCAAGAAGGCGAAGGCCGCCAAGGCCCAGGGCAAGAAGGCCACCGCGGCCGCCGGCAAGAAGGGCAAGAAGAACGGCGGAGGCGCCGCCAACAACGGAACCGCCAACGCCGCCGACGGTGCCGCCGCCGGAGGAGCCGCCAAGAAGAACAAGGCGGCCAAGGCTCAGGGCAAGAAGGGCAAGAACGGCGGCGCGGCCGGTGGTGCCGCCAACAACGGAACCGCCAACGCCGGCGGTGCTGCCAACGGCGGCAAGAAGGGCGGCAAGAAGAACAACAACAACGCCGCTGCCGGAAACGGTGCCGCTACCGAGACCAACAACAACGCTCAGCAGGACGGCGGCGCCGGCAACATCTTGAGCAGCCTCCTCGGCGGAGTAAGTTGACCTTCCCGAACAGTTCAGTGATGGATGTTTGCTAACTCATTGTTTCAGCTTGGTGGTGGTAACAACAACGCCGCTGCCGGTGGCAACGCCCAGAACGACCCCCTCGCTCTCCTCAACGGTCTCCTCGGTCGCGATGAGTCCTCCGCCCACCTCGAGGACCGCCAAGTCGACGATGAAGTCGACGACCAGGAGGAATAAACGCGACCACCTATACGCCAAAGACTGTGTGACCGCGTGGGAGACATCTGACCGGTTTGGACGGCCGGAGCAAAAAGGCAGCTACGCTGGATGAGTTGTTGCTCAAAAGTGTTGTTCGTACGAATGTCGCGTGTTGTGGTGGAAACCTCTTCTTTTTTTCTCATTTGTGGTGCGCGCAAAATAGCTAGCCAATCTCGAATTTGAGATACACGGGAGAACCGGCTTATTTTTCCCCCTGTCGTTGCCGATATCAGGATCATGGGCTTGAGAACGGTGACAAAGGCTTCTGGGAATCACTCAATGGACGGATCTACTTCATGGCGTTGCTGGTTTACAACTTTGTAATGCCCAGGGGAGGAGTTTTATGAAATTGAGTGAGGTGCGCACTGCAGCTTCGGGACCGGACCGTTTTGTTTTAGTGATGATACCAGAAAAACAGAAATCAAACAGCGAGTTTTTCAAACATGAGAGTCTTCAAACATGAGTTGTGGGTGAGAGTGTGGGACGTGTAGCAACATCTATTTCCGGTGAGTGTGAGTGAGAATGATGTGTTTCGTCACCGAGCACATGAGTGAGAGTGAGAGTGAGAGTGTGTCAAAAGTGAAAAAGGAGGTCGGTGATGAAAACAGTTAAAGCAGGAAACAGGGGCACACGACACGTGAGAGCAGTGATTGGCAGACGATAAGGCACAGATTAGCGCCATAACCTAATCAATTGAACCCCTGCGAGGTGCTCCTCTCTCCGGCCATCTCCTCCGCACCTCCACCGCGACAGCAACGCCTTTCCACCGCCCTCGACCAACAACAGCAACTCACCACGCGTCCACTCTATCTTGGCCATGGGCCTCCGAGCGAGGTCCTACCCAAGGCAGGGAGATGCCCGAGTTGACCGACTCATTGTCTGGTTTCTCATAGGCGGAAGTCGTCTGCTAATCGCAATTCCAATGGGCCATGTTGATATTGCCCCGTCCAAGTCAAAAGCAAAGCGGTTTTCAGTCTTTTAAACTCCTGGGTCTTATTTCCTTTTCCCCCACACCCTTCTTCTCACTCTCGATATTTCCCCACTCGAGCTAGACACCAGCTAGGCGACTCTCCCGCTCGCGCAGGAACCCTTCACCTTCCCGATCAGGTCAGGGCGCCTCTCACGAACGGCTAAGAGAAAGCCGCGAAAACGTGCCAGGCACCGCACGCTCTAAGAGGCCAATTGATACGCCCCCTGTCTTGGTTGATAGACAATGTCCTCCGTGCCGTCGTCCAGTGAGAGCCTCTCGAGAGACCGGTAATATCGGAGCTGGCCGTCGGGTCGTCATCGATAATCCACAGAGAACCAGAGATTCGCGTCCCGCCAAGACTACATGCTCTGCGTGAGCGAGGCAGCTTCCGCCATGCAAGGGCGGATGGACCGTGGAACCCGGCGATGCAGACTCCATTTCGCGCATCGATACGACCTTGGCCAGGGCCGACGGGTACGGAGCCAAGATGTCCAGCTCTATCCTACATAAAGATGCAGACCCCGCGGCGACGCTGCGATGATCTTTCCTCTTTGCCTGGGACGTCGATCCGGAGGGACAGCTTCTTGACCGCATCGTCAATCGGGACTTTGACTTGTGACTCGCCGCGCCTTGTGCTTCCAAGATGAAGATTCCTTCCCTCTTCCTCTCCGCCGCCGGCGCCGTCTCGGCCTTGACCATCGCCGAGATCAATGGCAACAAGTTCCTGTCTCCCTACAAGGACCAGTCCGTGGCCAACGTGACCGGTCTGGTGCTTGCCAAGGGCCCCAGCGGCATCTGGATTCGCTCGACCACGCCCGACGACGACGATACGACCTCTGAGGCCGTCTACGTCTTCGGTAGCACAGTCGGCGCAAACCTGACGGTTGGCGACATCATCACTCTGGACGGCAAGGTTCAGGAGTACAGGTATGTGTTTCGCAGCCAATAAGAACATGAATTGACAAGCGCAGATCCGCGACAAACTACATCTACCTCACGGAGATCAGCTCCCCCAAGAACGTCGTCGTGGTGTCCAAGGGCAACGAGGTCTCTCCCCTCGTCATCGGCGTCGACACACTCAACCCGCCCACCGAGCAGTACACCAGCCTCGACGGCGGCGACATCTACGCCGTGCCCAACGCCGTGGCCAACATCTCCACCGAGAACCCCGTCCTGGACCCCAAGCTCTATGGCTTCGACTTCTGGGAGAGCCTCAGCGGCGAGCTGGTGACCGTCAAGAACCCGGTCGCCGTCACCCGGCCTAACCAGTACGGCGACACCTGGGTTATTGGTGACTGGCCCGCCACCGGCCGCAACGAGCACGGCGGTATCACCATGACCGACAAAGGTAAGACTAGTAGCCTCTGATGTCAAACATCCTGCTCACACACGACAGACTCCAACCCGGAGGCCATCGTCATCGGCTCTCCCCTCGACGGCACCAAGAACCCCGAGTCCAAGATGGGCGACCAGCTCACCGAGATCACCGGTGTCGTCACCTACGCCTTCGGCTTCTACCGCATCCTCCCCCTGACCGCCATCACCTTCGTCAGCGAGGCGGCCAACAACGCTCCCCCCACCACCCTCGTCAGCAGGGGCGACTGCAGAGGCATCACCGTCGGCGCCTACAACGTCGAGAACCTCGCCCCGACCTCCGCCCACCTCCCCTCCGTCGCCGCCCACATCGTCGACTACATGAAGACCCCCGACCTGATCTTCGTCCAGGAGGTCCAGGACAACACCGGCCCGACCAGCGACGGCGTCGTCTCCTCCAACGTCACCCTCTCCACCCTCGCCGCCGCCATCGAGACCCAGACCAACGGCAGCGCCGTCTACGACTTCGTCGTCATCGACCCCGTCGACGGCCAGGACGGCGGCCAGCCCGGCGGCAACATCCGCGTCGCCTACCTCTACCGCCCCGACGTCATCGAGCTATGGAAGCCCAACCCCGGCGGCAGCACCGACGCCAACGAGGTCCTCCCCGGGCCCGCGCTCAAGTACAACCCCGGCCGCATCGCGCCCGCCAGCAGCGCCTGGGACGCCAGCCGCAAGCCCCTCGCCGCCGCCTGGCGCGCCATCAACGGCCCCCAGAACAAGATCTTCTTCACCGTCAACGTCCACTGGGCCTCCAAGGGCGGCTCCTCCTCCCTGCACGGCGACCCGCGGCCCCCCAACAACGGCGGCGTCGACCAGCGCACCCAGCAGGCCGAGATCACGGGCGACTTCATCGGCCAGATCCTCGCCGCGGACCCCAACGCCCGCGTCATCTCCAGCGGCGACTTCAACGAGTTCGCCTTCGTCGAGCCGCTCAGGACCTTCGCCTCCAAGTCCGGCCTGCTCGATCTCGACGAGGTCGTCGGCATCCCCCACGAGGAGCGCTACACCTACGTCTATGACATGAACGCCCAGCAGCTCGACCACATGTTCGTCAGCCCCGCGCTCGCCAAGGCCAACCAGACCCGCTACGAGCACATCCACATCAACTCCTGGGAGCTGTACGACAACCTCGTCAGCGACCACGACCCCTCCGTTGCGCAGTTCAACGTTTGTGGGTGTTAGGTGGTGAGGAATTGGAGGTGAATGTAGATGATCAAAAGTATACGATAATGTAGTAATGTCTATAACCTTTGACTGTATCATTGTCTGTTACATGTTGTATATAAAAGAAGAATTGAGAAGAACATGGCTCATTATGATCACCTGTTCGCTCTGTAATTAATGCTCATGTGCCTCTCGTCCCTCCCTTATCCCAGACCTTATTTAGCACTGTCGAGTCCGTTACCGCGAAGGCATACCCCTTTTCCGATATCTCACATTCCCAGTCTTTCGTCTGCCCGTCGAATCGGACCCGCGAAGGTGGGCATACGAGACGCTCTCAGGTGCGCCGATCTGTTCCCGGATGCCCTCCGCCACCACGCCGCCCACACTCTGCGGCTCCCGCGTACTCAGTTGCACCACCGCTACCCAGGCCGCAAAGAACATGGCCGTCGCAGCGAGAGTCAGCGTCAATGGCACGCTCGCGGTCTGCAAATCGACCTCATCGCCCCTGAGCCCGAATATGTACGCGAAGAAGAAGGCGAGCCCCGGCGCGTTGACCAGCACCACGTACGAGGCCACCATGATCCACGAGATGTCCTCCCGGGCATACAGGCCCCAGAACTCCTCAAGGTCGTTGTTGTGCTCGTTGAACTGGGTATACCGCTGAGGTATCCTGGGGATGATATGCGTTGGCAGGTTGCCCTCGATTTGACGCCGGAAGAGGGGCGGCAGGTCTCGAACAGGACGAGGGAAGTACCATGGCTCCTGGGCAACCAGATAGAAAGGCTGATACGTGGCGTTGATCTTACGAGCAGAGGTGCGTCGGTACACGTGATAGATGTCGTGCCATTCGTGCTTTGAAATGGGGCGCGGGTTCTTCGTCGGCCGCGGTCGGTAGAAGTACTCCTCGTCATCATCCGGAGGCAGGCCTGGCCGTATATCATCATAACCAGAAATGTCGTACCTTCTGAATTCAAAGAAGTCGCAGTACGCAAAGCTGTAGACCGAGAGATGGTATCGCCAGAAGCCCCGCAACTTGTGATAGGCAACGCGGAAGCTGTCAGCGAAGTCTTGAGTGCTGAGCCTAGCGGAAGACATCTGATGGAACTGCAAGGAGCTGTTATCCACCAACAAGAAGATGTACTTATCACGCAGACTCTCTCTTTGAGCCTCGGTGAGCGTCGGGCTATTTCCGGAAAGATTGTCAAGCGGCGTCTGGCGAGTGACAGGAGCGTCTCCAGCCATGGGCGCACTGGATGAATTTTCGAGACTCGAAGCGGTGTTGCTTGGTTTCTGGCCCTGAGAAGAGCTACTCAGTGTTGATAACTCTATGGAAGGTCCTTCAGTCGTCGCTCGCTGGCCCATGAAGTCAAGAATCTTCAAGCCAGTTTTCAACGGCACGTTTTCAGATCGGTGGTGCCCGCAGCCCTAATCACTGTCAGAATCTGCCAGTCAACCTCTGTCGTCCGGATTTCACTTACACAAGTCCAACTCAAACGGGCTTCATGGTCTTTCAGAGGTTGCAACGGCGCAGCCATTGGCCACCAATTCCATCGATTACCAGTGAGTTGCTCTACCTTCAGCTTGACTTTATCTCCCACAGACGTTTTGAGGTCTTCGTCTAGCCTGAAAGATGAAGTATAAGAGTGCTCGAGCTCGGACATGAGGCGTAACAACGGCTCGCTTCCGTTGGTTGACCCAATCAGGAGGTCTAGTATGCCTGTTACCTCTCCTTGAATCTGTGTAATTGAGGGGGGCTTTGGCAATGCCTCTGATTCTGAATTGAAAAGAGGTTCTAAAGAAGAAGATTCGAGAACTTGTATCGCCACACGAGACCCCGGACGGGACTCCTCTGAGTGACCTATAGGCGAGGGAGCATGAGCAGGATCGAGCGGCAACGAATCGACCGACGTCGTAGATAAAACGTTGCAAACACTCATGACGATATCGCCCGCGTCCGAGACATCGTCTTCGTTCGACCCTATGGGCCCATCATCTGAAAACAAATCTTGTCGGACAGTAAGAACGCCTGCATTGAGGCTGCCCGTGGAGGAACCTATGTTGGCCTGGTTGGAACTGGCAGGGTGGAGAAAGGGCTCTTCTGAATATGGATGGTCAGTTTCCCTGTGCCTTTCCCAATCTCCCGCACCGGTCGCTTCTAGCTGCGCTGAAGATTCTGGGTAGACTGGGGTAGCACTGTGTAACTTCATGTCCAGAAGTCTGTCTGCGATCTCCTCGCCTGCCAAGGGATCGAATTTGTCCGATTCCAGAGAATTGGTGGGAGACACATCAGCCCGACATTCTCCCGGCTCGATATCAACGGTGACAGATTCTGTAGGCGTGATGAGATCAGAATCTGTGTTCGGGCTCGGTTCAGGGTCCACGTCTTCGGCCCAGATGCGGAAAGTTTGCGGGCTTGAACCGGCCGCATCCGCGGACCTCGGGAGTCTTGAGGATCCTATCCTCCTGAAAGTCTCCTCGTTATCTTCAGGCGGAAGGTCTGGTAAGTGCTCATCTGGTTCTAGTTGAGCCATTCCAACCGCATTCAGCGTTTCCGTCTGTGACTTCTGCATAATCTTCTTCCAAAGATTCGTCCCGATGTAGAGGGCTGCATCTCCTCCACTGTCTTCCGAGTCGAGAACACCAATGTTGACGCACATCCTGTGGTTCAAGCCGAGCCATGGAGCTCTAATAAACATAGGCACGTACTCTTTTAGGTATCGCAGACCATCCGGTGTCTCGAAGGGACGCTGCCGTTGGGTTGGAGACATGGGCAGACATTTGAGATTTAGCTTGGTGACTATAGGTGCGGAAACTACCGATACAGCCCAATTGGTGTTGATGGCCAAGTGCGTGCCAAAAGTCCCGCTGCCTGATTCGATTTCAATTTGTGAGAAGGGGCTTCCGGTGATAGCTGGAGGCGTTTTCCCATTGTTTGTGTTTGACGACTTGGTGTTGATGGCCAAGTGCGTGCCGAAAATCCCGCTGTCTGATTCGATTTCAATGTGTGAGAAGGGGCTTTCGGTGATGGCTGGAGGCGTTTTCTCATTGTTCGTGTTCGACGACTTGGTGTGGTTGGGATATGGTCCCTCAGATTTGGCCAGCATAGTTCAAGTGTAATGCGCAATGGTAACGCGTCCGAACATGCTTGGAAATAAACACAACGGCGAGAAACGAGGCAGAGTAGCAGGCTTAATAGCGCTGCTCAAACAAGTCACTAAATCTCTCAAGGTAGACAGATCTGTTGTATACGTAAGCCGCCCGTCAAGTTCTCATGTGGACAGCCCAGAGTGGGCACCAATAGCTGGCGCGGCTTGTCACTTGCATGTAAGTAGAACAGCTGGCCGCAGTCTGCGGCTGATAACAGTTGACCAATCACACTCGACACTCAATCATACTCGCCAGAACCAGACGCAGAAACATATTCAGTCCTCCAATGTGATTTTCGCAAATTTTTGCCGGCTTTGTGGCATCAGGCTGTGTGTGACACACTCAACCTGTAATGTCCCGTGGCGCCGGTCAACCGGAACCGGTCCCTGCTCCGGAAATATGGGTCTCCGGTCGCCGTTGCCGGAAGCTTTCGGTAAGTGAGCTCAATTTGTGCACGGCTTCTCTTGCATTATCAAAACCTGCGCGTCTGAGTTGAGAAATCTACTCATATGGATCCCATGCTTTGGAACTCATTATGGCTCAGCCTTTCAATAATGTTACGAAACTCTCAAGATCAACTATGGACTTATTGTAAGGCATAACATTAACCCATGAAGCAGCGTGACCATTACAAAAGAAATATCATGATTCGTGATAAGAAGATGACAGAAATTAACATACAGCCAATCGAACGGACAGTGAAAGAAACGCAAATTGATCTAATCCAGTTGCAAAGGTGCCCAGAGAATTCTCCCGGTGGCTTCATCCTTGTGATACCAATTCTGCGCCTCCGTACTCCATGTCCAGAACGCATGGGCAGGATCCGTTTCAAAGTCTTTCTGCACGGGACTGATGTTCTTTGCGGGTTCCTGCCCTTGATAATTCGTTTGACTGCGCCATGATCCTGACATCTCTTCCTCGTGCTCAAGCGCCGTGATTCTCGTATAGTATCGTGGTGCTCCCAATTGCTTCTCTTGGTGCCCCACTTGGGCGACACCAGATGGGATGCTGCTCGCCGGAGTAGACTGCGTACTCGGCCAAGATGATGATCCTACAAGGGAGAAAGATCCGCGATTTTGAAGTTGATGATAGCCGTAGGGCTGGGAAATATAAGAACGTTGGGTCAGCGGGAGGCTAGTGGATCTGTGCCCGCCAGATGGTCGAGTATTGGTGTGCTGCAGTTCATCGTAGTCTTGACCAGACCTGACGTCCATTTGCTCGGACTTTGCAACTTAAGATTGCGTAGGTAAAGCGGAAATGTCGTTGGCTCACCTGATTCATTCATTAACAAGAGGTCATTGCCTCGGGAGGCTTCAAGGAACGCTTACAGATGTTATGCCCAGAACGCTAAGGTCGAGAGGCACACATTGCCACTCAGGTTCTATTGATATCTTATGAAGATGATTGTGGGTATGAATTGAGGTATATCATTGATGGGAAATCTAGGTCCTCCTTGAGCAGTGAGCACAAATCTTTCCACAATATTGAGGCCAAACTTTGTATTTATAAACGCTCAATGTTTCACGTCTTCTGTGATTGAAAATCCCTGGTAAAAGTCTGCTCTGCATGGCAGATACTCTAGTCGTACTGCACACCGTTAGATAATCGCGCAGCAGTCATCACGGCGTGAAAACAAGCTGCGTTATGCGTGCATCTACGAGTGCATGTTCACGGTTATCAAGGGAAGCAAATAAACTGCCGCCCCTCAGTTCCTGGATGCCGTTGAGGTGTTGAGGTGGCACAACCCAGACGAAGCACATGGGTGTAAGAAGTGCATGGAGTGATGCAGCAATCTGCAGCTCGCCCCGCTGTCAGTGATCCATTGGCGCCGGTGGAAGTAGGCAACCAGGATTGCTGCCCAAAAAGCAGGGCTGGAGTAATTCATCTCGTGAGACGAGAAACACGTATCCATTAGCGTGCATTCAATATTCATGACTTCGCCCTGCGGTCGCCCTGTATCTTGAACTGAGGGGTTGTCGGTACATGCCCCGAAGCAACCGGTGGAGGGGGGCTGGTTGCCTCGAATCCGGTTAAACTGCTTGCTTGTCAAGTGGAACGATAAATTGTAATTTCGACACCGCTTATTTTGTATTTTGAGCGGCAGACAGATCGACTGCACGACGAGAGCGGGGTATCCTTGGGATCTCGCCTGCTCCCGGAGCCGTGCCGAATCCCTGCTAGTTAGTGGCTGGAAGCTCTGGTATGGCCGATACCTTCGAGGCCTTCTTGTATCTCTCCTCCATTGGCGGTGCTTTCGAATAAGACCAGTCGTCCTCCTGCAAAGTTTGGAGTAGTTCGGTTGCCTCGTTCGCGCACCATACTCAGGCATCAATGTAAAGCATTAATCACTCTGTTTCGTGTTTCATTCATATTGAGCAAGACCTTCTTTACGCTTCTTGTGAGAGCGTGTTTAATTATGAAGGCTGTGTAACCGCTCTTTGCTGTGTGGTCGCCACTTAAGGTGTACCGTGTACAAGTCACGTATAATATCCATTGACCTTCCATGCCGAACTCATTTACATCAAGTCCTACTCCACGTCTCACGCACTTATATATCAAAAACAAACATTTCTTCATTCACCGCCACGATCCTTTACAGACGGGCTTGCACGGATCGATACTATCATTAACATCCCACCGAAGGATACACGTCATCTTGAGATACCTTCCGCCCCCAATCCCTAGGATACCTCGCAAGACTACTAGGACAAGCCAAGGATCCGACCCGCACACAGGAACCAGCCTCCCCCTTGATCAGCCCAGTACACCATTTTGTTTTCGTCCAGGCGGACTCTAGCCACGATGAGTCCTAAAGCTGACAACACAGGACACCGTCAGAGGCGTTTGTCCTTTCCATCTGCTGGACCAATGGCTGATGGCAGTCACCACATATCACAAGTTTGTGAGGAAAGTGTCAACCCAATGAATGAAGACGCCCAGGACGAGAACCAAGCCTCTCCCGTCAGTGGCTATGCCATTTGTATGGCAGAGGTGAAGGATGGGGCAGGGGTTTTTCGGCAACGTACAGCTCACATCAACAATGGCACCCACTCGTTCATCACGCAAGTGCTTGCGAGGGCCCTTCGGCTGAGACCTCTACCTCTTCCACCAAGTCTCAGCAGACGTTTATACCTCATGTCCTTTGGCATATGGCAGCCAACGCAATTCGTCAACGTGGACATACGAGTACCTCAATTGGACATTCCATCGACGGATCTCTACCTTGGCGTACTGGATGACGGTGGTCCCTGGTCTGGGCCGGATGTTGTTCTCGGCAAAAGGTTCCTTCAAAAGACTAGACGGAGTTTCACGTCACCTCCGACGTCAGGAAGCGAAGGGGAGCACGAAGATCACAGTATACCCAAGGTACCTCCAGAGATGGACGCCCCCAGAGTTCCCTCATTCACTCATTGCGGAGCTGATGGCATCGGGGAAAATGCGTCAAACCCCGATCTATGTGATCCGAGCACCGCCGGGCCCCGGGTGGGGCCGCAGGAACCCACCCGTCTGAACCCGCCCCGGGTCGGAGCCGGACCATCAAGGTCCACCAGCGTGGTTCCCGGCACACCGTTTACCACAGCTCGGGATCCGACATCCTCGGCTACTTCAGTGATGCTAGATGACACAACTCCATTTCCCAAGGATGCCGTAGAGCTTTCGGAGGGCAAGTTTTCGGCAGGGGTGCCTTGCGAAAGTCAGGACCTGAGCCAGCGTTTCGCCGACTACCGGACAAGGAGACAGTTTCTTTGCAGTTCACCTGAGGATTTTCCATGACAGACCGAAGTGCAGTCGGATGATGCAGTCAAGCGGAATGTGTGGGTTTAATAGGAGGGTAATTGCATGGCACGGTTTCACGAAAAGCATTGTGGGTTCTTAGCGCGGCGTTTTTGGGGGCGTAAAAAGGTACGTTGAGTTCGGATTTGACATTGCATATGATTGCTGACTTGATTTTATAGAGATATCTGTGTATATAATGTTTGATTTTGAGGAGTTAATGGCGTGAGCATGGCAGTTTAGGCCGTAGGTGATAGACCAACATCATAGTAGGCCACGGCGTCTGGATCTTCGATGAGGCAGAGGACAGTACTCTCGAGGTTAGAGAATTAAGACAGAATATACAGAATACTAGACGAGAGTGTACCTAATCAAGTTCGATTAAAAATTCGTGTCAACCCGTTGACTGGTCACACTACGTAGACTGAAGCTGTTCGTTGAGATGATCGTAAACCGGCAACATCTGCGTGCCACAATAGCTTATTGAATTTTCAACGCAGATCAAATGGTATAGTTTGAAAACGTCATCTGGAAAAGAAAAAAAAAGGATGATGTATTACATACTGCATGCAATGAAGCGTCTAATCTATGTCTATGATGTATGAAATCCCCGTTGTTTTTTCCCCAAAAGAACCCTTTACACGACCCATTACATTTTGCGGAAAGCAGAAAGCTCGAACTAAAACTCCAATTTGGCAAACACGTGTATCTAACCTTCCTATTAATCCAGTTCTGTAGGACACCATATCTTTGAGTCTGTCTCCTCGTCGTCGTGATACCACCGCTCGGCCATTGGGTCCCAAGTCCAAAACTCGTGAGCTGGGTCCGCCTGGAACTGTTGCTCGGGACTCTCATGTTTCCACGTGAAATCTCCGAGTAGCTCGCTTCCAGGTTCCAGATGTAAGAGTTCTCCGTCTTGGACTTCTTGGACTTCGAGTGGGAGTTGATACTGGTTGTCATTCCGGTCAAGGGTATTCGAACTTGTATCAACTGCTGGGCTGCAACAGGTATTCGAGCAAGGCGACTCCGGCAACTGTAACTCTTCCCGATTTTGGATCGTCGATATTTCATGAATCTCCAAAGCGAGTTGATTTCTCGTCTCGCACCCGATGCCTTCGTAGTCCCAGGCCAACAACTGTGATGCCGGCGTCGCCACAGACCAATCTTGGGTGGTTGCAAACGTGTAGTAGCTACCCTCCACCGATTTATCGCTATCATCAGAAGTACCAGATCTAGAAAGACTCGCAATCTCGACTGAACACAGATGTTTGTTGTTCAGCGCTCTTGGCTCGTAGCTGCTGCCGTGGTCACACTGTTCAGGACAGCAAGCCCGGTCCTCGGCCTTGCCATGTTGTTTCGGACAGCACTGTAACAGAATTGGATATTGTTCCGGGACATCTATGATCATCAGTATGCTATCTTCAAAGGATGAGGTTGGCAACGTACTGTTCTGCATGGCATACTTGGCCAACGAAGGTGTTTTTGTTCGTGGTAGAGGAGAGACTGTCTCTGCGTAAGGGTATATCAAAGGAGATGAGGTAGCGAGGGCAGATAGTATGTTGATGCTGTAGATGTTGAGTGAGGTGTGAGGTAGAATCGATCCTCAAATCATCCACAAAGTTGAGGCCGAAGTTATATATCCTTCAAGAGTCGAACAAATCTCGTTAACGTCGACAACATGCATCTTCGGTGAGTCGATCAGTTGATGTGGTCAGAGCAACACTCATCGGAAGATGAAAATGAAGGACCAACGATTTCGCCAATTCGTCTCGGTTTCAGCCGCGCCGGGACAAGACGAGGCAATTCAGCGCGACTAATGGGGCAGTGAAGGAGGTTGAGCATCATGCAGACGTAATTTAATGTTGGAATTGTAAGTCGTGGGGTGCATTGGGCTGAAATTCCAATTCGGCTCATCCGGGCGTGGGCCGTAGGCCTGCCGCCAATCGTGATCATGTCACTCATCTTCCATCCGATAGGGGAAAGCTTTGGCAGAGCCTGCTTCATCGTGGAGCAAATACGCTGAGCTTGATCCAGTAGGCATTCTCAAATGCAGAGGGATGGGACCGGTCGTCTACGTGGTAAAGGAGATTCTGCCGCGGCCCAATCACATCTTGCATATGCATGCAGTTGAGAGGTGGCCGCGGATGTCCTTCTCCCTTGACTGGTCTTCCAAGATGTAGCTCGAATACAAGGGCCACTGGTGAAAGCCCCGTTTTCTGCACATTTGTGTGTTGTTGATTCTGATGCATGGCCATCACATCACGCCCGTCCAATATGGGGAAGTCCACCTCACGGTCCTCACTCATCAAGTCAACCTGCCTCCCCACGGTTCCTTTCGCGAACCACCTACTCCTATTATTCTTAACTGGTTGCCTGAGTCTTGGGTCACATCCAATATGTTCGTTCAAGGAGCGAGATCCGTTTTGCCGGTTGAGGCTCTGAGGTCCGGAGAGGCCATAGCCCCTTTCCACTCGAAAACGCCCAAGGAGGACACCAGGCTGCCTTCAGGCGTATTGGCAAACACAGCAAATTCCCATCGAATATACAAATGCTTGTTTGAAACGGAAATTAAGGTGGACATTGCCAAATTGTCGTCTCTGGGTCTTGCGTATATCGAAACCAACCTGGTTGCTATCACTTGTTAAAGTCTCTTTTTAGCCCATACCCGTCCTACACTTCGTGCTGGGAAGCTTCGACTTTTGGTCCCTTCCGCCCCATTCATATCATCCTTGTAAAAGCATGTTCCATTCTCCTGCCGTCGTCAGAGCATAAGGACACAATCTTCGCCTCACTCTGCTCGCCTCCCCGACCTCTACTTCGCCGGTGAGTGAAATTTCAAGCCATAGCCTTCACATTTGAGATTTCATACTTCCACATAGACAAGTCCCTCTTGCCCTTATCTTAACACAAGCTTCAAGGTGTGGCTCCATTGGTCGCCGCTCTGTCGCCCGCAACGTTGCCGCCTGTCGATTTACACGTTGGAGTATGTACCGGGGTAAATCAACACGCAACACCTCAGATTACACACCAATCCGGGGTCCAACAAGAGAAAGACAACAGCGCGGAAGTTGAGATGGCCGGAAAGGGAAACCTAACAACCGGGGGGGAGTACGAAAAGAAGACCCTGGAAGAAGGGCGCCGCCTCTTGCAACGACCTCACTCAGAACCAATCCCTGCAGCCCCAACAATCAATCAAGGCCATCTTCATCATGGTCAACAACAGAGACACACTAATGGAAGACGAGGTGCCGGCCCTAAGACCAAACCACACAAGAAGAAACCTAGATTCGACCCAACTTATTGCCCGCGGAGGCATGGCCGAAAGTCGAAGAATGACACAACCACGGAAGACCCAACGTCGACACCAAATTCTCAAGAGACCGGACTGAACCTTGTGCCACGCTTCAAAATTTCTAAGAAAGGTGCCCCGGGGAGTGGTCGCTTACTGCATACCATATACGACTCCAGCCGCCGGGAAACGCTCATTGCCGAGTCTGTGGTGAAGAAGTTGCGACTACCAGTCTTCCCGTGGAAGCCAGGCAATCCGATCGAGGTCAGAAGCAACAAAGGCTTATGGCTAGAGATCACGGCCTACGTCACTGTACATGCAGAAGTCCCCGGTCTGAGCGATGCCGATCTGGGACAGTGCAATTTCGGCATCATGCCGGACAACATCCAAGGCCTCGAGGGCGTCGAGATAGCTGTTGGTGCAAGAGCTCTCGAGAAGCTAGAGGAAGATTGCGGACTATCTCCGGAAACTCGTGCAGACATCGATCTCAACTACAAGGGACAGAAAGTTCTACCCATGAACTCAGTACTTGAGACGGGTAACACAGGCAAGACTTTCACTCAACAGGTTTTCCGGACAATGCTAATGGCACAACGCAGGACAACCGCCAGCGATGTTCCTCGGACACGGTGGTCATCAACAGCCTTCCTCCCTCCTTCAGCCACCTGTCTACAATCCCTCGTTCGGGTTCAGCAACACGAGTGCCTTCGCTTCTGGATTTTCCTCTAATCCTGCATCGACTCCGAGGACATCACTCTGCGAATCGGTACGTGCTCAGACGACGATGTACGACTGTCTCAACCCACTTCCCCCGGCGATCGATCAAGATAATGAGGAAGACTGGGGAAATAAGAGCATGATATCTGGAGGCTTGCAATATGGCCATCACGACAACGACAACAGGTCCTCGATTAGCCAGGCTTACTCGTTCTCCGAGCAAAGCTTGCCAGGCTTCAATACGCAAGACACCCCCGGCAGACCGGCCACGACGGTCTCAACAACGTTCGGACGGCGAACTCCTCAAGTCCCTAGCCTCACGATCTCCCCTGTGATGAGTTTTCATGGCCAGCGTCGATACAGTGTTAACGGAGGCTACATTCAGCCTGAGTTCTCCCCGACTCACAGTCTCATGTCGCATGTGTCGGCAGCTACGACTGGAGCTAACTTCGGTCCACGATTGCGACCTACGAGCTTAGGGCACTTGAGGAGCTTGAGCGAGAGCCAGGCGGAGTTTGGAGGTCTAGAAACAACATCTAGCCACTGGCAGCTTCACATGGAAGATGACCTTCTCGGCATGGACCCTAACGATATTGGAATGCCCGTCGACCCAAGCATTGAGCCGATGGATCCGGACCCCTTCGGTCCCGGTTTCTCCTGAGCTCCGCATCTCTCCGCCTCCTTAGAGAAGAGGCAGCTCGATCGTGTAACTCCATGGTCGGCAAATTACCATAGGTTTCATGCCCAGCATAGGGCATGAAGCTCGTATGGCCAACGTTTTGGCAGCTACTACTCAGCTGTCATCGGAACCAAGTTCCAGCAAATAACATTCAACTACGTTGTTGGATAAGGACAATGTACCCCGACTCAAATTGCAATAACCCCTTTCTTTTTATATACGTCTCTGAGTGTATTTCTTAGGCGGTTTGTTTTCACTTATAGGGGTCACAGAACCTCCGCGATTGTCTTGAGAGACATCACGGTTGTTGTTGGTTGGCGGTGTGCTTCTGAGTGTTTCACCTCACGCGTTATGATATGGGAATCTGGATTGCAGCTATGTGGAAAGATGTCGCAACGATATAACGGGACTTTCTTTAGTATAATTACGGCCTTTGTTGTTTCCTTGGCTCATAATCTATATACTTAACACATACGGCCCCCTCACCAAACTGGTAGGATAAAACAAAATAAACCAGTTTATACCCATCTATCCTCTCTTGCTTTCAGTGACCGAGAATGCTACTTGAGGAAGGCTTGATACCTAAGCAACAAACATGGTCTCCCTAGTGACCAAGGTTTAGAAGGGAATGACTCGGCAGCAATGGAGATATCCCGTGATGAACATGAATGTCCACCTGGGCAAGGTCAACAGCGAAGGCATACTCACAAGCCCACTGCTTTCTTCTACTATCAAAGTCCCTTGTCACTAATATTCTCCTTCTGATCCTCAGATGTGCAGATGTGAATTTGGCCCACTTATCTCCAGAATCTCAGGCCATTTGCATTCATCTGTATTCTGCATGCCCTCTAGCAGCCCTAAATAGCTGTAATTGATGCTATTAACTGAAGATATATCGCAAAGCACGCGTCCAAGCTGCAGCCTCCCTCAGTGACGTTTCCCAAAGCATTCCTCTGAGTTCCAAAAAGAAACCTAGTGTAAACCTCACTACACCTTATAGAAACAAAACGCAGTGTAGAAGCTTGCCGCCTCGATCTCCTCAGGTGACACCATCAGCTTTCCTCCGCCGCGCTCACGCACACCCATCCGCTCGCTCAGCGGCCCAAGAGTCTCATCATCCTTCTCCGACTCCCAGATCTCCATAAAGGTCTTGTGGTACTGCAGCTCAAGATTGTAGTCTTCAGCCAGAGCTCTCAGAACCTCCCAAGGCACCACGTACTCCGGGACCTCTTCAACAGCTTCGTCCAAGAAGAAGTTGTACTTCCAGCCAAAGGCCGGCCTGAAGACACCATCCTCAGGGGTCTTGCCAGGGAAGCGTACCCGGTAGATGGAGTTGCCCCACTCGGCCGACTGGTCCGCCTCGCCCTCCTCCAGCTCGCCCTCCTCGGCCTCCGCAGGCGGCTCCTCGGCGGCCTGCTTCTTCCTCTCTTCCGCCTTCTGGTTGAATTCCCGGACGCGCTCGCCCAGGACGTCCGAGTTGGGGATACATCCGATCAAGCGGCCGCCCTTTTTCAGCGAGCCGGCAACGTTGCGAAGCATCATACGGGCCTTTTGTTCCGTCTCGAAGGCGTAGTGCATGCAGAACATCATGCTGACGACGTCGAAGCCGCGGCGGCTGAGGGGGTTCGTGTCGAATCCGACCTGGCGCACAACCTCAATGTCCTCGATGGACTCGCCGTAGCAGTCCTTCACGTGGAAGCGCGCTTCGAACAGTCTCGGGGGAGGTCGCCTATGTCCTCCGCGTCCGCCTCTGCCACCTCCGCCACGGCTGCTCATCTGGCGGTAGCGCTCTCGCGCCTGGTCGATGCTGATGTCTGCGGGGTCGAGACCGACGTAGAGCTCCACGGGCTGCGGCGCTTGCTGCCACTTGCCCAGGTCTCCGCCCTTTCCGCAACCAATATCGAGCACCAGGAGTTTTTCGCCCGTTGATACGCCCTGCTCGCGGGAGCCGGGTGTGTGGTCTTCGTCGGGGGAGAACTTCTGGATGATGCAGCTCTTGATCCAGTTGTTGAATGCGCGCAGCCCCTTGATCTTGCTGTCGGTGCGTCTCCAGTCCCTGCCGCGCTCGGGTACGCTGTTGTAGTGTTGCGTGACGACGTCGTTGATGTTGCGCTGGCGCTCCAGCTCGGCGTAGGATTGGGCCTCCTGGGCCTTTTCGCGGTCTAGGGCTCGTTGGCGGATGGCTTCTCTTTCGGTCTCGGAGATGCGAGCGCGGGCGCCGGGTCTCTTCTGCTTGCGCGGCTGTTCGGAAGGAGAGACCGCGCGCCTCTTCGCAGGCTGGAGCTCCTTCGCATTGTAAGGTTGGGGGAGTTGATCGCTCTCGTCTTCGCGTCTCTTGCCGTTCCTACCGGTCTTGGCTGGGGATACGGATCTCTTTCGCTTGCGCGCGTCGTAGGAATCGTCGTCGTAGCCCGCCATTGTGTTGGGGCAATGGGTATGAGGTGGTGTTTGTAAGTATTGCTATGTCGAGTTTTCCTCGGCCAGAGCTCAAGAATTGTTGTCTTTGTGATATGGTGAATATTCGTTGCCGTGGAAGGGTTGTTGTCGAGGAGGAAGAAGCTGAACAGTGGTCGCAGAACAAGGGTGAGGTAAGTCGGACCCACTTAAACCTGGAAGTCTTTGGCTCAGGTACCTAAGGTAGGCGGCTTCTGTAAGCGGGAGGTGCAACTCATATTTTCTCGCCATTTTTATTTACAGGTAAACCAGACTGTCTTTACAGGTTTGGATGAGACGAAAACAAACTTGACGATGTGAAGCTTCTCAGATTCTTAAGATTTTGGTGACATCCAGGATCGCTCCTGCCATTTGATGATGCTAGGCAGGTCCAGTACGTGTCGCACTGCAGCCTTGCCTGGATGTACTAAGCTCCCCCACTATCAACCAATCACGTCACAGTCTGACTGGCCGCTTGCGGTTTGCAGGGGGGCCTTCTCAAGCTCCAGCTCCAAACACCTCTAAACAACGACATCACTCTTGCTCACCCAATAACCCGATTCCGCAGCCTCAATCTCTTCTCCCCTCAACCTCGTCCATTTCAATTCTTCTACCTCATCCCACGCCGCCGCCGTCGAGAAGCGAACCGCAAAGATGGGCTCAGATCCCCAGTACGCAAAGTACCCCCTCCTCCCCCTCGCCCAGCACGTCTTCACCCTCACAAACGCCTACGCCTCCCGACCATCCCAACAAAATGCCACGAAAGCTCTCAACGATGCCATCACCGAGCACAAGATGGCGCCGCTCTACCGGTACCTCGCCCACCCGCTCGAGGGCATCCTGAACCAGGTCGGCGAGGGCGGCAGCCAGACACCCGGCAAGCCCTTGAGTCGGAAGTCGAGTTTGGCCGGCATGATCGCCACCAAGACCACCCCCACCGCCGTCAACCTGCCCTGGGACGAGGGCCGCTACCAGGAGCTCAAGGCCGACAACGACCGGGAGCTGGAGGAGTTCCAGAAGGAGGAGGACGAGGCCGTCGAGAAGGCCGGCGATACTGAGATTCAGGCCGCGCGGGGGAAGCGGGCCGAGTTCTGGGCCAGAGTTGGTGACAAGGTGCGTCGACACGTTTGTCAGCCGTTGTTGGGATCGGAGGACTGACAGCTTTGATAGGACCGGGCGATTGCCGCATACGAAGACGTTTTCGAGAAGACGGGTATCCTGGGCACCAAGATCGACTTGGTGCTCGCAATAGTCAGGATGGGTCTCTTCTACGGCGACAAGCTGCTCGTCAAGAAGCACATTGAGCGCGCAAAGACCCTCGTCGAGTCCGGCGGTGACTGGGACCGTCGCAACCGCCTCAAGGCGTACGAGGGTATCTACTCTCTCACCGTGCGCTCCTACAACAGCGCCGCACCCCTCCTGCTCGACAGCTTGTCCACCTTTACCAGCTACGAACTCTGCACCTACTCCTCCCTGGTCGTCTACTCCGTCCTCGCCGGATCCGTCTCCCTGAAGCGCGTCGACTTCAAGAGCAAGGTCGTCGATGCTCCCGAGATCAAGGCCATTCTTGGCGATGGAGAGGACAAGCTCCTGGCTCTGTCAGGTGCCCTGAGCGCCGGCCCCGGTGCCGACGACACCATGCAGGACGCCCCGGCGCCTAGCGCCGCCACCAAGACGGCCGTCAACCTTACGACCCTCGGAACGAGCACCGAGCAGCCGGAGGCCGAGATGGCTATCGACTTCTCGCCCCTCGCGCAGCTGGTCTCGAGTCTGTACAACGGCCAGTACAAGTACTTCTTCCAGGCTCTCGCTCAGGTCGAGGAGAACTTCCTCACGCAGGACCGCTACCTGCACGAGCACAAGAACTGGTTCATCCGCGAGATGCGCCTGCGCGCCTACCAGCAGCTCCTCCAGAGCTACCGCGTGGTCGGTTTGGAGACGATGGCCACCGACTTTGGTGTGACCGTTGACTTCCTGGACCGGTATGTTTCCTATGCTTAACGACGAGGTGGTAATGCTAACTTTGTACAGTGACCTCGCCAAGTTCATCGCGGCTGGCCGCATCCCCTGCACAATCGACCGCGTCAGCGGCAAGGGCGTCATCGAGACGAACCGGCCAGACGACAAGAACAAGCAGTACCAGGACGTCGTGCGCCAGGGCGATCAGCTCATCACCAAGTTGCAGAAGTACGGCCAGGCCGTCCGTCTAAGGGGAAGCGAGCGCGCATAATTGCCTGGGTCGTGGAAGTTGAAAAGGCAGCCGTGGTTTTTCTACTCACCAATTACTATCAAAGGCAGTAAGGCGCACAGGTAGAGATTGCGGCGAAATAGAATGAGGGGTGAGCAAACGTGTGCTACAATAACTCTGTATGATACCTACGGATAGACGAGCCAAATGAGACATCTTGGCTTCGACTCTCTGGCCATCGCGTGTGACGTCTGCAGTGATGCTCAATTCGCGATGGCAATCTACTCATCGGCATTTGCCATAGGAAAGCGGGGAGCTCAATCAAACTATAAATCATGTTGCGGGAGACGTTCTATTCTCGCATGCTATGCTTCACCCGATGTCATGAAGGGAGTCCCTCCCTAAGTATAACACGCCATCTTATTTTGGTATTTGCATCCCTCATCTCCAACCATCGTCCGATGGTCTCACGTAACTTCCAAATAAAAGCACGCTCTTCATGTCCAAGCCGCGCTCGCTGCTATGCTTTGCAAGATCGTCCTCATCCAAGCGGCTGGCCCTCCTCCTCGCACCCTCCCCTTACATCGCTCTCAAAACAACCCGTGTAAAGACACATCTATCGGTACTTCTCGACGAAATCCTTGTGGAAGTTGATGATGCGGCCGACCCAGTCGGTGCCGGGGGCGAGGAAGGTGGTGCGGAAGTGCAGGGTGCCCTCCTTCTGGCCGAAGCCGCTGCCGGGGACGACGCAGACGCCGGTGGCCTCGAGCATGCGCATGCAGTAGAACTCGTCGGCGGTGCGGCCCTCCTTGGCGGCGGCCTCGGCGGCCTTGTCGGAGAGCTTGATGGTGGGGAAGAGGTACATGGAGCCCTGGGGCTCGCCGCACTCGACGCCCTCCATCTGGTCGAAGGCCTTGTGGAGGGCGGTGGCGCGCTCGCGGAGGCCGTTGAAGATGCCGTCGTACTCCTTGCGGTAGAGCTCGTGGCTGGGCTCGCCCTCCTTGGGGGGGTTGACCATGAGCTCGACGATGCACTGGCCGATGACGGGGGCGCAGAGGGTGATGGAGACGAACTTGTAGATCTGGGCCTCGACCTCGGGGTCGAAGTTGACGAGCTCGAAGTAGCCGCCGCGGTGGCCGCACTCGCCGACCATGCCCTTGGAGATGGAGTGGAGGGAGGCGAGCTCGACGCCGTCGTACTTGCCGGGGGTCTCCTTCTGGAGGCGGCGGAGGACGGACTTGAAGGAGTGGAACTTGCCGACGAAGACGTTGGTCTGGTAGACCTCGTCGGCCATGACGACGAGCCTCTTCTCGGCGGCGAAGTCGTAGACGGCGCGGATGTCCTCCTCGGAGAGCGAGGCGCCGGTGGGGTTGCCCGGGTTGATGATGACGATGGCGCGGACGTCGGTGCCCTCGCTGGTGGCCTTCTCGTAGGCGGACTTGATGGTGGCCAGGTCGGTGCCCCAGCCGGCGGCCTCGTCGAGGTAGTAGGGGACGCAGGTGGCGTTCAGGACGGAGAGCGTCGCGGTGTAGAGGGGGTATTGGGGAATGGGGACGAGGACGCCGCTCGACGGGTTCGCGCACATGATGTGGAGGAGGGTGTTGACGCCGGACGAGGCGCCGCCGGAGAGGTAGATGTGGGCGGGATCGGCGGGGAATCCGTCACGGCCTGGAAGTCTCTGTCAGTTCACCGAAGGCACACGGAAGTCGGGCGGGAAGGCTCACGCTCGATGAAGCTGGCGATGCTCTCCTTGATGGCGGGGACACCGGCGCTGGCGCTGTAGGCGCCGACGGAGCCGACCTTGCTCAGGAGCCATTTGGCGCGGGAGATGACGTCGGACTTGTAGCCGAGCTGGTTGAGGAGGACGTCCTCGTGGTCGAGCAGCAGGGGGTTCTCGAGGAGGGAGACGACCTGGCGGAAGAAGGTGATGGGCTTCTGGTCGAGCTGCTGGGGGTTACCGATGTTTGCGGAAATGACATCGTCGAAGGGGAGGTCCTTGTCGCCCTTGGCCAGCTTGGCGCGGTACTCCTCCGACTTCACGGCGAGCTCGCCACGGACGGCGTACTTTGCGGCGACAACATGCTGGTTGATGTTGTGCACGTTCAACCGGCGGCTCGGCGTGGTCGACATGGTTCGGTAGTGGGTGCTGCTGCGACGGCTGCTCGAGAAAAGTTGTGTTCGCGATGGCGGGGTATTGGAGAGGAAGATCTTAGGGGACCGCGGGGTATCTGTGTTAGAGTCATATAAAAGTTAGATAGGGGCTTCAAACGCGGAACAGTGGAGATGAACACCTTTTGTGACAGCCCAGTAAAAAGAGCCGCGGGAAACGAAAGGTAATTGACTTCGGAATATGGATATGGGGAGGACCAGGTTTTGAAGAAACCCGTCAAGAAAGCAGCCACACTCATAGCTATTTATTGTCTCTTTCTCTCTTCTTCAACGAGGGGGGCGTTCCCAAAAGCAATGACCAGCAGACACCAAGCTTGGACGCGGGGGAGCTGCTATTACACCGGATGTGCACCCGATGAACGGCAACTCTGTGTCATTGACGGATTGCAACGGGCAGGAGGAACAGTACGCCAAAATCAGCGCACCATCTTCCCGTCATCGTCCGATGATTCTACGCTGGTCTCATTCATTACTCTCGGGATGTTATGGACAGGCACGAGACACTGTCCTGCATCATTAGACGGCCTTGGTCTCTGGGGTTGTGACCACCAACTTGTGTGTTTGCCCCCTCTCTTCCCGAACTGCCAGCACTCGCTGGTAAGTCGCGCGGGCGATGGCCGACGGCAGACGAAGACGTGGATCAGACCCGGCAGTGTTTGGTTCGCCATGCCCGTATTGGTCTGCCTCAAAGGCCTGTGTCCGAAACCGGTGCACCGGTGACAAGGGGGCCATCCGGGCCTGGGTCCTGGCGGGTTCCGCGAGGGCATTTCGAGGCTTCGGGAATCCAGTGGCTGGGAATGAAGAAGAAGGTGGGGTGTATTCCCACGTGGGGTCCATGGGCTTGGAGATCGGGTTGATCAAGAATGCATTGTTTTGGCCCGGTGAAGCTGCGCAGACGGTGTAGACGGACGTGTAGGACAGAAGGAAACTGTGGGTGCAACTTACAGCTCGGCCTCCCCCGAGCTGGATTGCCCCGAGCTGAAGCTCTGCCGCCGCCAGGTATCTCCCGAAGCTGTTCGCGCCGGCCAACCAGCGGCAGTCGATACGGCGGGCTGCCGCAGTATCGGTCGCGCGCAGGGCAAACATAAAGGGTGAAGCAAGCCGATAACGTTCTTGAAGCAGGACCAGGAAAAGAAATTGTGGAGAGCTTCAGCTTCGTCCATCTTGCGACGTACCATTCAATCTGTGACTGCTCATCAGTCTGACTTGAGCAGCGGTTTGCTTCACTGGTGCTCTCAGCGTCCTCGCTGTGCCACCAGCCACTCTGCACATTGTCGAGCTCATCGTGGCGACAAGACGGCGTCAACCTTGTGTTGTCGTTGGAATGCTGTCGGTATCGTGGCGATAGACCGCTTTCAATCGCCGCTTGAAGTCGAAATAAGGCGAGTCCGAAAAGTCTAGTTGGACAAAGACGGCTCTGCGTTCGGACGCGGCTGAGTTGCCCAACGACTCGCAAGGTGTCTTATCCTCGAGTGTCTTCAAAGAAGAAAAGAAGCAAGAGTCGAAGCGAAACTCGAAACCGTGTACCCCAACGCAACCGGGCGAGACAGGCTTTGCTCTTTATTTGAACATAAGCGCTCACCCATTTTCCACCACACCTCCTACCTTACTCCTCCTTACTCCTCCTTTCTCATCCCCGGTACCTTACCTGTACACATTCGTTGAGGACTGCCAAAGCCGCTGCGAGATAATGTCCCTGGGCCTGCCGGAGCCCGACCGCCCGCCGGCCAGTCGGGGCTCCTCGCGATAAACCGCCCTTTAATGCGGGCTTGACTCCGAATGGAAAGGGAAGGGTTCTGGGGGGGGTGTGGCCGCATGCAGGGAAGGGCGCGCAACAGACGCGGCCGAGACAATCTACAGTCTCACCGCACATCGTGTTTCTTGCCTTTTAAGAATAGAACAGACTGGTTAATTAGTGTTTGAACAACTTGCTACAGGAACTGCTAGGAGATGATTCAGCATCATTCAACAAGCTCGTCACCGTGAAGTATTGCTATATTTCATCTCCGTCTCGTCCGAACACAAGCTAACGGTCGCCGCCTTTCGATGCTCAGACCCTGCAAGCTCTAAAGAAAAACCCCGGGCGAAAGACCGGCAGATCCCACCGACCAGCTCCGTTATTCGGATTACGACCGCAATCTCGTTCGGCGACTTGTAGATTCGGCCGTGATGTTATGGTGCTTTTCTACAACACCGCAGGCTAGACTGTGACGAGGTGATGTTTTTCTACTTTTTCCCGTTGAAAATAAGTGCAGAATTGGAATGATTGAATGGCATTGCCAAATGTATACAACTATGGCAAAAGACAAAACAAATATATGCTAGAATACTATCTGCACCGTCAGTCATCAGGCCAACCGCCTGGCACTGGGATAGGGAGGATTTGCTATTGTCAGCCTACGCTGTGCGTTTCTGAGTTCGGTAAGGACAAAGGGGGACCCATGCCATAGACTTAAGTCTTCTGGAGTTTTTCCTGCGCTATTTCTCGGTGCTGCACATGCTCCTGCCTCAAGGAGTAGACGAACAGTGTCGACATCGCCGCATTTGGAAGCATTATGGAGTGCCGTATTTCCTTTTGGATCTTGAGATTCTATATCTACTCCTGCTTTAAGGAGTAGAGACACAACTCGAACACAGCCGTAGCTTTCTGAAGCATTATGGAGTGCCGTATTTCCGTTACGATCTCGAGCTTCTATATCTACTCCTGCTTCAAGGAGTACAGACACAGTTTGATCACGGCCGTAGCATGAGGCCGCATGGAGTGCCGTGCGTCCATAGTCATCGGTGGCTCTTATATCTACTCCTGCTTTAAGGAGCACAGACACAACTTGATCATAGCCCCTGAATGAGGCCTCATGGAGTGCCGTGTATCCATGGCGATTGATGGATTTTGAATCTGCTCCTGCTTCGAGAAGTAGACGAATAGTACAAGGGTTATTGCTCTGAAAAGCCCAATATAATGGCGTTAATCCATCGTCGGTGTTGGCTTCTGTGTCTGCTCCTGCTTTGAGGAGTAGAGAAACAACTTCATGATGACCAAGTCTTGAGGCCTCGTGAAGTGCTGTTCTTCCCCCGCAAGTGCTAGCTTCTATGTCTACTCTTGCTTGGAGAAGCAGAGGAACGACTTTAACATGGCCGTGTAATGAGGCCTCCATAAGTACCGTGTATCCATGGCGATCGCTGGTTTCTATATCTGCTCCTGCGCTAAGAAGCAGCTTCGCAACTTCAACATGGCCATTGGCTGAAGCAGACTGTAATGGCGCCATGCCAGTACTGTCGGCGACTGTATAATCGGCCCCCATGTCGAGAAGCGTTGCAGCGTCCTTAACATAGCCTTGATTTGCCGCTTCGTTTAGTAGCGTACATCCAACATCCGTTTGCCGGTTGATACACTCAGGCCAGACAGTGTTGGTATCTCCTTTGAATGCAAAATCGAAGGCGTTTCGATCATAGTCGCCTTGCAGCGTCATTGGCATCGAGCTCCGTTTGCCGGCATTCATTGGGAAAGCTCCGGGCATTGGTGGCGGTGACCTGGCCCAGACTCGTATCGTGCTTTCGCCACCGATGGTGTGTATTTCATCATCGCCTCTTTCTGTTGCCTCGGTCCTTTCGTATGGTGATGTTGTGCGGGATCCGCTGATTTCCATTGCTGATTTGGCTCTTGAGTGATTTGAATTCGTCCGTGACGACGCAGCCACTTTGTCTGGCATCGCGTCGGTGGTCCACCTCGCTGATGGCGCTTTGCTTATTTCAGACCCGCTGTCGAGGTCCTGAAGTCCGAGAGACTGGGTTTGGAGCCGTAGCCCGTCCACCGGCCCACTCTCTTGGATTGAGTCCGTCTCTTGTGCGTTGAGGATGTTGCTGAACCATTCATGGATCAATATTTCATTAGCCGCTGGCCGTCCCGTTGGCGAAGGTGCGAGAAGCTGGCCCAAAAGACCCTTGAGACAGGGCGTGGTACCACAGGAATCAAGGTCTTCGGTCGGAAGCGCGCGTAGGCCTGCCGCATAATACAGAAGCTCAACGTACTCGTCGAGGAAGAGCATTTTCGTCACCATTCTGAATATAACCGCGCCGAGAGACCAGATATCGGAAGCATGGGGGCAGCCTCTTTCCTTGACTAAACCAAGCATCTCTGGTGCGACGAAGCCTAGCGTCCCCTTATTAATTGTCCCAAGCGTCAACTGGTCAGGTCGCAACCGCCTGCTGATGCCGAAGTCTGATATTTGCACGAGCCAGTCGGGACCAGTGACAACAACAAGTATGTTCTACCATAACTGTTAGTTTATACTTTTGGCAAAGAGAACACAACCTTACCTTCGGCTTGAGGTCCCTGTGAGTGAACCCATTCGTGTGCATGTACTGCAGACCCTGAACTAGCTGAAAGGCAATTGTCTTTGCTTCCTCCTCCACGATCGGATGTTTGAGATAGTTTTCCAGGTCACCCTTATCCATGTACTCCATCGTGATGAAAACGGCTTCCGGAGTTTCAAACCACCCAAAGGACTGGACGAAGAATGGCGTATACTATAAGACACCGAAGACGTCAGGTTCAATGCCCTCGAAATAGTTAACAAACTGCTCTTACCCGATGTTGAGAGAACTTCGTGATCGCCTCCAACTCCCGGCTGTAGTCAACATCATTCGACTTTGAGATTCGGGTCGGTATCTCTTTGACAGCTCTGCATTTCGGGCCGTTCTGGCTTGCTGGTCGGTCACAGCTTTCCAGCCAAACAGTACCATATGCGCCATTGCCAAGGTACTTCCGTCGTTTCCATTGCTCGACTGTTTTTATCCTCCCCCGGCTGCCGGATATTCCGCGTCTGTAGAAGGTATGCTGGGTATAGTCTGGAAAGATGGACGTCTCGAGCTTCGCCTCTTCTACCAGATCGGAATGGGGAGGCATGCCGGGCGACGCAGAGCCCGCTAGAGGTCACGGCTGAGGCACCGTGGTTCCGTACCCGATGTACGGCTTGTGATACCGTCAAGCGAGGCAGTCGGCCCAGCAGCATGGAAGCGACAGTGTCAGGAGACTTGCAACATCGACGAAGTGAGGTTTTGCACTCCGGGACGTGTGTTTGTGAAGGGTAGATTTGGAATGTCTCTTTAGGGAAGCTGCTTTGCCGTTTAGCGCAGCCTGATCACGAGTATCGCTTGGCGGTTGCCGCGCTGCGTGGTTGGTTAGTGCGTCCTCATGCATTGGCAGGCAACATGCAGGTCGGTGACATTGTCCCGATGTCCCGGTCTATTCTGCTGTGGTGTAGTCCCTTCATTCTGAATTTGCGTCTGAAAACTTTGATTTGAATTTCCGAAAAATATCGTTTGTCAACGAAGAGTGTATTCGTAAGGAGTTGGCAATTGAACGGAATCAACATGTAATTGGGACGTTGAGCTGAAGGACGTGGTCGCACGTACATAGGCATCTCCTATGCACCAGCTGGTCCCATCTGGCCGTTTTTCGAGATTGACGGAGAGCTCGCTGAGCACCAACCTGAGCAGGTTCGGGTCAGACCCACAAAACCCTCGGTGAACGGCCCTATTCCCTCCGACACCGTCACCACCGTCACCCAGCAAAATCTCCGGCTCCACGATCCTTCCGCGACCCTCCAGGCCGATTCCAAGCTCCAAGCTCCCACCACGCGCCACGACCCTCAAGATGGCCAAGAAGAGTACGCATTCCCCGTCCGCCTCTCCCGAGTCCTCGCAGCAGACTGACGAAACCTCCCAGCCAAGTCCCGTGTCATGATCGTCCGGCTCATGTCCATGGCCGCGACAGGTTTCTTCTACACCTTCAAACGCCCGAGAACGGCGTCACCCATGAGCATGTTGAAATACGACCCGATCAGTACGCACCCCTCGATTCTTTCTTTAATGCGCCTCCATGCGGTGCCATGAGAGCAAGCGGCGCATAAATTCCAAGGACCCAGCTAACAGTCTCCCAGTCCGCCGGAAGGTGCTCTTCTTGGAACAGAAGAAAAAGGGCAAATGAGCTCTCCGATCGCATACACATCGATTTCTCCTGTAACAACAATGATATCATCATATACGGCGTTCACGGCGGCATGCAATTGGTTTTGGAGGACGTCATGACATGGTCGCGGACAGACCGTCAAACCCTTGTCATCAAGAGGAAAAGACAGCGGCACACTGAATTCATGGGCTTATGACAATATGAGCTTCGATTGCCACAATCTAAGTGTATATTCTACCAAAAGTTGCCAAAGAGTCCCCCAAATTTCTTCCCCCCATCTGTTGCGCCCATCCGATTTGTGTCTGGCCTCCAAAAACTTCGCATGCTGCGTATCAATATGGCTCAAAAAATGTTGACCTTTGCCCTCACGAGGTCGTCAGCCTCCGGAGTCTTGGAATAGGTCTTCAAGATGCGTCTGTCGTTGGATGAAGACGGCGGCTGCTGAGGCCCGTGGGTCTTCTCTGCAAGAGGCTGTCTGGCGGGTCCCTGCTTAAGATTCTGCGTCGCAGCGATTGTCTCCTTGCCCTTCCGAAAGTGGGGAGAACGAAGTGTATGGCTGTCAGTTTCGGTCTCGTCAGCATTGATTCCGTCAGGTTCGTGTGCATAGGACGAGGACAACGGATCGTCACTGCTCAGTTCGTCGTACACTGACTTGGTACGCTTTGGCTGTCGACCATCGGGTGGTTGTGATTGGGCTCGCTTGACTCCTTGCGGTTGAAGCTGCCTCAAGAACGGCGACGACAGGATGCTTGCGCTACGGACATTGCCTGCAGTGACAGCTTTTGACTTGCCTGTGCCGTTGCGCCTCCTTGGCACAAGGAACTGGGCACTTGCAATGGCATTCCCACTTCCCACAGGCCGGTTGTACCTAGTGTGACCAGCATGGGTAATGAGTGAGATTTCTTGGGTCGATCCTGGAGCGTCAACGGCCACTGGTTGCAGACTGGACGTCGTGCGCCGAAGAATGCCAGTTGGGCCCGACCCCGGGTTCGTCGAACTACGCCGTTTCTGCCTCTCTTCGGCCACTGAGGGTGGCTCTGGCGACTGGTCCGGCTCCTCGATTGGACTGCGCATGACCAAGCGCTTCACTTGCACGGCGCGCTCATCGAGCTGCGTATCCGGAACCAAGACGTCGTCCTCCTCGCCATCGGAATCATCGGAATTATCAGAAATGACGATTTCATAGTCCTTGTCAGCTTCGGCCACTGGGGCTGTGCGAGAAACCTCAATCTCATCATCATTACTGTCCCATCCGTTCTTGTCGGCCGTTGACATTTGAGAACTCCCATGAGATGATGATGAGCTTCCGGGCTCTTGGAGGTTGGTAGACTCGTTACCCTTGTAAGCAAGTGCTGCTTCTTGGGTGGCCTCTCTTACTCGCACTTCTTGAATGTCTTCGAGCATCTTGTGACAAAGGCTCATCACTCTGTGTTGCTCTTGTAGCTCTCTTTCCAGCTCCTGAGGTGTCTTCTCCTCGACGTCTGTTGGGTCTTTTTGAGCGGTCTGAGAATCGCGAAGCTTCATTGTCAGGTTGCAAACTCTCTGGTTGGCATCTGCAAGGCTCTTCTCCAGTTTTTGGTTCTTAGTCGAAACCGTCGCAAACTTCGCTCTCTCTTCGGTGGTCTCGCGCTCCATGGAGCCTCTGCTCGCTTCCAACGTAGTGAGGCGTTCCTTCAGGATTGTTTCTCGAGCCTCGTGAGCGGTGTGCTCGTTCCGGAGGTTGGTCTCCAGATGAGCCACCTTGGCTTCGCTCTCCCTCAAACGCTCTACTGCTGCACGAAGATCTGCGTCCGAGGCGCCTCCGCGGTCGTGATCCTCGCTGGTCTTGATGAATGCCTCAAACCGTTGGCGCATCTCGATGACGGCATTAGCCGTATTGTTTAACTGCTCCTCTTTCGATCGAAGCAGTTGCCAAACACTGGCACTCTCTCCCCCCTGCTTCGAAAGGCATTGCAGAAGCTGTTGCTGTTGTTCCTTGTGTTCGGCAACAAGAGCCGACTGGGTGCGCAAACACTCTTGGATGCTCTGGACCTTGCCCTGGACGTCAGACTGCGCGGTCGTCATGTGCTTGACTTCTTGGGCAAAGCTGCGAAGCGGTTAGCTAAGCCTTGATAGCGTCGGGAGACGACACCTACTTGGACACCACCTGATCCTGAAATTCTTTCAATATGCCCCCGATTGCGTCCGCATCTGGCGCTCTTGGGGTGGATTTAACGAGCTCCAACAGCTTGTCCAGTCTAACCAGGTTAGCTTCTGCAAGATCAAGAACTTCGGTAGCTGACCTGTCCATGACGTTGGATGAGACGCCATCAGCCTGAGCTGATTTCTCGGTCAGCTTCTCCACCTTGGTAGAGATGCTAGTCAAGTGTTGCTCAAGTCGCTGGACGGAATCCTCCCGTTTCTTGTGCTCGTCAAGCTGCTCTTGGAGTGACTTGGCCTTCTCTCCCTCTCTCGAATGGCTGTCTTTGAGCTTCTCAATGTTGAACTCCAAATTTTTGGTATTGATACTCGCTGTTTTCATGGTCAGAGACTTCGGCATTTTCAAAGGGGGAATTACTGACCATCTTCAGACTGCTTTTGAAACAGTATCTCCTTTTCCCTCAAAGCGCTGATCTCCGCTTCAAGATCACCCTTCTCCTGTTCCATGTCGCCCTCCAAGCTGCGAATAGTTGCCCGGAGTTGTTGCTCTTTGGTCTTCCAACGCTTCTTGGATGCAGAACTAGCTTTCTTCACACTCTTCGTCTTTTCCTCCTCGGCTTGGTCAATACGCAGCTGTAGGTTGGCCTGCGCAACCTGCGACGTCTCGATCTCGGCCCGCATCTGGTCTCTATCAAGTTCAGCCGTGGCTAACTCGGTCTTCAACTCCTTCACCTGATCTTCTTTTCGCAGCATCTCGAAATTGATCAGATTGAGGCGGCCCCGAAGCTCTTCTTCCAGGGCGGCACGGCGTTCCTTTTCCTCTTGACATTTTTGGGCATGCGCGTTTGTGTCCCTGGCCCGTCGCTTCCACTGCTCCATCTCAATGTGGCAGGCCATCTCGCGTAGATACCTTACCTGTGACATGGGGTCGACATCTTCGTCATCCTCTTGCGACTGCTGTTGCTCGCGATGATCTACCACACGCGAGGCAGAAGGCACGTGTTGGCGTAGACAGCTTCGAGCTTTGGAGACATGCGATGTCCTTGGGGAGCGACGGGGCTCAAAATCTTGAGTCGCCATGTCAACGTCCTTGACCGGTCGAGAAGGTTGTAGCTGATGACGTTCATTATCCCGCCTTTGAGCTCTGTGACGCCTAGACGTAGTGGGTGTAGTATGATGACTACGCCTAGAGGTTTGAAGAGCCTTTGATGTGGGACGACGCGGTGGTGTTGGCCGTGGTTCTGCCAAGTCGCCGACTGGGGTTTGGGCTTGACTCCTGAGTGATTCGAAGTGCATGCGGCTTACTTGAGCCACACGTGGATGCTTGCGTGCCTCCTCATTAGCCAGGTCGCCAACCTGAGGACGCGGGGTTTCGTTCTGTGCTGGCTTTTGTGAAGGACGGCCAGGATTCACGATGGGTCGCTCAACACGCCGATCTCCCTCTAGATCACGACGACGGCTTGTACTACCATCGTTTGCAGTAGGTCTCTCATGTCTCCGTCTAGGCTGCTGAGATTCGCTGGGAAGACTGTTGTCCGCATCGTGGAAGGGACGAGGTCGGCGATGACGTTCCGTAGGTTGACTTCGGTGTTCCTCGGGTTCACGGCGATTATGCGGCTCGCTGGGAAGCGGGTGGCCGTGTTTTTGACCTGCAGCGGCTTCTCTGTCTGGATGGGGTGCCGGTCTACTCTGAATACCTTGCGCCCCAGAGTTGCGAGTACTCGTTTGATGGCTTTCAGGGACTAAAAGGGCTTGCTCGTTCCCAATATCAATGCCGGAGTCTTCGTCGATGTGTTGTTCGACGGCATGACGATGGCGAGCTCTACCAACTGGACGCTCCCGCACTGCAGGCTGCAGAGATTGGGGAATATGCTGATGCCAAGTTGATAGTGATGCATCGTGATGCTGAGAGACATCTGCTTCTTCAGTGTCCATGCCAGAGCGACGATGATGGCCTTGGACTATCGAATTCATTTGTCTTTCTTGGGCCACAGGTTGCAGATTTTGGGGCATCTGTTGATATCTAGTCGATGATGCATCGGGGTGCTGAGGAACCTCTCCTTCGATTTCTGTGCCACCGTTGTCAATGCTAGAGCGGTGATGATGGCCTCGTATCGGAAGATTGCTTTGACTTTCCTGGACCATAGACTGCAGAGCTTGGGGCATCTGCGGTGACACAGCCGGTGGATCATTTACAGGCTCAGATGCCTCATCATTGTTTCCTTCAATGTGTTGTTCTGCCGAGCGGTGGTGGTCTGGCCGACGACCTTGACGTGGACGAACGGGCTGAAAGGCTTGCGTTTCCTGCCGGTATCTAGCCAACAACGGATCGAGAGGCTCAGTGACATTTGTATTGTCTCTGTCCATGACTTGCTCGACGGAGCGCCGATGATGGACTTCATCAGATCGATGTGGTCGGTCTTCCGGAACCGCTTGCCGAAAAGCTGGAAGCCTCTTTTGAGATACAACCGGTGCGGTATTGAGCGTTTCGGGGATCTCATCTGTCTCTTCGTCGATATGTTGTTCGACAGGCTGACGGTCATGGTCTCGGTCTGATCTTCGACTTTGACGTTGGTGCACAGGCTGGATAGCTTGGGACTTCTGTCGATACGGTGGGATATCGAGGGATCCAACGACATCGTCGTGATCTTCGTCGTTGTAAAAGATGGGCCGTCTCTGTTGTTTGCCTGAAAATTGATTGGGCTTGATCTTCTGTGGGCGAGCAAAAGGGACCTCAGGAGGACCCTCCTGTATCATGCCTGCGCTTGCTTCTTGCTCCAGCCCTGGAAGCTCTACATCTGATCCCCTGCCTGAAATTCCATTCTGCGGAGAAAGCATGGGGTTGAGCCCATCGGAGCCAGCGGGGGAGAAGAGCTGCGGGCTCCCGAACAAGCGGGCTGGGCTCGAATGCCGCTTCATCTTGAGCGTGCGGCCAAGGGCCTCGGTGATACTGTACACCAACACCAAATCAGCTGACTGTTTCAGAGAGCGAATGATTCAAGTTGAGAGCATCGAGACTCCAAAGGCCAAAAACAAACAGCGTCTTCCAAGGACGAGGCTCAAGAAGGGGAGACGTGGATGAGATGAAGCTGGAAGCAGAGGGGACAGAGAGGAAGCTTACCTGTCGTGGAAAGACCTTCTCATATTGGAAGGCATTTGATGTTGCGTCATGATCATCACCTTTCTTTGGAACGGAAGTCACGACATGGTTGGACTTGTGTAGGTTCGTTACCAAGAAGCAGCAGGCACGGTGTTCGGACATGATGCTCTGCATTGGTGGCAGGAAGTACGGCATTCTCAAAGGGAAGGACCGACTACCCAATTGGTTTATCACCTTCGCGCCTTCCAACTGGACTCTGAAACAACACAATCAACCAAAAACAGCAATTGGGTATCATTAATAAGGCATCTCCTTCACCTCGTCCATCCCTTTCCTTTCCTCTTCAAGATTGCGATTCCTCTCTGGAGTGTCCCTCTTCTCTAGATCCTCCCCACGGACGACGTCGAGCTCATCACGCAGCTTCTCCGTCAGCTTCTCGAGAATCCACTCGCTCTCCTCCAGGCTTCCCATCAACGGCGACTGCGAGCCAACCCAAGACCACTTGTCTTCATCGGGGCACTCCGCGTCATCATCCTCATCATGCTTCCGCCGCCTGTTCCTCCTCTTCTTCTTCTTGGAGTGGATATGTGGACGGGCCTTGCGGTGCGTAGCCGAGCTGGATTCGTCTTCTCCGATCAACTTCAAGTACCACGCCCACTCTGCGAACGGGTACCTCCGCGGTGGCTTCTGCTTAGCGTGTTGACGGACTGCGGCGATCTCTGAAATGAGGAGGAAGTGATAGTCGGCGCGCGAACTCGGCAGGGCCGCGGTTGGATCTCGCATGCGAGACCGCTGTCGCTGCCGAATACCCTTGGAGTTGGGTGGTGTAGGGTCAGGGACGGTTGAGTATGCATCTGTATCATCCTCCTCAGAGTTGCCTTGCTCTAATCTGTGGGCGTTTCCAAGGAACCCTGGGGGCAGCTCATCGTCATCATCGTCGCGAGACCCCTTGAATATCACGCCGCAGGTCCACCTATCGAGCAGAGCCAGCAACTCCGTGCGAAAACCACGCTCCCCTGGCAAGATGGTGACGTTTCCCAGCTCGAGTGTGGCATCGCGGATGGCCTTGACCACTGTATCGCCAGCATTGGAAATCATGACGGTCATCGTCGGAAGAGCCAGGAGCGACCAAAACACAAAGAAAGCCTTGCCCGAGTTGGACACAGGCGTGCGGTCTCCGTAACCGATGGTCGTCAGCGTTACGAACGCAAAATAGAACCCTTCAAAGTACGTCCAGTTCTGGTACGGCTTCTCGCATTCCTGGAACACCTTGGCCCCGACAAGCCAGAGGACGAGCCAGGATGAGAAGGATATGGACATGGCCATCCACCGGCGGCGGACAGAGGCGGAGTTCTGGATCTTGCGCATCAGATTGAACTCTTCCTGGCGGCGCTCAAATTCGGTCGACGGCAGGGGCGAACTTTCTGGCGACTCCTCCACGTTGGAGTGAATTGGCTTCAGGATTTCATCCTTCCCTTTGCGGGTCATCGTGCGGATGAGCTGACGGCGTTTCTTCTCAACCATGCGGGCGTCCAGCCTCCGACGCCCGCGTTCTAGGACCAAGCTACGGATGGAGCCGATGACGAGACCCAAGCTGATCACTCCGACGAGGGCATACGGAATTAGCAAGGCCCGGCCCAGGGGTGACGCCGCTGCGAAATCGCCGAAACCGACGGTGAAGAGTGTCACGTCTGCCCAGTACACAGCGTCGAGGTAGGTCCAACCCTCGATAGTGGAGAAGACCAGGGCACCGATGAGGAGGTACAGAAGGAACATGATCGTCTGCAGCATGAGGGTGCGCTGAGCGGTGGTGAGTTGAAAGTCCTCTGCGTAGTGGCGGGTGTAAGCGCCGTAGACGGTGACGACCATCAGAGAGGCGGTGACGAAGTAGAGAATGGCGGCGAACATGCCGTAGTAGAAGGCCTGAGAGTTGATGTATTCCTCCACGGGCTCGATGACGAGAGGTCCGGAGGCTGTCGCATTGAGAGCGATGAGGCAGATGGCCGAAATATACCACCCCACGATGGTGATTGGCTGAGCAAGGGAGAAGCGCACTCGGCGGGCCATGTTCAGGAGGAGGAAGACGTTTGAGACAATGGCGATGGCCAGCTGAATGGCGTTAACAATGATCAGCCATTTCGGGTCCGGGACGAAGGTAGCGGCGTCGATGTCGGTTCCCGGCGGGAAATGCTGCCGCCAAGGCCGTACGAGGGCACATATACTGAATGCTGATGCTACCGGGCCAAGAGTACCGGCGATCATGGGGAACGCGGAGGAAGCGAACCACCACCGGCTGCGGAAGTCAGTCTTGGTGGATCAAGGGAAGGAGACGAAGGAGACCACAGCTACAGAAGCACGATAAATCAAGGAAGCCAATGCCGCTACCATCATACCTCGGATCTAAGTGAGCATCGTCATTCTGGAAGCGCTTCTCTCGTTGAGCATTGGACTGCTCCAACTGACCGATGCGCTCCTCGATATTGTCTCCAAGGTCGGCGTCGTTCATGGCGTGAGCTGGCGGAGTGATCTAGAAGTGGTTTCGAAGCGACGCAACGCTTGAAATGGCGGCATTCCCGGATGATTGACACAGGGCGCCAGTAGATGTCAATATACAGCTATTCCCAAGTGTCCAAGGGATGATACCAAGAAAAGGAAAAAGCTGCTATATCGACGTCGAAATCAAGGTCTTGGCTTCCGGCCGGACCTACAGACCCGACGTACCCGCCTCCCCGAAGAGGGTTGGACGTGCTCCGTGATGACGTCTTGGTGGTGGTGAAGAGGGTGTGCAGCCCAGGAGCACTTTTCCCGGGAATTCGTCTCGGGGCTTGTTGGGACGCCCAGGGCTTATTAGCGAACACGCGATGGCTGGCGGCTAGTTCACCGTATTCGACAATCGGCTTGGAGTCGTAGATCTCTCCTGAGATGCCATCGGCAACAGCGTCTGCGACTCGTCCTTGGCAATCATCTTATATACTCAGAAGGCCTCATTCGCCCTTCAATTCCAGGACAGGCTATCCTTGCACGCATAAACGAGCTCATGATTGCCATTCGTGTTGACGTAGCGAGACATGAGAATGGCAAGACCTGTTTGGTCGCCATAGATGCCACGCGCTGCCTCTTCCAGCACTTTTAGCGGTTTGTTCTGCACGCTAGCGAGGCCACGGGGATGACCTGGGATCCTTGGCGGGAGCTGAGCAGTGGGTGATGTGGGGGTTCGCGGCGGTGCAGGCGGGCAATGGGCGCTGGTTGGTCCGACGCCGTCAGGAGGTCGAAAAACGCGTCGGGTTGTGTGCTCTTTTTCTCATTAACATCTTACAGACGGTGTTGACTTAGATGAGATTTTGAGTCGACCCCAGATTGTCGACATGAGGTCTTCGACGTCTTTCCTGACTTTGTGCCCTTATTTTTAGACGATGAGAAGATGGCCGAGGCAATGGCTGTCGTCTCGTCTCCCACGTCGCGTACAACGCCGGTGCTTTCATTCTGAGCCGGATGATTCTGTTGAAGTCGCGATTGGTTCATCTGGTACCATGACGGTAGAGTAAGGTTCCCCTTACCCATGAAGGGCTCATGCTAATGTGCCCAGCCTTCACAATGTCTTCCGCCAATCCTCGTCAACTCCGCTCATGATATACATCCCACCCTTCTCACCAACCCCGGGCAATCACCCGTCCGTCCCGGACTTCTTCCAACCGTACCCAACAGCCGTCATCAACTACCGGTGGTCCGCCCCGGTCTCCACTCCGGAGCCGGACCCCTTGGCGGAGCCAGACTTCTCGACACCCCTTCAATGGCCGACGCCCATCCACGACGTCCTCGCCGGCTACAACTGGATCACCGAGAACCTCCGTCCCGACCTCTACTCACGCCGTGATCTGTACGTCTACGGCTCCCACGCCGGCGCCAGTCTCGCCGCCTCCCTGGCCCTGACGGAGTCTCACCACCACGAGCGCATGGCCATCCGCGGGTTGATCGCCTGGAACGGCATCTTCAACTGGACCATGTTCCTCCCGGACCACAAGATCAACAAGCCCGCCAGCGCCCGCAGTCGTAAGCTTCCCCCGCGGCCCGAGGAAGGATCGGCGCTGCACGCGCTGGAGACGGAGATGCCGGGCCTGTTTCGCAAGCCGGCGGACCTCTTCGACCATTTCGCCAGCCCGAACTTCTTCTTCCAGACGGCCGGGATGCTTGCGCCACCCACCTTCCACCAGGCAGCCGTCATGACAACGATGCTGGAGAGGATGTCTTCCTTGACGAGCGGAGGAACCCCGGATGATCTTCTGGCGGCCACCGGCATGGCCTTCATGACGCCCAGGAGGAGCGCGCTGATGTTCCCGCCGCGGAAGTCGACCCTGAAGCTGCCGGCGACTCTGCTCCTCCACGACAGCTCGCCTCTGCCTCTGACGAAGCGGAGAACGAAGGCGCCCATGACGATCAGGAGGCGGAGGGCCGCGGGGCACACGTTCGAGGCCCAGGCGTTGGAGCTGGCGGGCCTGATGAGGAAGAGCCTGGATAAGCTGGAGTTCAAGACGAAGCTGGCGTGGGACGAGGACTTTGACGCCGAGGGCGAGATGGATAGGCGGGTGAAGGTGTTGAATGTCGGCGAGAACGAGTATCTGCGGCTGGGCGAGAGGGGTCAGCGGGCCATTGAAGGGTGGCTTGAGGAGAGGATTTGTTTGTGATACCCATTCCACTCTACTTTGTTAACCTGTTTGAATAGACCGTTTCCAAAGACTTGTTTGTGATGTGAACCAGCGCCCTCATTGGCCGGAAGGTTCAGATGGAAGACCACAGGGTGGAGGTGGACCAAAGCGAATGAAAGAATAGGCAGACAACTTGCCTGTCTACCTCACGCCCCCCTCCCTTGAGGAGGCAACCTTTACAGTCGACGTCCCTTTCAAAGCTGTCACCAGTTCAACAGATCCCGGTGGTCTAGTTGGTTAAACAAGGGGAAAGAAATTCCATAGGGACCCCTGGTCACTCCCGTGTGGCGCGCTCAGTTCGAATGAGGGGCCCATCATTCGAGCTGAGGGCGTGGAATCTTTTTTTTCGTCTCCTTCTCTTAGATTTTCTTTTGTTTTGTTGTATGTACTCTTCAGGTTTATTTGTATTGAAATCTCTTCATTTTGAATGCGTTTAGATACTTTACTAGTGCTGTGGTGCTTTGATATATTCTTCTTTGTGGCGAGGGAAGTTGAGGTTAGTTGGGGAAGGCGCGATATCTCAAGACTTTTCTGAGGTGCTCGAGAAACACCACAACTGCACAAATGACAACGGCAGGTCAAGTACCTGGAATGGATCTTCTTTCCCAATGGATTCTCACCTCCAATTAAGAGTCAAGAACTCCAAGAGTTCTAAAAGCTCCCAATGCTTCAGGCGGGAATTTCAGATTTCAAGCTGTCGACGAAGTGTGACTGAGGTATTACAACCACAACCTGAGAGGTATGACGCTCATCACCTAGCGCTAGAAGTGTCTTTTGTCCGTCACTTTGAAATCTCGTCCGTCCACTGGTCATGCCAATACAGGCCGTTTGACGACTTCTTTTGCTAAGAACGATGCAGCTGCTGTCGCGATCTCACAACTCGTGTTGTAAATGTGCAGCCCTGATATCGCCGAGATATTTCTCGGCGGGTGATTGGAACTACGAGCCATCATCCAGCTATCTTTCTGTCATCTGCCTATCTAAATCACTTCCCCAAGCACCACTGTCTCTTACACACAAACAGAGGCACCTCGCCGTCAAACGGTCAAACGACGTCTCTGCGAGTTCGCGCCAGGCCGTCCTTGTCCACGAATATTGTCCAATGACTTGCTGCATTGACCGGACGGCCCCTTGCTGAATTTACTTTTCGATCCAATCAATCCCGGTCTGGCTCCGCCAGCCAATCTGGGCTTGGCAGAACAGAGGGCGGACCACTTACATTATTTTCACAACCACCCGCCCATTTTACAGAAATTTTCTTGAATTTCTCGACACCAACTCATTTGTTTTGCACCGATTGCCTTTGGAAAAACTGGCGAGCCTTCTCTGCACGAGGTCGTCCGATTTCACAGACTGTTCCTGCCGCGCTTTCCCGCACAGACTCAGCCGATGCGCCGGCACCGATCCCCCCGACCCGCCCCAGCGCCGTGGCACTGCGTCTGACATCCCTGGCACAAACTCGCGCCTTCCTGGAACGCACCCACTTTCCCTCGCCTGCGCCCACTCACAGCACCGCCCGAGTCAAACATAAGCGCCAAATCGAACTTCCCCGGCATCGCAAAACCTTCGAGCTGATGAGTAATAAGCTCCAGCGGTCGGCCTGATGGTCTAGAGGTATGATTCTCGCTTTGGGTGCGAGAGGTCCCGGGTTCGATCCCCGGTCAGGCCCCTCCCTTTTTGCTGATGTAGCTATCTTTTTGTCGATGGAGAGAACGATGGTCCTCGGTTTGATTTTTGCATGCTGGAGCTGTGCAGCGGTTGTTTGCGCTGGCATAAGTGGGTAAACAGCTGCGAACACAGACACGTGACACTTTTGGATCGTCTCTTTGGACGGCCGTGTTCTGGAGACTCCCGCTGGAGATGCTCATGTGAGGATCAACAGGCGAGTCGAGATGAGCGAGGTTGCAGCGGGCACCCGCACCAATTTCGAGCAATCTCAAGCCTTCGATCCCACCTTTGGTCTTCGGTCGAAACCAGCATAGTCCTCAGGGGAACCGCCTCGAACCGCCCAACGGCCACCCCCGGCTGAAATCTGATGAAATGACGGCATCTTGTCAGATTTCGCCAGCACGAACGATGCCACCCTCCAGGGCAGTCTGTGAGATGGGTCGCAATGTCCTGCACCATCACCTTGATCCGCGGAACAGCTGAGGTGAACGAACGGCAGAGGTCGCCAGAGACCTTGGCACGCAGCTCGCAGCATGCAGGACGCGAAGTAAATGTATGCAGCCAGCTCTCCAGCAAGCAGAAGAAAAACAAAAGCAGGGTTTCAGCATCCCGCTGCCCGCCCATCCTGTTCATCAAACTCTGCCCGACTTTTGCTTTACGAACCGCGCGAATCTCCGATGACGGATAAACTCTCTGTGAGGTGTGCTTTATCTGCGGGAAATCACTGCTGGCGGGCCCATGGATGACGGGCCTTGGGCGATGCTGTCCCAGCTGTCTTGGAGCTCGTGGGATGCCTCAACGACCGTTTGTCCTTCTTTCCTGACGTGCTCCCTGACACCTGACGTCTTCGCCCCCCGAGATCAAGGTCGTCCTTGGCGTGTGAGGTGCGAATACCCTGGATCCTAATTTAGCAGCTATCGCAGGTGCTAAGCTCCAATGTACGTACCGCGTGGGGAGGAGGGAGGTCGCCGGCGCACGCACTCGCACCACCTAAACGTCTGGTGTCACCAGTAGGGATGGCAGCTGCACGGGCGATAGCCCCCTCCCTCTCCATTGATTGTCACTGCCTCAGCAGGGAAGCATTGGACCCCAGCACCCAGGGCAGTTGCTATGCCGTGCTGAGACGAGACCCTTTCTTCCCGGCGTCTATTTCTACTCGTGACCCCAGCATCCGCATCGTCGTCGTCGTCTGGGTTTCTTGATTTCTTTCTCTGCCATCACTGTCATACCTGTGTTCGCACGAATACTAGCAACGCTACCCATCAACCAACCCCTTCACGCCAACCATCACTATCCTCACACAAACCGCCATCATGCCTGGTGTTCGTAAGTCTCGCCCTGTCGATCGAGATCAAGAGAAGCCGCGATAGCATCGTCGTCAGAGTAAGAGAGGTATATTCATCTGAATACCCCCTCTCAAACCAACCCGATGCATTCTTATATACCCGGTGCCAAGACTTTTCACTAACACGTCTCGCGCCCGACAGCTATCGACGCCCTTGACAACCTCAAGGCCAAGTTCCAGGCCATCTTCAAGAAGAAGGACAAGAAGCCAGCCGAATCCAAGCCCGCCGAGCAGAAGCCCGCGGCCACCACTACACCCGCTACCGAGCCTACAAAGACCGAGGCCGCTCCTGCTGCTGCCCCTGCTAGTACGTTCCTTTGTTCCCTGGGTGTCCCGTTTGGATTAGCCGAAAGGGATACGCGTATGGGAGCTTTTCACTGACACAACACAGCTGAGCCCGCTGCTCCTGCTGCGGCGCCCGCCTCTGAGCCGGCCAAGGCCCCCGAGGCCAAGACGGAGGCAGCTCCGGCGACAACCGAGCCCGCCAAGGCTCCCGAGGCCGGTACGTCAAGACGCAGAAGATCCACCCGGCACAGATATCCGTGACTAACGCGCCTCCAGCTCTTGCTGCTCCTGCAGCTCCCGCCGCCCCGGCTGAGGCGTCCAAGCCCGCCGACGCCACCGCACCGGCTCCGGCTGCTGCCACTGAGCCCGCAAAGACGGAGACTGCCCCTGCAGCCCCAGCTCCCGCTGCAGAGACCGCTCCTGCGCCCGCCGCGGCTCCGGCTGCTGCTCCGGCTGCCGCTCCGGCCGCTGCCCCTGCTGCTGCCCCTGCTGGTAAGCATATCATACTTCGTGCACCAAAGAGCATCCACTGATGAGTCTAGCTGCGACAACCGCGCCTGCTCCGGCTGAGCCCGCGAAGACCGATGCTCCTGCGGCTGTCGACGCTGCCAAGCCCGAGGAGAAGGCAGAGGAGAAGAAGGAAGCTCCCCCCGCCTAGACGCCGGCGGAAGACATAGGTTCCATGTACGGCTTAGGGTACGCGGACCACCTCATGTCGCTCCAGGCTGGAAGTGGCGCTTCCCTTTTTGCTAAAGAAGCATGAGGTGTTTGGGGCCTCGAGCGATCACACAGAAAGCGCACCATCGATTATGACAAGGTTATGTCGGGACCCTGGTCTAGTTCTTTTCATTTGCTTAATTGTCGGATACCCACTAGTCGAGTAGTTGAATCAAGCGTATTTGCTTATCTCCTTTTGGTATGGGTGACCAGTTATCTATCTCGTCCGCCCTGTCATGAATTCAGCTGTCTCGCAGCTGTTGGGTATGTCTTCGCGATGATGCCTTCACGTGCTATCTTTTTATATGTTTAATAATCATGCCTCATTTCCACGCCTCATTTCGCCCATGGCGCCTTGGTCAGCGTGACCTGCGCATCCGTCGACCCGCTACCGCCCTGTTGCGCACCCGGTACCGGCATTGGGAGCATTCCCGGTGCGGGGGGTGCCCGTGCGGCCGCCGCCGGTGGCTGTCGCGAGTACGGGATTCCACCCTGGGGAGGCATCCTACCCGCACCAGCAGCCCACGGCGCCGCCGTACCTGAGCCCGGCGGTGCAGCTCTCGTCGCACCACCCGCCGCCCACGGCGCAGCCGTTCCCGCTCCCTGCGGCGGCGGAGGCGCAGTCGTCGCGGGGTAGTTATACGAGGGCTGGTTCGCCGCGTGCACAGACTGAGCAACTGGCGCGGCGTCGGGGTCTTGGTCCCACGAGAAGAGGGAGCCGAAGGTGAAGTGCTGGACGACGGGGAACTTTTGCAACACCTCCGCGTTGAACATCTTGAGCATGCCCTAGACTTCATTAGTACGTGCGACCTTGCCTCCATCCTGAGTTATTTACCTTGTTGATCTTGCCCCAGCCGGCCTGGACGCCGGAGACGTCGAACAGGATGGGGCTGTGCTCCCAGAACGGGCCCTTCTTGACGTCGTTGATGAAGCCCACGGCGGAGAAGTACATGTTCTCGCCCCGCTGCTCGTCCATCACCGCGGCCTTGACGATGTCCCCCGTCTTGGGCGCCCCGCGGACGGACCCCTCCATCGGCATCGGCTCCGCGGACCCTTGCGTGATGGGCGCCGTCAGCTGCGCGGAGCCGAAGATGTAGGGCAGGAAGGAGTGGTCGTCGAGACCCCACACGCCGTGGGAGCCGGCGGGCTCGAGGGTGTAGGTGAGGATGAGCTTGCGGACGACGCGGAGGTAGGGCTCGATGACGCCGAGGACGATGGCGCGGTCCGTTTCGGAGGGGTCCTTGGTGTCGTGGCCGTCGCTGAAGAAGGAGAGCTTGTAGAGCGAGCCGAGGAAGGCGAGGAAGGCGAGCTCGTGGCCCGTGCCGTAGTCGAGGCGCTGGGAGGAGCCGAAGGAGCCCAGGAGGTAGGAGAGGAGCTCGGCGGAGGGCGGCTCGGAGGACGGCGTCGTCGGGAAGGAGAGGACGGGGGCGGGGAGGTGCTCGGACAGGAGGGCCGGGGCGCGCTCGGCGAGGAGCTCGTGCCACTTGCGGAAGGAGACGTTGCCGAAGCGTCGGGGGCCCGGGTCGGGGGGCGCGAGCTCGATCAGAGCCTCGGCGGCGGAGAGGAGGTTCTGGAGGGCCTTTATCGGCGCCGGGAGGCGGTCGCCCGCGGGGACGGATGTGAGGGGGTACGTCGTCGCGGGGCCGCCGCCGGGGGACCGGCGCGGGCAGAGGGAGCGGTTGAGCTGGAGGAGGAAGAGGAGGATATCGCGGTAGGCGGTGGTTGTGAGGAACGTCGCGAGGTCGGTGCCGGTGTTGATTCGCTTGGTGGGGGTTTGGAAGGTGTGAGGGGTCTTTGGGAGGGGTTTGAGGGAGGGCAGGGCGGTCGGCTTCGGTGTTGGAGCCGGTGGTACTGTTGGAGGATCCATGGTGGGCGTCTGTGGGAGCTTCTCGTGAAAGCTGTTTGCGATGTTCTTGTGAAGCCACCGATAGCTTAAGCTGCCATGTGGTGGGATGGAGGGGTGTGACGACACTGGTGCTTAGTCAGCGGTCTTGGTTCGTGGGGTGGTTGAATCTTCTCGAGTCACGAAACTTCAAGATTACCCATCTGCACGACGAATTGACTTTCGATGAGATGGACGTTCCCGCAGTTCGACGGGATCTTCCAAATACAGCCATGCGAAACCGAAAACGTCTCTGAGTAAGGTACGGTTAATCGTTAATTACGTCTATGCTTCGGTTCTACCAAACCCTCGGTCCGTCTGAGCGCCCGTCTACGGCCTCTCTATTAGGGACGACTATATACTGGTGTGTGTGTGTGTCCGAACTCATTTATACGGATTAGAGCTCGGGAACCCAAACTCGAAAGCACGATGCCACCCACGGGCATCTATTACAACTCAGGACGCGCGGCCTGGTCTTGACTTTTTTCCCCCTTGCCCTTTGCCTTCCCACGTGTCCGAGTAAGATCCATGTCCGAGTGCGAGGATTTCTCACTCAGATCTCTTGGGTCTGTGACTATTTCAGCTTGTCGCTGACGAACTGCTTGATCTGGTCGCCGTAGATGGTGGGGTACTGCAGATGCGCTACTGGATCGTTCCCGTTGCAGCAGAATGGATCGGCCGAGTCGCAGAAGGACTTGATGTTGTTTCCAAAAGGGCACTGGAAGCCTTGAGGACGCGGAGCGAACTGGCTGTGTTAGTCAACTGATGGAGTTGGAAGATTGCTGGAATACGCACCCCCTTCGTCTGGCAGGTCCCAACCTCGTAAGGCAGTCCCGAGACGTATCGCGGATCGCCCATGAAGATGGCAACCTTGACTGCGCCCAGGGCTTGCTGCGAGATGAGGACGTTGGTATCTTTTACTCCCTCGATGCTGTCTCCACCGCCGCAGTATGCGTTGTCCATGATTTGGGCGCCCTTTCGTCTGTCAGCATGTGTATTGTGTCTGCTGACGGACTGCTCACCTGCGAGAACCCCAGCATGACGATCTTCGTCTGTGGACACCTCGTGTTGAAGTCGTTGACGGCTTTGGCAACAGAGTCGGTGCCGTTCTTCACCGAGTCGGCATAGCTGACTCCCAAGCAATCCGATGCGCCGCCACACGCGGGATACACAATCGGCTCGTTTGTGGCCCCCTGGTTCGCCTTCGTGAGGTCGTCGACAATCTTGGCCGCGGCCCCGAACCCTGGCGGTGCTGTCGTTTCTCGAGCTCCAAAGATGTGAATGGGAGGGCAGTCGTTTCCTTGTCTCTTGTAGAGGGAGTGCGGCGTAGCCAGGATCTGGCTGGCAAAGAGGGCAATTCCAATGCTGAACCGCATTTTGGGCGACACCGGCTATCGAGATGAGCTTCTGAAGGAGTGACTCGAAGGAAATCAGACATGAATCCCGTGAGGAAGTTTAATGACATATATAGCTGTAAGAAAAGAAGCTCCGGAGAATGAGGGTAGAATCCAACAAGCGGTACCCGCGCCTAATCCAACACAAAATCCGCCTCACTTCTGGAAGCTCTGCCAAGGTTTTTCGTGATGGTTATTTTTTTGACGGCTGGAAGGGGTAGACCGTTGCTTCCGAACAAGATTTATCTGGCTTCTGACGGATGAACCCATTACTCCGGCATTCACAGCCCAACAGACCGCGGGAAGCACCACACACACCACACGGCAAAGGCGGCTGCGCGTTCCCTGCTTTGGTCCCCGTCAGCTCCCGCCAAGGCCATATAAGGGACGAAACGGACGCGGTCGCCGCCAGCAGGCGCTCCGACAAACCCATGACGGCATGAAGCTCTAGCTCCGGAAGGCTGAAGGGCGGGAACGGGACACGTCGCACCATTCAGACGAAGGCTGTGTGCTGGGCGGCTTGCTGAGCCGCATAATGTAAGGCCGGGAGGACGTTTTCAGAACAAGGGCAGAGAGATCAGATCGACGAGACCACGCAACGCGCGAGGAACGATGGGAAGATCATCTTCGACTGGTGGTGTGAAACGGGGTGGAGTTGCTGATTGGTCTGGAACTCGTCTTCGTTTGACATGGACCTCCATGCTCGCAGAGTCAGTGCTGAGTGAGGAACTGAGCTTCTTCCCGGACATACGCCTCGGACTTGCGAAGGATGCGCAGGTTTGCTGCCATGATGCCGGTTGATCTCGCATCGAAGACTCTCAAACAGCCCTTCAAAGAGGCATAGGTCGTCTGGTTCGATCAGACCATTGTGTTTGGGCTAGGCTCAGCCCGTCTTGCGGGAAGTCTGGAGTTAGCATCGAGATTGATGAAATTGAGATTAATCAATTCAACGTCTAGAGCGCTTGCAAGACTCAGAAATGAAGGTGTAGATGACGTCCAAGAAGCCGTATTCGCGGATAAGAACTGGAGTTGAGGAATATAGGCAGGACAGAGGGCATGTGATTGATGACGGCGTTATGGCAGCTTTGTCACAACCCCAAGACTCGAGGAGAAACGACTCGTTCCACACTTCGCCGACGAGTGCTTCGCGATGGCTTCGCGTGGAAAACCAGGATATCCGGGCTGGCGCACCGCATTTCCAGAGTGAGCTGGGAGCACGAGTTGCAGACCGGGAAAGCGCCTTCAGGATTCCGACGGGAGATTTGCACGAAACGTTTCCAGAGCAGAGACCATCCAGCTGCTTGTGCAGATTCACCAAACAAACTGTGTGGTCGTGCCGTGGTGCAGAACGTGCTGAGAACCGTCTGCACTGGTGGTGGTCGAGGATTGACATAAGGATGTGGCTAGAATAGAGTTCTTTGTGAGTTGCATTATCATCTTATTCATGTTCTTAGCGAGTGAAATGCTTCTATGGAGTTTCGAGTCTATCCCCACCGTTTTCGACTGCCCCTGCTTCTTACCTTGCTTCCCAAGATCATCCTACATTTAATTTTCCAATCTAAACCTACTCCTTCATTGTTGGAAGTGAGCCCCTTCAGCTTCTCATACATCAATTTGATTCAGATATTAAATAAAAAAATCCATATAATGATTTTCAGAGGAAGCCTTGTTCTTTCCCTAGGAAAATTGCGACGAGCTGATTACATAAACGACCTAACCTGGGCACGGACGTTGCTGACTCACCGACACGAGACCGCATTTTGAACCAATCAGAATAAGCGCCGCTACCGACCCCAAGGCTACGACGATGCAGCGTTTGTTGTTCTGCGATCAAGGCGCCATTGGACGACGACAATGACGATGGCTGAATGAGACACCGAGACGCTTGACAAACTCCATCAGCAAACCCGCCCACAAACAGCGCCGATTGTTATGCAGCTTGCCGAAGCTCTGTCGAAATGCCGAACAGCCGCAGATCACGTCCCCCGAGGACAAACGGAGCAGACCCCGCCGACGAGACCATCGAGGTCGGCGCACGTCGCAGCAGGCGATTGATGCAGGATGAGCCGGACGAGGTTGGACTTCCCGCGGTTAAGAGACGACGGAGGAGAACAAAGTCCGTGAACGAAGAGCCCGAGGAGGAGGCCGAAGACGCGCTAGAAACGGTATGCCATGTCGCGCGCGTAGCTTTGGGTCATCGCTGACGTGCCTTCCGCAGAGTGACGGAGCTTCCAGTCGTCGAGATAATGCATCGGACGCGCGAAATATGAAACGGCGACAAGGAAATGACGAACGCGCGAACCGGCGCACCGCGGAGACACTACAACCGAAGAGGCGGTCTAGATCGACGAGGTCGCGGCAAAGGATAGCGCAATCTCCTGACCGGAGTCCAACCGAGCCTGAAAAGCGAGTCGAAGATATATACGAAGTACCAGACAGCCCACCACGGCGCACCCGGCGTACCGCCAAAGCAGTGCAGGACGGCCCATACTCAGACCCGGAGGACGAGCTATTTGTGAGGCAAGATGAGCACAGTGAGGAGGATCTCGGCGAAAACGAGCACAGCGAAATGGAGCACGATGAAGAGGATGAGGAAGAAAATGGCACTACAGGACTTTACGACGAGCCGACAAGAGGAGGCGGAAACGAAGAAGAGGAAGAGTCGTCCGAGGACGAAGATCAACCGCCATTACCAACACTATCACAACTACGGAACGACCTCCCAGAGATGGACGAATCTGCTAGCATACTCCCGGATGGCGACTCCGCCGGACCAGTCGACATCGCGTACCCTGACGACCATCTTCTATTTAACGCTCCCGTCGGCGACGATAGGATTACGGCAGTTTCGATGAGGTCGAAAGCCCTCAAATCAATGGCGGAACTGATGAGCAGGGCTGTTTGGAAGCGGACGAGTAGTGAGCTCTTGTCGAAGTGGATTCGAAAATACTGGGAGGACGTCATCTCACTGCAGTTCTTTTGGGAAAACATGCCGCCGGCGCCGGACTACGCAGGACAGTGCGACTACATGCACTCGGGCGAAGATGCGGCCGAAGCAAAGGCGTCGATCGAGAGGTTGGACGAGCTCGTCGAGAGCATAGTTGAGCACGCGAGGGTAACATCGCCAGACGACGATGACCTCGAGGACATCACATCAGACCTTCGAGGCAAAATCATCCCGAAACTTGTGACTATCCTCTGTTCCGTCTTCCGCTTGGGCATTTGCGGTAATCCTCAAAGATGGCGTGCGATGGTTACAAACCCAACCCTGCAGATCATGCATCGGCTACTGGCATGGATTAAGTATCTATACGGAGCGATGATGAAGGGTTCAAAAACGATGAACAAGGGCAAAGCAGAGACCAAGGCCCATCTGCAGCTGGGACGCTACATGCAAGAGCTCCACGTCGAATTCGACGAGGCGCTGAGAGAGCTCCGCGACATCCCGATACGCAAGCGAGAGTACGAGGAGAGGCGGAGGCAACAGCTCGAGACGGAGGAGCGGAACCGGTTACGGGCGCAGGAGTTGAGAAACAGGCAATACGAGATCGCAGCCCAGCGCATCAGGGAACGCTTCGGGCCGCCTGGCGCCGAACCATTGCACGGGTCGCAGTCGGCGCAGACGTCTTGGTCTACGGCATCGCAGCAGACGCAGTCGTCGGAGCAGACTCAGGCGTCCTTTTCGACGCTGGTGTTCTCGCAGCAAGAGTCTCAGCGCACACAAGCGTCCTCGTTGACGTCGATACCTCCGCGAATGAGCCTGGCTGAACTCGACGGCGATGACTCCTGGCCCGCCGAGAAGAGGATGGAGCTTCTGAAAGTCCTGATGAAGACGCCGACGACGAGGAACAAGCACCTCTCTTTCTACTTTGAATGCAGCGAGGAGGAGGTGAGGGATGTGAGGGAAGGGCTCAAGAGGGCCGCCAGGGAACACGCGATCAATAGGAACGAGACCGTGCCGGAGTTCGCGAGGATCTGAGGAGTGGCCCATTCATGATGTTTAGTTTTACGACGTTCTGTTTAAATGATACCCGGCGCGCAGCGCTATGCGCGCCAATTGTCGAATTTCACTTAAATCCAGGCCTCGCTGGCCCGGAAATTGTCAAACACGCTGTCGTCTCTGCCACCACAGGGTCTCACCTTCCACTCGCTCGCTCGCTCGCTCGGCGGTGATGACTCGGCGTTTGCGTTTCGCACGTCCAGCTGCCTTCATGCGGCTGCGGCGTCTGACCAAAACATGAATCATGCCCGCGCGACTGGAAACGGGATCACGACCGTACGTGACCGCGAAGGAAAGCGACCACAACGGCCGCCGGCGATGCCATCAGGCTGACGTTCCTAAAAAGTGACGCCGAGATCTCTAGGGGGGGCCGCTACTAAATCATCCAACCCGGAAACGGCATGGGCGATGTATGCGCTTCCACGTGGCTCCGATCGATCCCACCTGTTCGTGTCATGGACGTGGTCGCCGGGGCGGCAGAAACGGACAAGGCAGGGAGCGCACCGAGACCCGCGGAGGAGGAGGCGCACGCTGGGCGCGGCCACCAAAAAAACATCTGCCGAAAGATCTTTTTTGGCTCGGGTAGCTGATACGCCACGTAGGAGGATTGTTTGTGTTATGGGACTTCGGCAGATGAAAGAGAGTGCGGTCTCTCGAGGCCGCTTGAGGGGTGGTCCCTGGAGGATTGGCATCACGGGCTTACCGGGTCTGCGGGTTCGCAGATGGGACGGAACAAGATGGAATGGATCAGGCAGAAGGAACGGACGGAAATCTGGGATCGCGAGTGCGAGGGAAAAAAGAAAGGGTCATGGACTTGATGGTGGACGGCCAAGATGGGCTTGGCTAAGCACCGAGCCGCACCGCGGCGGTTGCTGCTGCTTCTTGATTTAACAGCCAGCTTGTTCCCGACGCTGATCGCCAGAGCGCTGGAACCTCCGGCGGTAATATCACATCAGCGCGTTCTTCAACTAAGGAGCACATGGCGCGTAGACCAGCGACCGGGCAGTAATTCGGATACGGGACTGGATCTTGGTCGACACGTGCTGTGGTGAGCTTAGGACCATCGGGCGGTCTCTGGGCTGGCAATTAGGGTACGGGATCAATTGCCGACGAAGCTGGGCCTCGAAGTGGTGGTGCTGTTCTGGCCCAGGGCTGGAAGGCGTTTGGCTTGACCGGAATGACGAATCTGGAATCGTTCTCGCCATGCTACAGCCAGCGCCAACGTTGATTGCACGATTGCCGCGGTAGGTTTCTCCCGCCGGGCCAGCGTTACCGCACAGCTGAAGTCAACCTTGAGACGCTGTCGAGCAAAAAAGCAAGACGGCGGACGTCAAATCGATGCACTGCAACACACACCCCATCGGCTAGGTGTCGAAGGATGCAGCTGCGGGGAACCCTTGAGTTGTCAAAGTCTAGTCTGAGAGGACGTCCGGGGCGGGTATGCGGTGCGGAGCAATCGGGTTGTTGTCGGATATGGCAGGGCGGCTGAGAGCTAACCTCGGTGGTGGTGGTCGTCGTCGTCGTCTCGCGGCAAAGCAGGGCAGCGCTGAGGCTCCGGAATGTTGCACTCGTATTTTCAGTCAGACGTCAGTCAGCCGTCGGCGGTGAGGGCAGTCAACGATCGTTCGGGGCCGAAAACGTTTGGCCTGGCGCAGAGTCGCTTGGGATGACAGTTGATTGGTGTCCGGGGAGTTGATGGAGGGAGGCTGGACACGGGGAAACCAGATGGGGATGCATGGAGCTTGTCTTGGAAGTTGTGGAGGTGCTTGGGGTGTCTTCGGGCCACAGAGTCGGCAATGGCAATGGACTCGGATCGATTGTCATTTGGATTGTCTTTGATTTTGGCTTGTCCTTGACTGGGCCGGAGAAGACAGCGAGACACAAGGGACAAAGCGGTCAGGTCTGCCAACAAAGAACGAGTCCCTCTGCTGACTGAGGAACAGCTCAGAGACAAGAGACAGAATGAAGTCAGCCAGCGAGACATGCTGGAGTCTCTGGGCCATTCTGAGAGCATTTTACAACTGCCGTGCCCCCCACCGGATGCCATAGCCGTATGATGCCTGTTTCCAGCTCTTCGCGGGCCCCCCTCCCCCGCAGATAAGGTGTCACGGTGTTCTAACGGTGGGTCGTCGGCCGGCCGTCAGTTTACCGCCGACACCGTCTGACAGCTGCCCTCCTGGAATACTCTGTCTGCCGCAAGGACTGCGGTAAATGAAAGAGACGCAGTCATCTGGCTTTCTCTGCCACCAACCGAGTCTCGGCCATCCCGGTTCGACGGGGTTCGATCTGAACTGCAAATCTTTTTCGGTCCATCTCGTCCGCACTTGGGACGAGGGAATCGCACGAAATGCATCTGCCGAAGGTCGACTTGGTCATAACCAGCCTCGACACGCATTCTGGTGTCCACCAACCCAAGACCTGATCCCCTCCATCAGATCATATCCGTCGTATTGCAAATCCCGTGCGCGTCTGATGCCAAATGGCAATTCCAATTCCCGCCCGGCCCCTCATTCCCAATTGTCTCAACGACGAGAGCTTTCGCATGATTACCGATCTGGTGTCGCTACATCTCGAGGCACACGACATGACGACCACACGCAACCACAACTCCAGAGACACGACAACCCCCGGCTCGGTCCCATCGGCAGCGGAAACTCCCCTCTAAATCCCCTCAAAGACGGGGCACAAGGGGCACGTCGACTAGGGGTCCCCCTCCCTACCCCAGGATCTGTTGCACCTTGGCCAGACCTCCCCCCGGGCGTCATTCTGCCCGCCTCTGAGTGGTCGCCGTCTGCTGGCGGTACCTGAGGCCGACAGACCTGCGTTAAACCCGCGTTGCCCTACAGACACAAGCTACGGATACCTACCTTACCTCACGTTAGCCCGCGGCGCTGACGCCGCTGGCTGCTGCGTAAGGTGTGGCTTTCTATTTGCTGATTTGCGCCAGTGGTGACGTTGGACCCTCCTCCGGAGGCGATTCCACGCTGTTTTCCACGCTACACAAGGACCCCCGAGACACACGATTTGGGCCCTTTTGCCTCGTCCTATTTTCGAGGTACAATCGGCCTGGCTTGGGACCGGCCTCCTCAGGAGAGCGCTCCAACATCGACGGCGTAACGAGTAGTAGTCTGCGACTCTCGCGTGCTCCGGACGATTGACAATGTCCTAGTCCTGGTCATCCCGAACGCCCATTACTGATCAATCCCGCGAGTTATTCTCGAGAAATCCCCGGGCGGCTCGTCGGCACGGCGTCAAAAGCACCGACGCCTCTTCCACTCCCCAAAAAGCCATATCGACGTCTACCGTCCAGTCCCCCAACCCAGGATCCCAGAAAATCAGACCCCTTGCTGAATTCTAACTCTATTTCGCCCGCCCTTTTTCCATTTTGCTGTCTCATCTCGTACGAGACAAACCCCGACGTCCACGCTGCATTTCCGAGCGAGACCATTCCGAGGGTTACCCTTTCTGTCCTCAATTCCAACGGCGTACTATCTCTCGTCGTCGTCGTCTACCCTGGCCCGACTCACCAATATTACTTGCCGTGTCCGCCGCCGGATACATGCACGAACCTAAGCGCATCTGCCATCTTGAGTGACGTTCACTTGCTCCACCGCCGAGGCACAGGTGCATCTGCACGTCGACCATACGGCATGCCCCCTCGCATATCTTCCAGCCCCATAGGATCCGGTCGATGTGTCCCAAGATAGTAACTGGATAAATTGCTCTCGGTACCTGGCCCGGGTAATCGTCTGCTCGTCGGCTACATCAACCCATAACCGCCCCGTTGGTATTACAGAGCACGTTGCTCTCGTCTTTTGCTATCGCAACCAGCCACCTCATGACCACCCTTTTTTCAAGATGCACGGCATTACAGAGACAATACTGGAAACCTTTGCCCAGCACTGGCTGTCAATAGGTGCATCGCTTATTGTGGCCTGGCTGGTCAAGAACCACTACAACAATGGACTCAACAAGTATCCCGGGCCATTCCTGGCCTCGTTGACGGATTGGTGGCGCTTCTTTGACGTAAAGGGTCAGCGTCCAGAAGTAACACACAGGAAACTACACGAGAAGTACGGAGACGTTGTACGGCTGGGACCCAACACGCTATCGTTCGCGGATCCCGCCGCCCTCAAGACCATCTACGGGTTGAACAAGGGTTTTGTCAAGGTAACGGTCCTCAACCTTACGGTCGAACTCAGCTAACAGCACCAGTCCGACTTTTACGTTGTCCAGCAGTCCGTGGTCAAGGGCCACAGCCTGCAGTCGTTGTTCAGCACAACAGACAACAACTTCCACTCGCAGTTCCGCCGCTGCGTCAACTCGGCCTTTTCCATGTCGGCGTTGGTCCAGTATGAGCCGTTCGTCGACAACACCACCAAGCTGTTCCTGTCGCAGACTGAAAAGTTGTTCTCCGCGAGGGGCGAGAGCTGTGACTTTACGACATGGCTGCAGTTCTACGCCTTTGACGTGATCGGAGAGATCACCTACAGCAAGCGCCACGGCTTCGTCGAGAAGAACGAGGACATTGACGGTATCGTGGCGTACTTGAGCAAGCTGTTCCTCTACGTAGCACCCGTAAGTCTACGTCACCTCATCCAATGGACCGACTAACACCTCCAGATTGGCCAAATCCCCCTTCTCGACCGTTTGCTTCTCAAGAACCCCGTCTACCTCAAGCTGTCCCAGTGGGGTTTCATCGACTCGACCTTCCCCGTCGCCCGCTTCGCCAGGGCACGCATGGCCGAGCGTCTCCCCGAGCTCAACGGTAATGAGCCCCTGCTGCCCCTCACCAACGGCAAGAAGCAAGCCCAGCAACCCGACCTCCTTTCCAAGTTCCTGGCCGCACGCGAGGCCCGCCCCGACTTCATGACGGACGTCCTGGTGCAGACCATGGCCGTGAGCATGGCCTTCGCCGGCTCCGAGACGACGGCCATCAGCCTGGCCGCCGTCTTCTACTACCTTCTTCGCACCCCAACGGCGCTGGCGCGGCTGAGGGAAGAGCTGGACCAGTTCGGCAGGGACGGAGGCTTCAGCGACACTGAGACGGGGCTGGTCACCTGGACCGAGAGCCAGAAGCTGGTCTACCTCGACGCCTGCATCAAGGAGGCCTTCCGCATGCACCCGGCCGCCGGTCTGCCTCTGGAGCGCATCGTTCCCGAGCAGGGTGCCGAGATCGCCGGTACCTTCGTCAAGGGCGGCACCATCGTCGGATGCAGCGCGTGGATCATCCACCAACGACCCGAGATCTTTGGTTCCGACGCCGACACCTACCGACCGGAGCGGTGGCTCGTAGACGAGACCAAGGACCGCGAGGCAGAGGAGCAGCGCATCAAGGAGATGAACGGCCACATGTTCCAGTTCGGCATGGGCAGCAGGACGTGCATCGGCAAAAATATTAGCTTGCTCGAAGTTTACAAGTTGGTGCCGAGTCTCTTGAGGAGATTTGACGTGAGTGCCCTGTATCTCAATGACGACGTATCGCTAACAGTACGCAGATCAAGTTCACCGACCCGAGCCAGGAGTGGCAGCTCGTGAACGCGTGGTTTGTCAAGCAGAACAACTTCCACACAAAGTTCCAACTGAGGGATATCGTCAAACCCGAGCTCAAGGAGAAGTCATGAGCGATGATGTACGATGGAGTGACGAGATCATGACAATAGATATTTAAAATGTCATATAAATCGAATACATGTCTATACAATCAATAGGCCCTTTTATCCATCATCATATGTGACCGGTCTACAGGATATCTTTCGGCAACAGGAATGCAGCTGATAAAACAGAAACGGAATCATCTCATCGCTCAAGCCCACTCGAACTCGTTCTTCAGCCCCTCCGCACCGCTCTTGTCGTCAGCGTCGAGGTACCCGCAGATCCGGCCCTGCGGATCCCACGCTCTGCGCACCTCCATCAACCTCTTGCCCTGCTCGTCACCCCAGAACTTGGTCCGACGCAGCCGGAAGTCGGCATCGCCCAGGTAGCTCCCCGCAGACTTCCTCTCCACCTCCTTCATCACGTCGCTCACCCAACCCTGGCACCTCTCGTCGTCCTCCGCGTCCGGGTAGATGGTGTACAGCGCGAAGTAGTGGTCACTCTGCATGCTCAGCGCCATGTCCGGCATCGTCGTCTCCGCGTCCTTCTTCTCCCCGAGCTGCTGCTGCCGCCGACGCGAACACGGGTTCATGGAGAAGTACAGCGCGAACGACTGCGGCGTCGGCAGCGTCGTGAAGGCCTTCTTCAGCACGGCGGGCACGTCGGCGTCGTTGGAGACGTACGCGTTCTCGGAGACGTACCGGTGCGCGGGCGGGTTCGCCGCGTCCTGGTCGACGTACTGCTGCGGCAGCGACGTCGGGTTCGCGAAGACGGTCGCCAGGGGACGCGGCGGGTGGCTCGAGTGCAGCGGGATCAGCGGCTCCGGGTTCGGGCCGAAGGAGAGGAAGTTGGCCATGACCTGCGGGGAGTCGGCCCCCGGCGGCGTCAGGGTCAAGAGCACGATCTCCGTCGTCGGGGCGGCCGTCGGGCAGATCTGTGATGTTAGTTCTCGATTTGCAAGTGAGAGACGGACGTAACAAACCTTGATGACCCAGTTCAGGATCTCCTCGAAGCGGTCGAGGGAGTAAAAGTACAGCGACTGGTACATGCCCGTCAGGGGCCGGGTCCGGAGGTGGAACCGGGTGACGATGGCAGGGAACCCGGGCCCGGACCCGCGCGCCGCCCAGAACAGGTCCGCGTTCTCCGTCTCGGAGCACCGGAGCTCCCGCCCATCGGCCGTGACGACTTCGATGGCCTCGATGTTCTCGCAAGCCCAGCCCCAGTTCTGCAATAGTCAGCGCCGACCCCTCACCATCACACAAGAGAGAACTCACCTTGCAATTCCACCCCATACCACCCTGCAACAAGAACCCCCCCAGCCCGACATCAGGGCAATGGCCGCCAGGAAACCACCTCCCGACGCCCTCCTCGCTCTCGTCCCCGGGCCCGCCAATCTGCCCCGCCAGGAACCCGTTCACCTCCCTCCCCGTCCTCGCCGGCGCCACGCTCACGACACCCGTGCTCCTGTCATACGCGATGTCGTCCTTGCCGAGACCCCCGAGGTCCAGCAGCAGCGCCTCGTCGCGGACGGACCACGCGGCCCAGCTGTGCCCGCCGCTGCGCACGCTCACGCGCCACCCCTTCTCGGCGGCGAGCCTCACGGCCTCCGCGACGTGCGCGCGGTGCGTGGCCCGCACGACGGCGACGGGCCGCCGGGAGAAGTCGCGCAGGGCGTTGAAGACGCGGCCCCAGACCGCCAGGGAGTAGTCCGTGAAGGGGGTGTCCTCGGCGTAGAGGATCGGCAGGGGCGGAGCGGACATCTTTGATACTGTTCTAACGGGTTTCCCCTGGGTGTGTGTGTCGAAAAAGATTGTCTTGAGTTGCGATTTCGAGAGTTTCAAGACAACACTCGACGATCGACGGAGTGCAGCAGACCTCGTGGCAGATAAGACAAAAACCTCAACAGTCAGTCGTACGGCCCTGGACCTCTCGAGTTTCGCGGAACAAAGGCTCGACGAAGAACAAAAGAGACCTCCCCGCCACAAAAAAAAAAAACCTAGGATGGTGGCGAGTGGTCTGGACGAATGCAGCGCAAAAACAAACAACTCGAGCCCTTTCAGCTCAAGGCACGCTACATACACTTCCTGTCAGCCTATCAGTTCCTCGTTCTTTTACAAACAAAACTCGTGGGAAAACCATACCGGTGTTAAAACTAAGCTTAAGCCGAATAAGCTTCAAATGCCTCCCGCTAAAGAACCACAATTTCTCTTCTCGGTAGATGGGTAATGTTCTGGAGTGTCAAAGAGTCAAATCACAGAGTCCAATTGACCAAGTAGAGCAGCAAACCTGAGGCCGGCAAGTTCTGAATAAGTATTGCAATGAGGTTTCATCGCGTCGAGAGAACGAAGTCACCGTACGTACGTAGTCATCCTCCACCGTGGCACCTCCACCGCCGCCGCCCAGCGGGACCTCCTCCTCCTCCTCCCCCACTCACCCGCCGCCGACCATTGGCCCCAGCTTCCCCCCATGATTCGTGTGTTCTGTTTGGTTTCACGGGATGCGGGAGGCCTGGCCCGGGTGGTGTCTTCCTGCAGCTCAGCCGGACGGGCCGCTGACGAAGCTGCCGTGGCGCGCATCGTCGAACCGCCGTCGCCGTATTCGGCACTGCCACCTCGTGGCTGGGGGCTCGCGCCGGTGAATTCGTAGTCACTCATACTCAATTCACCAATTGTCAGATTGCAGTCACCTGTCAAATCATGAGACCTCATATGCAGCGAGAGGAAAAGGGGGTATCGTCCATTGCTACCTCGTCCCATCACACGCGTTCCTCCATAATTACATCGCGCCCGACGCAACGCAGTACAGCACTCAACATCTCTCCATCCATCTCCTGCAAGATCAATTTGGTACAAGTACGCAAAACAAGCACCTTCTTCTTCCATGCCGGGCCAGACGTCCTGTCCGGGCCTGCATAAACCCCCGTGCTGTATTAAAACAAAACCTCCGATCCGGCCGCGCGGAACGAGGAGAAACGGCCAAAAGCCCTGCGTGCTACAGTCAGGCGGCGAGCCTGCTAGCCAAACCAGACGTGTGTGCTTTTTGTTCACTGCGGCATGCTCAGTTGTTGTCGAGCCGCGGCTGCTGCTGAAAGTCCGTGATGGACTCCAGCATGGCCAGGTTCTTCTCCTGCATGTCGCGGTCCATGTTGTGGATCTGGTTCGCGTTGACTCTAGCTCGTTGCAGCTGGGAAACCGTTAGCATGCATTTCAAAATCCAAGACGGGGAGCATCAAGCAGGGCGATCCCACCACAGCAAGTGCCTCGGAGGAATGGTCTTCTTCCTCACCTTCCGCGGGCTGGGCGCCGTTCGCTTCGTCGTCGGCGTCGGCGAATCTGCTGGCCGAAAGACCCTTAGGCTTTGCGGCTGCCGCGTTGGCCTGTGACTGTCAGTGATGAACCGTCGTGATGTTAAAAGTGCGTACCTTGGCCTCTGCAACCTCGGCGTCCTTCACCTTGAGCTGGGCCTGCAACTCCTCAACACCCTTCTCCCTGTCGGTCAGTGTCTTCTTCAGACCGTCAATCTGCTCCTCCAGGTGCCTGCGCTTGGCCTGCTCCTCCTCCACAATCTTGGTCATCGTGTCGTTGAGCTCCTCGTAGTCGGCCTTGTACGTCTTGAGCTGCTTGTCGGCCTCGAGCTTGGATGCCTCGAGTTCCTTCTGAGCGAGCAACAGGTCCTCCTTGACGTCCTCGACCTCCTGCTTGGCGACAGTGAGGCTGGTCTGGACGACGTGGAGCTCCTGCTCGAGACCCTTCTTGACGTTTGCGAGCTGCTCGCGGAGACCGTCCACCTCGGTCGTGTCGGGAGGGGTCGGGGACTTGTTCTTGACGGCATCGAGGGCTGCCTCGGCCTCAGCGCGAGCCATCTTTTCGTGCGCAAACATCTGACCGAGCTCACCGTTCTCTTGCTCAATCTGGGCCTTCTCGGCCTCCGCCTTGGCGACGGACTCCTTGGCCGCCTCGAGGGCAGACTTGAGCGCGGCAGCTTCGGCCTTTTGCTTGGCAATCTCGTCGGCAAGGGTCTCGCTCTTGGTCTCGTACTGGTTCGTCAGCTCTGCCACGACCTTGGCCTGGGCTTGCTTCAGCTCCTCAAGCTCGGTCTGCGCGCCGGAAGCGGCCTGCTGCTTCAGGGCGTCCAGCTGCTCGGCGTGCATCGTGATGAGCTTCTCGACCTCGGCGGAGTGAGTGTCGTCGAGGTTTCGCTTGGCCTCGGCGAGGGCGGCGGCGCTCGACGTCTCGGTCTCCCTAAGTCTAGTCAGAGCCTCCTCAAGCTGGAGCTTCAAAGTCTTGAGCTCCTCGGACTGCGCGCTGCCGGCGTCCTTGGCAGAGGAAAGCTCAGCCTGGTGAGCGGCAAGGAGCTTCTCCTTGGCATCGGCGAGTTCGGCCTCGTGTGCGGCGACGAGCTTCGCGCGGGTCTCGGCAAGCTCGGCCTCGTAGGTGGCACGCAGCTTCTCGGTGGTGGACGCGAGCTCTTCCTTGTGGGCAGCAATCAGCTTCTCCTTGTCACCAGCGCTCTCGGACAGGGCAAGGGCCTTCTCCTTCTCGCTGGCAATCTCAGCCAGCAGCTTCTCCCTCTCTCCGGAGGTCTCGGCCTTGAGAGCCTCGACAACCTCGGCGTGGGACGCCTTGAGGGCCTCGATCTGCTTGGCCAAGCCGGACTCGCTGTCGCTCTTGAGGATTTCGAGCTGCTTCGCGTGGCTGTCCTTCAGGCTCTGCAGTTCGGCGAGCTGGGCATCCTTATCGGCGGAGGCACCGCTCTTGGCACCCTCGATCTCCTCGGCATGGCTAGCACGGAGGGCATCCAGAGCCTTCTGGTGCTCGGCCTCCTTGGCCTCCAAAGCAGCGACGGCAGCGGCCAGCTCAGCCTTGGCAGCCTCGAGGGCCTGAGTGTGGCTCTCGCTGGAGTCAGCCTGGGCCTTGGTGAGGTTGCCATGCTGGGACTCGAGCTCGCCGTGCTTGGTAGTAAGCGCGGTGTGCTGGGTCTCCAACTCGCCGTACTTGGAGGTCACGTCGGTGTGTTGCGACTCAAGCTCGCCGTGCTTCTTCTCCAACTCGTTGTGCTTGGCCTCAAGGTCCTGGAACTTGCGCTTGAAGAATGCGTCTCCCTTGAGCGACTCGATTTCTTCTTCGTAGTCCGCCGACACCTGCTTGAGCTCGGCGTCGTGCTTCTTGACCTGGTTAGAGTGCTCCTCCTTGGCCTTCTCGAGAGCCTCATCCTTGGCGGCAATCTCCTTCTTGATGTCGTCGATCTGCTGCTTGAACTCGAGAGCCTCCTCTTGAGCCTGGGCAAGCTCGGTTTGGGCCTGAGCGAGCTTAGACTCGACCTCGGCAACAAGAGCTTGGGAAGCGGCCAGCTCGGCAACCTTGGCGTCCAGGTCAGCCTTGGCCTGCTCGGCAGCCTGCTCCGCGGCCTCGAGCTTGCTCTTGAGCTCGGCGATCTCGCCCTCGACGGCGGCAAGCTTGGCCTTGTGGGATTCCAGCTCGGCGTTGACCTTGCTCTCGTGGGCGACCTCGAGCTCGTTCTGGGAGGACGTGAGGTCGTCGATCTTCTTCTGCAGCTCGGCGACGGCGGCCTCGTGGCTCGACTTGATGCTGGCCAGGGCCTCCTCGTGGTCGGCGGAGGCGGACTTGCCCTGGTTGAGCTCTTCGGCGTGCTTGGCCTCGAGGGCTTCGAAGGCGGCCTTGTGCTGGTCGTTGAGGGAGTTCTGGAGCTCCTCGAGCTTGTTGGCGTGCTCCTCCATGGCCTGGGTCAGGGCGGTCTGGCTCTCCTTCAACTTCTCCTCGTGTTCGGCCTGGAGGGTCTCGAGGGACTGCTTCAGCGAGGCGAGCTCGGTCTCGGCGGCTTCCTTGGCGGCGATCGCCTCCTTGTACTCGCTTTGCTGTTTCTCCAAGTCAGCATCGGTGGCGACAAGATGTTCGTTGGCCTCATCCACCTGGTTCTCGAGCTCGGCTTGCTTAGCTTGCAGTTCGGCCACCTGGTCTTGGTGGGCCTTTTGGATGTCGTGGACGGCACTCTGGACCTGGGCGGCCTCCTGGCTTGTGGCCTCGCCCATCTGGGAAAGCTTCTCCTGGGACTGCTGCACCTGTGTCTTGAGCTCGGTAAGCAGGGACTCCTTCTCGGTCAGCTGGGACTCCTTTTCGTTGAGCTGGGCCTTGAGCTGCTCAATCTCCTTGGTCAGGGCCTCGGACGCGCCGCCCGAATCCGGACGGATCGAGGGTCGCGAGGTTCTCGTAGGCGCGGCGGTCGAGCTAGCGGCGGTCGAGAGACGCTTCTTGGCCTCGGCGACGGCGCCGCCGCCGCTGCCGGTAGCGGGCGAGCGGGTGCTCGTCGACGACGGGCGAGGCGCGCCGCTGATGGAGGATCGCGAGGCGGTTGTGGAGGTCCTCGGGGCGGTCGAGCTGCTCACGGAGCTGGTGGGTCTCCTGGCGGCGGCCGTGGCAGCGCCGGCAGTGGTGGTCGAGGTCCTCTTCTCCTTGCTCGGCGAGCCGGCGCTGCTGGGGACGGCCGAGGTGCGGCGGACCGTCCTCTTGGTCTCATCCTCAGAGGCGGACACGCTGGGACGCGAGCGGTGGGTGGCCGTGGACGTCGTGCTCGGGGCCCTGCGAGTAGCGCTGCTCGTCGTGCTCGTGGTGCTACCGGGAGGACGGGTGGGAGGCTTGCTCAGGCCGCCGGCGACGCGGGAAGTCGACGAGGTGGTGCCGGCGGGCCGCGCGGTGCTCGACGTTGAGGAGGCGGAGGCGGCAGGACGGCGGGCGGTCGTCGTGGTTCCGGAGCTCGACGTGGGCTTCTTCAGGGAGGAAGCGGCGGACGCGGTGGACTTGGTGCTCGGCGAGCGGGGCGCGGCCTTGGGCGCATCGTCGTGCTGGACGACCTCGAAGCTATCGGCGTCGGACATGGTTGGAGATTATCGTGGGACGGCTCAGAAGGGTTTGTCGATGGGCAATTCTGTCGGCGCGTGTCATGTCAGCCAGAAGTCCGTAGGGGGGGGATGGTATTTCGGGTAGCTGCAGGAATTGAAAGACATTGCGGAGGGTGGGAGACACGACATGTCTTGGTGGGAGCTGGTCGTGGCAAGCTGCATTGACCCCTCACAGAGGGCAATTGGGACAACGGCGGAATGGGATAGATGAACTCACCTCGCGACGTCGCACACTGTCTCGTTCTCCTTTCTTTTCCTCTGCGAAAGCGCTGAGGGTTCGCCGTGGGACACAGCGAAAACAAGGCGAGGTAAACAACAGCAGAGCAAGGAAAGATACACGGGACAACAGCTCGGGTGATCCTATCTACAAGCTTGGAGCTCTGTTCAGTGGTGAAGCTGAGCAGAGAGGAATTGGATCGGGGGAGGTGCTGGGTAGAAGGAGATGAGAGGTGTGAGGTGTCTTATTAGGTAAGGTCGCGGGCGAGGATATAGAAAAAAGTTGCTTGAGGATTGAGGTGCGGCGTGGATGGAGACGCTGGGCTGGACACGGCCACGACAAGGAGGAAGGTCCCCTTCGGATAAGGTGATGGATGCATGGGATGGGCGGTGGTATGGGGACGGGCACAGCAGGCACAGCACAGGCGCTGCACTAAATGTGTGGGTGAACTGGCATTAGGCGGCCCTTGCAGCACTGACACCCGACGAGAACAGCGCCCAGATTACGCGAAGCCGCCTACGACGCAGGCCAACAGCGGTAACAGGACAGGGGTGGGAGGTGGAGTGGGGACCTCTTATGTAAGTAAGTGCCTTAGCTGAGAGCTTCAGAATTGGCCACTGTAGCCTCTGATCTTTTCCCGTTTTCACCCTTTTTCATGTTTCATTCTCATTAACAGAAATAATACCTCAGGCATTTCGATCAGAATCACCCAGTGCAGACGGTGCAGACTTACAACGCAGCCCCTGACTGGCCTGGCAGCCCTGGCAGGCTTGAGCAGATAAGGTGCCAAACAAACAGCCAGTGGACGGTGCTGACAGCGGCTCTCGCTTCAGGAGCTCGGGCAGTGGGTCCGTCCCGGGCTTGTCATTTGCTGGACGGGACATTGGACGCCAGGAAGCAGCTGCATCCAATTGGCTTCCAGCGGCATCCGCCTTCGGTACTCGGTACCTACCTCCACGTTCCACGTCCCACGTTCCAAACCTCCACGTCCATCTTTTCATCTCGGGCCTTGGACGCGCCTGTTCCAGCATCTTTATGCATCAACCTGTTGCGCCGTTTCAATTCGCCCAGGTGCCCCGTAGCCAGACGGCGAGCAAGATCGGCGCAGGTATGGCATTGACGACTGCCCAACTCTGATGTAACTGGCCACCGCCGACCGTCAGACCTCGATGCCTTGGAATGATGCCCGAACTCGGATCTCAGTCTCTCACAGAAGCGCTCGCTATCCGCAGTGTGCTGAGGCAAGGTGCCCGGCGGCAAGCCACCCGGAATCGACCAAATAAACCCTCCTGAACCCCTGAACTAACATGATTAGCAACTCACGTGTGGCCCCGCGAAGTGCCTCTCTTTGCCTCTTTAGCTCGTGTCAACTCCCCTGCCAAAGGAACAGAAAGAGACAAAATTACGAGTCGCAAAGGGGCACGAGCTACGTTTGCCAATATCCACGGAAATTGTCCTCAGGTAGCTCGAGAACCCCCGCGCTTTCATCTGATATTCCCTCAATTACGAGGAGTCATCGGATGGAAGCACATGTTTATTCCGTTGTGCGCGCCGTCGATTGAATGATTCCGATTGAGTGATTCTCAAAAGTCGTCAGCTCTCAATCAGCCTCATTTCTTCAACGCCCTCCTCTGGCATGGATTTGCCGGCCACAACACCATCGACAAAAATCAAGGGTCCACCTCCGCCTCACCTCCACGCACCTTGCTGGCCGTTCGATTGAATGTCACCGTGAACATGTCTCGCATCCCCCGATCCTGCGCGACAGCAAACACCACATGAACCCCTCCACCGCCCGCTGTCCACAAAGCCCAAGACGCCCAATCGCCGATGCGCTGTCACCATGTCACCGCAGCCCACTCCGCCGCGATGTGGCACCTCACCGTTGGCCCGCCTCAACGGGACGGTGACAGCCAACGGAGCTGCGTCGTCGCCCAGGGAGCCCGACCCGGACTCGTCATCGGGGGAGGGCTACGCGATTGCGATTGAGTGCCTAACTTGATCTCCCCGTTGTTTTCGCTACCGGTGCTGTGTCTTTGTGGGATATCTGGGGCCCATCCTAGACAGTCGGGACCGATCAACGTAAGAAGCCATATTGCCGTCAATCACCGCCAACGGGATATGTCTTAGATATTCAGACAGAACAGGAACCAACTCAATTACTCACGAAACTCAAACTGTTCACTCACTGTTTGCTTTCGTATCCTTACTGTTCACGGTACTTCCACAGGTCCGCACCCTAAGCCTACAGATTGCGACAGGACCTTCCACTGCACTTAAACCATGCAATGTCTAAGAGAAGGTCCCCAAGGCTGGACTTATCGAAACCATTATTTCCAGTTCTGCTGTTGTTGTTTGTCTTGCTTTCTTCTATTGAGAGCTGGTACGGGGTTGAAGTGACATTATCTAAGAGGAGAATCATGAAAAAGGAATCCGGGTAGGCCGCAAAGCTCCTGAAGAGCATACAGCACCAGCTAAACTACGTTTTTCACATCCAAGATCCCTAAAGCTTAAACTCTGAATCTCTTACTTTTCAATACGATATTTCGTAAAGCCGGTTTATCGAAGTCACAATTCCTTCTCGCAATTAGTTGGGACCTCCATCATGGCGCTGAGGATGAGCTCCGCCATGGCCCGGCGCCTTCCCAGACTTCTTCTTCCATGTCAGCCATCACATCTTCTGCATCGACGACTCTTTTCAGTCAGGGCCATCTACTCATCTTTCCCGGCCACACTTCATTACTACAGTCCTCACCTCAACTCATCTCTATTCGACAACGAAGAAAATGACAAACGGCCAGACGACATATACGATGAAGCTGTGATCGTAGACAAGGACGGCACCGTGTTCCCGGCCGTTTCCAAAACTTCCGGTTCGTTTTCTTCTTACCTTCCGTGGATGAGATGCTAAAATTGGATAGTTTCGAACGGCGCCGTCATGTTTCCGAATACATTCATGATGCAGGAACTCGTCCGCGGCTACTACGACGAGACCCTCGATCGCGCGGACGAGGGCAAGCGAGTTGATGTCCCCTTTATCTTCACCATCCCTAAAGGTGAGAGAGATAGCTGACCCATGGCCGTGAATCAAGTCTGACGGAGGGCTGTATAGGAACCCCGATCCCTGGCCACTTGATTCTGATCAACGAATTCATCTCCCGGTTCAGTCTTCAACCATCACGCGGTATGCCGCTGAAAGGTGCTTCCTGGGAACCTAGTGTGCTGCAGTGACATACTCATGAGACTATACAGATTTGAACCAAGCTCTGGACGAGTTCTATAATGAACATGCTCGCAAGGAGACTGTGAAGGACTGGCTCAGGGCACACCCCTTTCAAGGTGCCATAGCAGATGACGCGGATGCCGAATGGATGGCCAAGTAGTTCATGGAAAGGGCCGATACTGTAGTTTTGATGTTCTGACTACTAGGAAATAATGGTAATGGGTCTGATTTGCATAGAATGAGTCTTTTGGCGCGGGATGCAATGACATGACAGTCCACCTCATTCATAAATTCAACCGTCTGGAGCCAGTGTAAAGCCTCCCGGAACACGCTCACCCAAACCGGCACTTCATTTTCAGTTAAGAGACCAAGTAGCTCTGCTTAATGCGCAGCCAATCCGTCCCCTCACTGCTGTTCCATGAAAAGCCGCATCCGTCTGCCAGTGTACCCTCGTCCAGAGTTCCAAGCCACGGAATCCCCAACACCTCATGCTTCAGTAGCCTCCGGGTACGCCTCGAGCCACTGCCTCCTCGTGAATACTTTCGCATGAACCAGAAGAAACCTCGTAATCTTCTCATCTAGCTCTGAACATCGATGCGTAAGCCTCCAAGTAACAAGAAAACCCACAGCCAGGGGCCTTACCGGTGACGTTCATCACTACCGCCGGCTGCAGGGAGTAATGGTCCCATCGCTCGTGGACCAGCACAAGGTCCTCGGGGAGTTTGGTTCCTTCGGCCCGTTAAGTAATCCTTTAGTCCTCGATAGTGATCCAAGGCCGATAAACTCACCTGCAGGGACAGAATACACGATGGTATCAAGTCCGCGGTACCGGCGCGAGACCAGGAATTGCTGGTACGGCGAGTTCGGGCGCATCGATGCACCGTTGGGAGCTGATTCAACACTTCAGTCACTTTCACAATGTTGGGATGCTTCAGCTGACGGACCTTTATACGTCGACGGGTTGAGAGCCTTCGGATGAACGAGGTTTTTCTCTGCAAAGATGTCGTACTTTTCTCGCTCGGGTGTCCAGACGCGCACCTTGACGAGGGGCCCGTTGTTCACTCGGAACAGCTCCCTCGGGAACTTTCTGAACACCGCTATTAGATTTGACGTCGACATTCTCTATTCGATGTAGTTGCGACTTCACAACAGAATTTAGTTTCAGGATGTGGCATGTTTTCAATGGAGACGGGACGTAGACAGATGTATCAACGACCTTGGTGGTTGAGGACCTTGCCGGCTGAAGCCATCAAGCACCAATTCAATCACATAAGCGATGGGAGCAGCAAACAAAGTAGTCAGACATATTCTCATCACTAGACTAGTAGACATAAGGACCAACAGCTATCGATAAAACTACAAATTGTATTCACTCAAACTGTCTTACTATTACAAACATACACATCTAATAATCATCATCAGAGTCGGTGTCCTCATCGGGGACCAGCGCTCGGTATCGCCGGCTGGCCAGGTCCTCCTCGATGCCGCCCTCGCTCTCGGGGTCGACGTATCCCTCGCCGCCGAACAGACTGAGGGCGACAGGGAGGAAGATGAGGGCGTGGGTGCCGGCGAACACGACAAGGGCCAGCCAGACACGGAAGTAGTAGATTTCAAAGATCTTGGACCTCGTGAAAGCGAGGACGCAAACTCCCAACAGCTTAGTGACCGTGATGCCGGAGAAGACAGAGCTTCCCACGTTGACAAGGGCGGTCCACGCGCGCGCGTCACGTCCACGGAAGCGGTTCTTAGCTCGCTCCATGACGGTGCGGGACGGGAACATGAAGGCCCTCGCGATGTGTGCGCAGAACTCGACGCCAATGCCCACGCAGATGATCAGGTTGACCAGCGAGACTGCGTTGAGGGAGACGCCGAACACTGCCATGGCGCCGATGATGTCAACCACCGTCATGCAAACCGTAACGGTGACGACCAGGGCAGTGAGAAGCGATCCCAGGAGGATGGAGGAGATGATGAAGATGATGGCCACGGCGGAACCAAGAAGAGCACCGGTCAGCGAGACGATGCTGGCGTACTGGTCAAAGAAGATGTAGAAGAGACTGTAAGGGAAGACGTCGACGCCCGTCTGGCGCGTGATGTCGGATGCGATTCTGCGGGCAGCCGACATGGCGTTGATGAAGTCGTCCTGGCTGCGCAGGGGCGTGTGCATGGTTCTGAAATGACTGGCCGGGATGGTGTCCCTCTCGGAGTCGATCACCACGGCATCGCTGTACGCGGCCTGACCGCCCAACGGGCAGTCATCATTGGTGGGCGCCTTGAGGAATCTCTCGAGGTAGTGGATGAACTCTCCGTCTTGCGGCATGCCGGAGAGCGTGATGTTCCACGGCGGGTTGCGGTCAGCGAAACATGCCTTGCCGTTCTCGACGCAGCACGAGTCGCCGAGGTCGGGGTTCAGCCACTGGAAGTAGTCGTCAATCCAGCTGGCAGTGGGCGTGGAGATGAACGAGACCTCGGGCCTCTTGCGTTCGCCTTCTAGGATGTTGGCGAGGGAGAATTGGTCGCAGGTCGTGAACCTGGCGCATATCTCACGCTGGTGCTTGCGCTGGGTGGCGTTAAACTCTCTGGTAACAAAGTAAACAGGAGGGCCGGTCTCCATGTAGGCGTAGAGATCGTTGAAGTAGGGAATGAGGTAGGATCCATCCGGGATGGCGACGCGCTGGTCGAGACCGAGCTGGACCTCCGGGATCAAAGCGATTCCCGCGGCGAAGATACCGAGGAAGACCGCAATGATGGCGACCTTGGCCTGGCGGGCGAGAATAGCAGGGGCGTAGGTTCGGCGGATGAACTGTTGAAGCAGGCTTTCCTCGGGAACCTCGTAGAACCTGGCGCTGCCGTTCCCGTTGCTGCCGCTGAGGTGGACCCGAGCGGCCTTAACTTGGAGGCAGGGGATGCAGTCGGCTCGGTGGTCCTCGACGCGGATCTGGTTCATAGCCAAGACAGACACAAACAGAGTGATCTGAAGGATGGCGTTGATGAAGACAGCACCGGCGGCGTAGGCAGCAAAGTTGCGGACTGCTGGCATGCCGACGGCGGTTCCAAGAGCAAAGGCGACAGTCTCGGTCAAAGCTGAAAAGAGGATAGACGGTCCCATGCGGCCGAGGGCCTTAGCGATGCGTTCCTCGACCATCTCGTCAGGGTGGCTGACGTTGACGCGCTCGAACTCGTGGACAATCAGGAAGATGTTGTCTACACCGACGGCAAGGACGATGAAGGGGATGACCTCGGCGATGATGAGGGTGGCCTTGAGACCAGCCCAGGAGAAGAGGCCGATGGAGGCGCTGATGGACATGAGCACGATGAGGATACCGACGACGCCGAGGCTGAACTTGGACTGAACCAGAGCAACGGAGGGGTTCCTGATCATGTCACGGATGGACAGTGTGGTGGAGCCCAGGGCGAGGGAGGCGTAGAGGAACATGATGATGTAGCTGATGATCACGATCTTGGCGTCGGTGTTGGTGGACTTGTTGAGCTCCTGCTCCAAGCTGACCTCCGTTGAGAACGACAGGCGTAGTCCGCGCTCCTTGGCTTCCTCCTGGGCAATGAGGAGGCGATCGCGGAGGGCATTTTCCCAGTCCATGGCGCGCTCGACGGCAGGGGTGCCCTCGGCGGCGTTCTTGACGACCCAGTTGATGGTGATGGCGGTGGCCTTGGCAGGGTCTTCCTCGTAGTTTCCGAGGATCATGTTCGGCTCGATAGGCTGGCCAAAGTCTGGGCGGCACTCAACAGGCGATTTCGCGCACTGTCGGAGCTGGTCTTGCCAGGTGTCCCGTCCGACGAGCGAAGGCTCATTCCCGAAGTAGGCCGCAACGGACTGGACTACGCAGGCGGTACCGGTCGGCTTCAGGCAGATGTCATTGAGGGTAGCACCATACTTGGCACCCTTCAGCTGCTTGACGCTCTTCTCGACTTCCATCCACCAGAGCAGAGTGTCGTAGCTGAGGACGGGGGCAGGGCCGTTCTGGTCGTTGACCAAGAACGCCTTCTCGGCACGGTAGAAGGGACCGAACTGGTCATCGAAGAAGGCCTTCTCTTGCGCAGCAGGAGACGTAGGGCTGACCCAGAGGCGAGCGGGGTCCTTCTCAATGTCGAACCTGACCCAGCCGGCACTGAGAATGACGACGAAGATGAGGGAGAGACCAATAGTGATTCCCTGGTAACGCGCCGCCGCGTGTCCTAGCTTGCTGAAGGCCGCGTCACACCACGTGTTGATCTTGTAGTAGCGCTGAGGGCGGTCAAACATAGCACCGTTTTGAACCAGATCACCCTCGTCCTCGTCGTCGCTGGGAGAGGCGTCCTGCAGGAGTCTGAGACGCTCGCTCTCCCTCCTGGCGCGTCGCCTCCAGTAAACGTGGCCAACGACGGCAGCGATGGCGGAGAAGAGGAGGACGCTGTAGGAGAAGATGGCCGCAAAGGAAAGGCAAGGCAGCACACCGACATGGCATTCGCCGGGCTTCTTGACGGCCGGGAGCTCAGGGCACACCGCAGGGCAGTCGACACAGGCGCAGCGGAAGTTGGGGTCCTCGTCGTTGCACTTCTTGGGCGTCATCTCCCGGGGCGCCATATCGGGCTCGGTGTAGGTGGTGGGAAAGTTGATCTGGAACGGCGAGCCGATGATTTTCTCGTCGCCCAGGAATTTGAGCAGCTGCGAGTAGTTCTTGGCGCCGCCGCCGATGAAGTCGATCGCCTTGGAGTTGGAGGGTCCGAACTTGACCTCCTTGCAGCTGTCGTAGAAACCAGTTCCGTATTCCTCGGAGATCAGCTGGTCCAGCTCGGTGACCATCTCCTTCTTGTTCTTTTCCATCGTCTTGGTGACATTGAGGAACAATGATTGATCGGGTGAGCAAGTAAAGGTGCAGAACAGGTTGAAAAAGTTGTCCTTGCAGGCAGGGCAGGAGGATACGATCTGGTTCGGGGTGCCGAGCTCGGAGGCGAGCGCTTTCACCTGCGTTGGTTAGCCATCGTTCGAATAGCCTGTCACGAAGAACTTGCCTGCTCAGCATCGCAGCACACCGGTCCTGAGTTCCATTTCGCTCCGCAGAGGTCGACGATCTGCTGTCGCAGCTTCTCGTCGGGGTCCTCGGCAAGACCGTTATCAACACAGGGCAGCTGTTTGCCGAAGAAACTCTTCGATCCGCAGTGTCCTCGAATTGCGCATCGTCCGGCTTCGTGTTTTGGCGTAAACGGCTCTGCTGCCGCACCGTTCAAGCCGGCCAACAGAAGTCCGCCGGCTCCGAGGAGCTTCCACAGGGCCATCGCGTGTGTCGCCGCGCAGCGGCAGTGTTCGGTTGATTATCGGTGGTGTTCAGTGGTGGACACGAGACGATGGGGGGGTGATGAGGGAGGTCCGACCAGAACGAAGATGCCGTCGAAAGGAAAGAGGTTGACGACGATGGTGATGCGTTGAGAAGACAGGTGTGCGGCGACAACAAGCTCTGGGAGCTCCGGTTACCTGAATGGCCGGTTGGCACTTGCGACACACCCGCGTGCCTGTGCTGCGTCATCCGCACCGACTGCCCACGCTCCTGCCACAGGCTTGCATCGGAAGTGGGGACCTCCACATCCGCATTCCATTGGTCGGCTAAGCTCCAGCCACCCGACCTGGAAGTCCATGACGAAGAGAGTCACGTGGCGGCGGGTGGCCTGCTTCCGTAGATGCCGTCCACGTTACCATCGATGTTTGTTTGTCAATACTAACATTGTGGTCCTCATTATCTTAGCCGTCCTGGTATCAGCTGGTGTTCCGCCTTGTGTTACTGCGCTGGATCGACTTTCACACAGATGAATGTGGAGTAGCCCCTCTAGGGAATTGCCGAACCCGTTCCGCTTATTATGCCGTCCACATTATGCCGGACCGAGTTGTGGATCCCGGCAGCCCGGGACGTCCTGGCGGAACACCGCACTAAGTGCTTGAAAGAAGCTAGACAGCATTGAATGTTCTCTATGGTGTTGGGAAGCATCGTTCCCTAAGTCTCTGTCGTTGCTGGTCACCGTCGTCGCCATTGCCACAAAGGGTGAAATGTGTGCTGCCATAGAAGAAATGGCAGGAGAAGCCCATTAACATGCGATTCCCTATCGGGTTGAAAAGAGAAACGTCGCGACTTCCTTGAACAAAGTAAAGGTAGGTACGATTGTACATCTCTCTGGGCAGTTCCCCCGGACCTTCTCAATCAACAAATGGGACATACATATATAAATGCATACGGTTCTGCCTGAACACAACGGGAACCTCCCTTGATCAAACCAGCCGATCACCATCTTATCAGCACCGTATTGAACTACACTCCCACCTTCACACAAGTATCCCAACTTGAACATCCTTCACTCATACGGCCCTCACCCAAATAGCCCAACATGAGCCTCGAAATGTCGACCTGCCCGGCGAACTACACCGTAACGCAGACAACCGCCAGCACCATAAACAGCAAGCCGGCATCGATCTACCTCCCAGACTATGGTGTGCCGTGGCCAACCGCCAGGTCCGAAGACAACATGTCGGCGTTCACCTGGCCCGAAATCACCGGCGAACCGCAGGCAACCAAGAAGACCAAAGACTCCTTTCTGACGGTGACCTTTCCTCCAGACTACGCTGTACCCAAGACCGAATGCAGAAGCTCATTGCCGCCGTGGCGGAATTGGCGCAATGGTGGCTTCCCCTTCTCATGGCCTACCGCCGCAGAAATTCAGTACAGTCACGAGATGTTTGTCCGTCTTTGGGCGGTGCTTTTCTGGGTCCTAGCTGCGCGTAGCATCAACCACAATTTCATCTACTGGCAATACGTAGAGCCGAGGAAAGCTCAAATTGTCGCGCAGACACGTGTCTGGCAGCACCGACTTCACCTACCTCTGCTCATACCAAACACTGGGCCGGGTATCTCAGATCACGCATTCAACAGCATGCAACTATACTTGTGGCAACTCTTGTGTGTGTACATAATCCACACGTACTTCTAGGCGGCCGGGGTGGGTGGAGAACCCGACGAACAACTTTACATGTTGTTGGCGTGGAATACTGGTACATTCCGTGTTTTTTAGCAAAAACTTGTGGACAACATGGTCAGAGGGGGGCTTTGATTAGAGAGAGAGACACGAAGGAATGGGATGGAGCATCAACAGCGGTAGTTAAATAATGCTAGCATCGAATAAAGCGCAGCATGTTATCGTTCGGGAGTTTATTACATGGAATCGTGACTGCAGACAATGCAAGATTTGGCTGTTGCGGTTCTGAGACAACTCCGAGCGATCGATTATCTCCGTGTTTTCACGCTCGATCGCAAACCAAGGCTTTCTTTTCTCGGATGATGGTATGTGATGGTACTGGTACAACTTGTTTATGCGCAAATGCGAGCATGCGAGCGGAATGGCTTCTAGGAAATATGACCCCCAGACCAGCTGTTCCCCGTCTTCCCAAGCATATTCTACTAATCCCAAGAGTCTCTACGCACAACCCGTCATCATTTCACCATTTCAACACTACTCCTCCCGCTTCTCCTTCTCCTTCTCCCAGCCCAAGATCTTCGGACCAAAGTTATACCACCCATACCCCTCGATCGAGGCAAATACCCAGAACAACGAAATCAACCAGAACCTGGCCCTCCGACTCGAAGTGATGTGTTTGATGTTGAACGCCGGGATCTCAATGTCGTCCGGCTTGTTGTTGTTATTGTTGGCGTTCTTCGCCGGTCCGGCTCGTCGCGCGGTGGCGGTGGAGAATGCGGAGCGCCGGAGCGGGACACGGAGGGCGGCCGTGTTTGTGATGCGCGCGGCCATTCTCGCCGACATTGTAATTTGCTTTTTTAGAAGATTTAGGATGAAACGATTTGTCTAGAGGCTTCAGGGCTATTCGATTGATTTTTGCTGCATTTTTTGTCGATTTCTTCCGTTGGAAATCGCTCTTTTAATCATCTTGTCGCTATTTACGACCCAAGCGCCGTTCTACGATATTTACGAAGGATGCGTCAGGCGTAATCCGTACACGGCATGGCTCACCCACAATGTACGCTGTCGAGCCGGCTGGACCCGGAAACAAGGGACGAGCACACACTCCCCGGAGCGCATCGGGTCAGACGGACGTCTATTTGCCCATTCGGGATTGCTTACGGCGGCTTCATTGGTCAATTAAGCAGGTAATCCTTTCATTCATTCGCCGTGCCATGTCTCCCTTGTACATATGCGTCCCCCCAAACGCCTAAAGCCATAATCTACAGCAACGCCCCGATCCAGTCCCGAACACCCGTTACTTCTTAATCGTGAGCGGCTTGAAGGGCTTCCTCAAGCGGTCTATGGGTGCAATGCCCCCTTCCTTCTTCAACGCCGCCGGCCTCTTGAAACCGCCGAACCCGTTCGTCGTCGTTGTCGCGTGAAAGCAGCTCGCCGGGCGCTCCCGGACGGGCGGCGGCTGGTCTTGGTCTTCGTTCTCCTTCTCGGGCCTCGGCGGAGAGCTGGAGAAATTCGCGTAGTGCTTTTTCGGGCCCGCGTCGCCGTCAAAGGTTGGCTTGGACGGCTTGGCGGGCCTCCGGCTGGCGCCGAGCTTGTGACCCGTGAGGCCGGGCTCGATGGCCGGAGCGGGCCGCTGGGCTCGGTGCAGGTTTGGCAGCTCTGGGAGCTCCTGGAGCGCCTGCCGAGGAGGCGGAGCGGGCATGTTGCTGGGCTCTGACTGGTCGGACTTGGACCTCTTGACGATCTTGACGAACCCGAGGAGGCTCTGCTGATCGGCCGGCCGCTTCGTGGTCCCCCTCCTGGGACCGGAAGACTTCTGAGGCGCAGGTTGGGCCTGGGCTGATGCTGCCATTTCTTTGGCGGCCGCGAGGATCGCTGACTGCGCTGCGGTTGCAGTTGTGAAGCCAGGCAGCGACGACATGGTGAAGTTGGACGCCGCATCCATGGTCGTGGAGGTATGCCACGTTGGCACGGGCTGAGCCTCCTCTTCTGCAGACGCTATCTGCGGTTTTGAGCGCCGCTGCCATTGACGGTTCCTACCATTCTCGCTGTCCCCAAAGGCATCTTCGGGGTTCTCAGGATACAGGTTGTCTTCCGGTCTCTCCATGAGTGGCATCACACCAAAGACCTTGTCTTGCGTGGGAACTGCAGCCTCTCTCCCAAGAATCCGACCAATCTCTTGCAGAATCCCAGGCTCGAAAGATGGACCGCGTTTCCTAAAGTACTGGTGAATCTCTGTTGGGATGAACTGCGACAGCTCGGTGCGCTCGCCACCGTTGCCTCCGTTCTGCGAGCTGTACATGGGACAGCTGAGGTAGAGGAGAGACTTGGCTCGCGTCATGGCCACATACAGCAGCCGACGCTCTTCGTCGAGATCCTCAGATCTCATGTGCGGGATCGATCCACTGTACACTGCAGGGACGAAGACTACCGGCCACTCGAGTCCCTTCGCTGCGTGAATTGTCGAAATGGTCACCAGAGGCTTGCCTTCGGTATCACCCTTTTGCGCGTCCGATGCCAACGACACATTCGCGAGGAACCGACCGAGCGCGTCGTTCTCCTCGACTTGATGCACTCCGTCGATCTGTGGCAGGCGGTCCTCGTCCGCCGTGGCACTCAGATCCCTCATGAAGTCGCCAGCCAGGCCGATGAACTCTTGTACGTTGGCCCAGCGCGCTTCGTGGTCTTCGCGGTAATTCTCTTCGAGGTACTTTTGGAAGTTGAGCTGCGAGAGGAGGTTCTGTATCAAGTCCACCAGGTGGTAATATGGACTGCCACTGGGTGGTTCCGCCATCTTCCTCCTAATACTTGAGACCATCTTGATGAGCTCTCCGCTGATCTTTTGTTCCATGGCCTTCTTTATATTCGTCTTCGCTGTCCGATCTCCCCGGCAGTGCTTGTTCAGCAATACCCAAAGACTCAGCTTGGCATTTTCAGCCTCTTCAAGCAGGGACTTGATGGTGGCGTCTCCGATGCCACGGCGGGGGACGTTGATGATGCGCGCCACCGCATCGTTGTTGTCCGGTTGGTGGATAACACGCAGATAGTCAAGAACCACCTTGACCTCTGCACGTTCGTAGAACTTGACTCCGCCAACCATTCGGTAAGCAATTCCAGCCTTGCCGAGGGCCGACTCAATGTGCCTGGACAGTGCGGCCGACCGCAGGAGAATCGCCACATCGTCGTGATTCAACATGTTGCCTGCCATCATGAGGATCCGCTTGATCTCGGAAACCATCCATTCGGCCTCGACAGCAGAAGACTTCAATCGACGAAGGACCGGACGCGTGCCTTTGTTGTGGATGGGCAGCAATACCTTTTGGTACCGTCTCTTGTCTTGCTGGATGATCTTGAGAGACACATCTAGAATCGCTTGAGACGAGCGATAGTTCTCCTCCAGAGAGATCTCATCGGTCTGTGGATAATCCCTGAGGAGTCGATATAAGTTCTTGATCTCGGCAGATCGCCAGCCGTAGATGCTCTGATCGGGATCTCCCACAATGGTGATTCTTTCCCGAGCTTGAGCGAAGAGCTTCATGAGCTCGTACTGGATGCCGTTGGTGTCTTGGTACTCATCGATGAGCACAGCTTGCACATTAGCAACGCAGGACGGGTGTTTCTGCAGCAGCTCCACGCAGCGCGTCAACAGGTCGTCGTAGTCGAGTAGATTTGATCGCTCGAGATGGCTCTGGTACTCTCGGTAACAGGTCTGCATATCTGGGCTTTCCGGTACTTCTTTTCCATTGCGTTTTGGTGGGCTCTGAGCGTTTCCCTTTGCCTTTTTCTTGCTGATCCATGACCTCGCCGCCGGTGGATCCACAGACAGTTGGAAGCGTTTGCATATTCTCTGGATGATGGACCTCGAGTCCGAGTCGTCTGCAATACCAAACATTTCGTCAAGCCCTATTCTCTTGCCGTATGCAGCCAGATACCGACGAGCAATGCTGTGAAATGTGCCGAGGACGATTTTCTTCTCGCGGCCACCTCCCAGGGCCTTGCCAATGCGTTCCTTCATCTCCCTGGCGGCCTTGACGGTGAACGTGGCAACAATGATCTCCGAAGGCGCGTATCCGATGTTGTCAACTAGCCAAACGACTCGGGAAGTCAGAGTGTGCGTCTTGCCACTTCCCGGACCGGCCAGGATGGCCACTGTCGCCGCGTTCGACGTGACGGCCCGGCATTGTGCTGTGTTGAGGGTGGCCAAGATAGATTCAGCCGGGCCGGGAGCCGAACTTGACGAGCTCATGATGCAGGGCCATGGAAGATAAGCCGAGAATGATGAAGCAAAGGATGTGATCAAGTAGCTCCCATCCGGGCCCGCGATGCGCCGACGCGTCGGTCGCATAGTGTCAACACGGGTGCCGGTAAATCCCCGGAGCGGTCCACGACGTCACGTGCACTTGGCCCCTGCCAAGATCGCTCGCTTGGCACGTGCCAGCGCAGATCTCCCAGCCTCCACTCTGGACTCTGGACTCTAGACTCTGGACTCTGGACCACTGCACAGTGTCCCTCATCACCGCCACCGCCGCTGGCCTGAGACATTCAGCTGAATACCAGGCAATTGGCAAGCAAATCCATCTCCAAAGACACACGTCGGCGTTCGAAAAGAGGCTTTCGTCGAGATCCGGCTTTCAAGCCCGCAGCAAAACTTGCCCAAGTCCGGATGCCTCATCGAACGTCTATCGGTTAACCCTGATGACCACCCTCAACATGAACAGCGTCGGCGGCGCTGATTCGATAATAATGTTTCGTTTCTCCGGCTGCTAGAGTACCCCGCCGTTTCCATGCCGCCATCACACTTTGGAGGGAGAAAAACGCTCAATCGGGCTTGGGGATAATCATCGCTCGGACAAAGTCTGTTTTCGCTTTGATGACTCGTACAGACATCCTCTCCGCCGCAAGCGACACAGACGTCCCAAGGTTTTCCGGTTCGCAACAGCGCAGCTCAACGGGCATGGTCGAAGTCAACGTCTCATCGGCCCAGTCAGAAGAACGGTCACAATCCTATCACGGTTGTTATCACGGCCGACAAAGTTGCGATCATCACGCTTTAATGCTGACGACGACGTGAAGTCACACTGGGCAGAGATCCCATTCGAGGACGACTGTGATGCGATACCACAGATCACGATATGTCAATGGCCTATTGCAGCAGCGGCATGCGGTGAGAGAGACGAGTGATGGGTCGACGCAGGGATGGCCGCTGCCAGATATCAGAACACAGGACGAGAAGCAAGGACGACAGCACAGCTGACCCGGGGACGCTCGTCTTTTCACGTCCTGGACCACGGCTTCAAGGGACTATTGAACCATGAGTGGCCAAAGGACTGTGGCCTCGCCCGGCATGGCATGGCCCTGCAGCGACGAATTGAGTTGACAGAGCCAGCTCGGGTGTGGCACGGCGCGGGGTCGGATGTGACGAAGCAGCCCAATCAGGACCCCGGCGGCCCTCCTCGGCGCTTACGGCCCCTGCCATCACGTCGATCCGTCCAACCACATGTCGGGACGCCCATGGTTCTCCCGCCTCCTCTGCAGACGACATTAATAGCCACGGGCCAAATTTGGGCGCTACTGCAAATCGATTGAGGTCGCCATCATGCAAGTGCGACCGCTTCGCAGCTTCGTGCCTGGGGGCTTCAGCAAGTCAGAGTCGAGAGCACACGGCCAGCGCCAATCTCGACGCACTGCCGAACCTCACCAGCCGCTATATACCCTTTGTGCGCCGCATATCCGTGCCTTTCCATGTAACTTCTCCATCACAATGTGTTTCGGAACCTCCTCCAGGAGGTAAGATCATCAAAGCTGGATTTGACTTTTAAAGACTTCCGGTGTCCTCGCCACCATGAAACCCGCCCAAGCCTCGACTCTTAACTCTCGACTTCGCTTCTCGACCTTCGTTCTTTGCTTCTTTTTCTGCAGTCCTGCACATGCCGTCCCTCCTCCCCACGAGCCTCGCAACAACAATCCTCTGAACATCCAGTGGGGTCCGGCTCCATCGCCCGAGGACGGTCCGCCCGCATCTGCAAACGCACTGAGGGATCCCGCCTACCTGCCTTACCAGATAGGCGCAATCGTCGGTTCTTACGGCGTGTCATTGGTGCTGGTCGCCGTTTTGCTGCTCGTACTGTCCAAGAGACGTCGCGAGGCCCTCTCTGCCGGTGACGACGAGATCGATTTTGACGAACCAAAGTCGTCGCCCCGGTCACTGAGGCTTACCTTGGAGGTGCCGAACTCGCCCAGGAGCATCCCGCGGAGCCCCGTCCGCAACTTTTCGTACCCTTCCCCGGAGGACTACCAGGACCCGGGACCTTCTCCCCAGACGCCTTACGTCGCCCCGACGCCCACGTCGACGCTGCACGCACCCGGTACAGACTTTTCCGTGGATCAGAGAGTCGTACAGAAAGACAAGAAAATGGCGCAGACGCAGCTCGAGGAGATGTACAAGTACGTGATGGAGCAGGAGGAGGCCAAGGCGCAGGGCATCACGCTGCGGGACTCGCCGGTGCTCGCGAGCGGCTCGCAGTTCCCGCCGCCGAACAACGCCAACTTTGGCAAGCCGACGCTCAAGAAGGAGAAGCACAAGCCGGCCAACCTGAACCTCTCGGAGGGCAAGCCGGAGAAGCAGTCCCGGGCGTCGTCCATCTTCTCGGCCCTGCGGTCTCCGAAAAAGAACAAGCACGTCAAGGGGATCAGCATCTCGTCCCCGATCATGACGCCGATGACGGGGACTTTCCCGGGCGCGAGGCAGGAGTCCCAAGAGATGAACGCCATCCCGCCGCGGCAGTACGCGCCGCCTCCGCCTCCGCCGGTCCCCACCAACCAGGTCCCGTACGGGGTGTACCAGGAGAACGGACAGGTGTCGCCCATCACGCCGGACCTCTCGCCGGAGAGCACGCAGAGCATCGACGAGCGGATCGGAGCGCAGATCTCCATCGGCCACGCCCGCAAGCCGTCGGCAGCGCCGTCTGCGTCTGCGGCGTCCGAGGTGGACCCCAACTCGGCCACCACGGAGAGGTCCACGGCCCCGCTCATCGGCCTCCCGCAGTCCCCGAAGCCGGGAGCCCGGTTCCCCACGCTGCCCGCGTCGCCCAAGCCCGGCGCCACATTCGCACCCTCCCTGCCCTCTTCCCCTCAGCCGGGGGCCACATTCCGGTCCAAGGCTCCGTCGGCAGTGCGTACCGGGGGCGCCCTGCCGCTGCGTGCATACGAGCCGGCCCTCAGCTCGCCATCCATGACTTCGCAGACCACCAAGCAGACCGTGTTCACACGCACGGGGCCGTTGTCACCGTCGGGAGCCCGCACGCCGGCAACAGGCATGGCGGTGCCGTACTCCCCGTACCAGCCGTTTACGCCCATCGTGCCCATGACACCGTCGCTTGTGACCAAGGCGGACCGCAAGAGGATGAAGAGGCTGGAGCCCAAGACGCCGACGCTGGAGATGGTCAAGAGCGAGGACGACATCTGGTGAGGTTAGAAAAAGGAGATACCATATAGACGAGGGATAGCATGGGCGACCGGGTAATGCGACTACGATTTCTCTTTGACGGATGTTTCTTGGCGTTGTCTCTTGATTTCTTTGTCCATACTGTACAGAGTACCGCACACACGGAAAACCAACGGAGGCCGCTTCTCACCACCACCCAAGAAGCCGGAAACACGGGCTCGAGAGTCAGAGTCACGGTTCAGAGTTTTTGGCAAGAGTCAGGGAGGTGGACGAAGGGGAATGTGATGCTTCTGGAACGCAGATTCTAGCTTCTAGGTATTTAATAGGGTTTTTCTGCACTCTTCATTCAGGGTTCGTGCCATGTGTGTCAAGGACGAATAAGCGTTTCAGACGGTCCAAACGAGAGCGAAGGGTGTCTCGCGTCTGCGTGTGTGCATGTGGTGATCAGCGGGGGGTACGGCGAGGTTAACAGGTGGAGGTGATTGCGGGTGGGCAGCACGGCAGTGGCAGGCCGGGGTATGTTAGCGACCATGTCATTAGGCTGCGGGGGTGCTTGGCCACGGAATCGTGGCAGGTTGAGTCGCAGCCATGGCCATTGTGAGACAAAAGCGAGGCGGATTGGTGGATTGAGACTGGAGGTCGCGGGCAAAGGCAGGGAAACGCAGTCGGAGCGAGGCATGGCTTGGGGGAAGTAGGAGGGACGGGAAGCAAGACACGAGGCACCGAGGGAGGAGGATAAAAACGATACGGCAGCCATTGACGAGAAATGATGCGATTCTGGGATTGACGCCCACCGGGTCTTCGGGGATGGGGCACCAGAGTCTGGAACCCGACTACCTTAACTTAGCCATCGGCCGCTGGTCACTGGCTGCTTTCGGTTTTTTCAGCGGCCCAAGCACTGTAGCTGTTTATCGTTCTAGCCCCAACTCTCTCGAGGCTTAGCGACTCGACTCGACCAGACCCAACGCTACGGCGAGCGCCGGTGGATGTCAGACATTGGACGTCAGCGATAGCGTCTGGGCAGAAAAAAAAGAAGAGTGACTGGAAGTGAAGCTGGAAGTGAAGCAGAAAGTGGCCGTCTCTTGTCGTGCTCATAAATGAATTTGTCGCTGCCCAGGCTGGAAGCGTGTTCAGTTCAGCGGTTCAGCAGCGCCCCTCCTTGCACTCGCTGCAATAGGTCGGGTTCCAGTGTCCAGTGGCTTTCTTGGCTCAGTGGCGTTTCTCGTTGTGGAGCTGGGAAAATGAGGCAGGCCGGCGCCCGGTTCCTGGCTCCCCGGGTGCTGTCATGAAGCCATGTACCCTCCCCGCAGGATTAACGTGCAAAGTGACCTCTCCCCCAGGTGGGCGACGGCAGGGACGGGGGGAATAGCACTCGGCCCATTATCAGCTGTGGTTTCCCATTTATCGTACGATCGGCCTCCGTTCTCTTCCTTCTCTCAATTCTCGCTTTCCCTTCCTCCTCCCACCCAATTCCCTGCCCTCTCTTCGCGATCCAGGCATTCCAACGCCATTCCAATTCGTGTGCCTGATATCCCACCATACGCAAACCGACCCAAAGCAAACATTTCGTGCATCTCGCCTCCCTCGCTGCCGCTGCCGCTGCCGCTGCCGCTGGACACCCCCGTGCAGCAACCTGCCGCCCCCTCCCGACCCAAGCTTTGAGCACCGCCGACCGGGCCAGCGTCATACGACTTGCACCCGAAAGACTCCTGTCCATCTGGGTCTCCCTCCCGCCTGACACCACTGCGAGATCTCCATCCCTCCATCGCATTCTGCCGACGCTCGTACGACCAGAAATTCTTTCCCGCTGCGACCACGCCGCCGTTTCCCGTCAATCAACCCGCTGTCCGTCATCTCCTCGTCCCCTGGACGCTCTCGACCGATCCATCGCGACCGCCCGGCCACTCACATCGAGTCCTTGCCTCGACGGGACCTGGCCCCCCCATTCTCCAGTCCGTCCTGTGAGAGGGCCGTTCCGACTTGGATGAATTGAGCATCAGGCCATAGTTGCATATTCACCGCCGCAACCATGGCCGACCAGGACCCCAACACCTTATTTGGCCTCGACGAGTCTAACCTCGGCGTGGCGCCGTCCTTCCTCGACGACCAAGACGGCCAGAACGTCAAATCCGACCCCAATCGACAAACCAACATCGCCAACGACAACCAGTCCTTCTATGATGCCAATTGGGGCTTTCAGGACACACCCCCGTACGACTCCTACAGCATCGCTGCCACCACCACCGCCGCCGGCGCCACTCCTCTCTTCCAGACTGCCTCCCCGTGGGAGCTCTCTCCGAATCAGCATCAGCATCACCAGCTGCCCAACGTCACCCAGGGCCTTGACCAGTCCATCGTCGCTCAGGCCGGCTTCTATGCCACTCCCACCCCTCCCAACCATCACCAACGAGGAGGCCAACCCCATACCCTCCCCCAAGAGACCCTGAATCTCCTCACGCCCGCCCAGCAGGAGAAGCTGCGAAATATTGCCATGCCGGCCCACCTCCAGTACCAGTCACCCAAGAGCGAACCGAGCCCCGGATCTGCCACGAGCGACCACAAGGCAGCAGGACTGTCCTCCCCGGATGCCCACGACAGCAAGGCGAGCAGGAAGCGCAAGTCCTCCGCCGACATCGACGACGACGATGACGAGGACGACGAGAACCACCCCGTCAAGAAGACGGCCCACAACATGATCGAGAAGAGGTATCGGACCAACCTGAACGACAAGATCGCCGCGCTTCGGGATAGCGTGCCCAGCCTGAGGATCATGTCCAAGAGCGCGAGGGGAGAGGACACGACCGAAGACCGCGAGGAACTCCACGGCTTGACGCCTGCTCACAAGCTGAACAAGGCTACGGTATGTCGCGTGGACGGACGATAAGGACAATACTGACAATCGCAGGTTCTGAGCAAGGCCACCGAGTACATCCGCCATCTCGAAAAGCGAAACAACCGATTGATCGACGAGAACAGCGCCATGCAGAACAGAATCGCCGCCTTTGAGAAACTCTTCATGGCCGGCGCGATGAACGGCGCGATGAGCCCGCTCCAGCAGCCCCCGACGCCGATGCAGTACGCGCAGGACCAGTACATCAACACGCCCATCGGAACGCCGCGCGGCGAGGCCCAGGGCATGATTCCCGTACCCGACGACATGAAGCGCATCATTTCCGCGCAGATGGCCGCCGGCCAGCCGTACCCCGTGCCGCAGCAGGCCTACCGCGGAAACCCGAACCAAATGCGCCAGCAACAGATCCAGCAACAGCAGCAGCAGATGCAGCAGCAGGGCCGCTGGACCGGCGGCGCTCAGTACTACGGCAGGATGATGGTCGGCTCCCTCGCCGGTCTCATGATCATCGAGGCCGTACGAGAGAACGAGCAGAGCAACGAGACCCCCGAGGGTCGCGGCCTCTTTGCCCTTCCCGTCCAGTTTCTCAGCTATCTCGGATCAAACTCGTCGCACATGCACATTGGCGGATACCACATTTCGCCGGCTCAGATCATTTCGCACCTCAAATTTTTGCTCTTCCTTGGCACGTTCTTGTGGGTCTTTGTGCCCTCCCTGTTCGTCCCGTCCGACAAGAAACCGAAAAAGTCGCACCAGCTCCGAGAGTCGCTTCAGGCGGCCGGGTCCGTCGCGTCGCCGATTCACGTGCGCCGGCAGGCCTGGCTGACGGCCATCCAAACCGTCTGGGTTCCCAAGCACAACTTCGTCCTCGAGGCTGCGGCTCTCATCCTGAAGACGATGAAGCTCAGCCTGCGAAACGCCATTGGCGTGCACGGCTATCAGATGCTCACCGGACTCACCGAGGAGCAGGAGGCTGCCCGCGTCAAGGCCTGGTCTATTGCTTTGGATGCTCAGTTGGCTGGAGGTGACGTTGAGATCAACAAGAGCCGCCTCACCCTTACCCTCTTGGCGTCCGGCACCCTCCCCGATACCCCGTCTCGGTTGATGCTCAAGGCCCTCCACGTCCGTGTCCTCCTCTGGGATCTCGGCTCCAAGGGGCTGCACAACTTTGTCGCTAAAAAGGTTGCCCGCTCGCTCTGGAACGACGCGAGAAACATGAACCGTGTTCTTGCCCAGCAGCGCCGCAACTCGGAGCAGGTCGAAGACGACCTCCCCGAGCACTTGGCCGCCCTCATCGAGCTGGAGTGCGACGATGTCCTCAACAACAGCGTTATCCAACGGGCCTACAACCTGGCGTGGAACCTGTCCACGACCGAGGGCGTCACCGAGCAAAACGACGGAATGGACGCCGTCGTCGATGACCAGGCTGTGCGCTCTCCCCTTGACGCGGTCGCCGCTTGGTGGTCCAGCCAGACCATCCAGCGCGCCCTCGTCACCAGCCTCGAGGCCACCAAGGACGACGGCGACGCTCCGAGAGTCGTCTCAACCTGCCTGGAAACCGCCCTCAAGACTGCTCCCATCGGCTCCGGTGTCCAGGCCCGCGCCCTGGTCGCCCGCGCCGTCCTTGTCGACGAGAAGCGCGGTGCCAACATCGCCTCTGCCCTCCAGAACATCCAACCCTCTGCCGAACAAAAGTCTTTGACCTCATTCGCTGCCATTATCGATTCTTCGTCCTCTGCCCAGTCCCCCGATGTCCAGATGGCCCTGAAGTGCGCCATGGCCATTGCCCACCTCCAGCGCGCCAAGTCCACCGCCGCCTACCCTCAGGAAGGCCTCCGCCTCGTTGAAAAGATTGCCCGCCCCAGCGCCACCGCCAACATGTCCCTCCTCGGCTGCACCGCCCTGTTCAAGCTCATGGAGGAGCTCTACGCCCACCGATCTTCGACCGAGTCTTTCAGCACGTCGCTCGAGCGCCTCGCCGGTAGCCTGCGCATCTGGATCGGCAGCGCACCGGGTGAGAAGTGTGGTCTGGAGCAAGACGTCCGCCACAAGATGGTGGATCGCTGCCTCGGCATCACAAAGAGCGTCGTCGGCATGGAGACCGACACCGGCTACGGCAGTATGAGCGAGTGCGAAGAGGACGGGTGCTGATAATCTTTTTCATTCTTATCTAGAGGCGGTATCTCCCCTTACTACATACTAGATGCACTTATTTTCATTTATTGTATTTTCTAAGGGTAGGGCATGGGCTTGGGCGTCTACGAGTGGTGGATACGTGTGTTTGACTGGCGTTACGTACGGAAGCAACGCGACGACGGCTGGAAAAGGCTGGGACCAGCGGATTTTGCATGAGGAGCTGACATTGATCCCCACGAGGATTGTCAAGGTATGGGACTGGCGGGGCATACGATCTGGGGACATATACGTGTCGGCTTCAAAAGTTGCACTGAAATTTCTTGTAATTGACTGACGGCCGTGGGCCTCTACTATGTAGAATCAATATCGACATGTGTCTTTGCGGGTCTGAGTAGCGTGGACTGTGAGAAGTGACCGCGGTAAGGGGATGAGTTGTGATTAGGCTTTGAGGGGGTTTGTCCGCTTCCAGCAGGTGCCGAACCAATGCGACCCTGACTGGTACAGCCGGCGGGATTGATTTCTGTGAGTTGTCCTGCGTTCGGCTTCACTTCTGACCTTGCGAGCGATAGGTACTCTCATAATATACAGGAATTCGAGATCAATAGTCATGCAAGACCACGGCACTACGGCACTCACTCCACGAGCTGTTGAAGACCACCACGTCTGGAGACAGCGGATACGGCACGGCAGTCCACCCCAACCGAGCCCGCATCTCCACCATACAAAGGTGCAGGCCCCACCCGAGATAAACAACACCGGCCACTATCGGATCCGAGCAACGTCGTCTGCCACCGGCACATGACCTCCCAAAAGAGAACCCTACCAGGGCCTGGTTATCAACGTCGCGGTACGTGCCTGCTCGAACGGGATTCGGATGCCGCGTGGTTATCTAGAGCCGTCGCTGACTCTCCTGCAGGACTGGGATGTCAAACCGGGCACCTGCAGCATCGCCAGGGAACGATGTCTCAACGGCGATTGCGCAGGAGTAATAGCCCACGAGCTGAACGCTTCTTCCAGCCAGAGACATACCTGCCAAACGACAACTCCCACATCGGTTCGCGGTGCTCCTCGTCGACAGCCACAAATCGGAGCTCATCCTGACATGCCCTCCCTTGGACGACCTGCCCAATGACGGCAACGGGTGACCCCAATTACAACTCCCCGCATCCCAATGGACACCACCCTCACGGACGAACCCAATCAGACGTCGACATCGCCGGCCGCCATGTGACGCAAGATTGCATCTGCGCAAGGGAGCTTGTCGTGTTGAGATGGCCCTCTCCGTCCTGCTTTTATTGACCTCGCTTGCCTCGGTGGACTAATCAACGGTGGCGGCCATCAGGGGACGGGCAAATCATGATGAGGGCTCCGCCGGGCGTACCTTCCCCTTCTCGCGGGACCGGCAGGATGTCCAGGAACGGCCAACGGGCCAGGAACGAGGTGTCGAGGACGGTTGACGGCGGTTCAAAAAGGCGGCGTTGCCCTGGGACCTGTGTCCGCGGTAAGAGCTCGCCACATCGCCCGTCATGCCTCGACACTCTCGCTCCGGCCTCGAGCTGCCTCGGCGCTCCTTCTTCGCCGTCTTCGCGCTCGTCTCGTTCGTGCTCCTCGCCACCTTCGCTTTCTCCAAGGGCTCTCCGCAGACGCTGAACATCCGGCGCGATGATACCTGGAAGTCGCAGCTGAAGGCCAAGACGCGCGCCGCCCCGGCCGGCGACAAGTACCTGATCGGCGCCGGCAAGGCTGACATCACGGGCCCCGTCGTCGAGATCGGCTTTGCCGGGTACGCGGACCTGGACCAGGTGGGAACCGGTCTGCGGCAGAGGATCTACAGCCGTGCTTTCATCGTGGGCGACGTGAGCAAGCCGGACGACCGGTTCGTGTATCTCGTGTTGGATACGCAGGGCGGTGACACCGCTGTTCGCAATGGCATTTTGGAGGGCGTCAAGGCTCTTGGGTCGGGCTATTCCATGTACAACAAGAACAACATCGCCGTGACTGGCACGCACAGCCACGCTGGGCCGGGAGCTTGGTTCAACTACCTGCTGCCTCAGATTACCAGCTTAGGATTCGACAAGCAGAGTTACCAGGCTATTGTGGACGGCGCTGTGCTCTCCATCAAGAGGGCTCACGAATCCCTGACTGAGGTATGTTACATGCAATTGTGGTGAACTTGGCTGACCATCTAGGGCTACCTCGACGTGGGGACCACCGAGATCGCGGACGGCGCCATCAACCGCAGTCTGTATGCGTACCTGGCCAACCCGGACGCAGAAAGGGCCCAGTACTCGGCCAGCACCGACACCACCCTCACTCTCCTTCGCTTCCAGCGGGCCTCCGACGGGAAGAACATTGGCGTCCTGACGTGGTATCCCACGCACGGCACGTCGATCCTCCAGAACAGCACTCACGTGGCGGGCGACAACAAGGGCGTCGCCGCGTACCTCCTCGAGAAGGACCTCGCCGGCGACTCTAGCGCGGCCGAGGGCTTTGTCGCGGGCTTCAGCCAGGCCAACGTTGGCGACACCTCTCCCAACGTCCTCGGCGCGTGGTGCGATGACGGTTCCGGCCAGCAGTGCAGTTTCGAGAACAGCACCTGCGCTGATGGGAAGAGCCAGTCGTGCCACGGAAGGGGTCCGGCTTTCCAGAAGCTGGACCTTGGTATTTCCAGCTGTTATGAGATTGGCAGGCGTCAATTCGCCGGTGCCAAGAGCGTCTATGTAAGTCTGCCGCCGCCGTGACAAAACGCGACTGACCAGATAGACTGCCCTGGCCTCCTCGGCGACACCCGTCACCGGTACCAGCGTCAAATCGTTCCACTTCTTCCAGGACATGTCGTTCTTCAAGTTTCCCCTGGCAGACGGCACCATCGGCCAGACCTGTCCCGCAGCTCTTGGCTACTCCTTCGCTGCCGGAACCACGGACGGCCCCGGTGCATTCGACTTCACCCAGGCTGACTCCAACGACCCGGACGCCAACCCCCTCTGGAAGGTCGTCTCCGGCCTTCTACGAACCCCCACCCCGGAGCAGGCCGCCTGCCAGCAACCGAAGCCCGTCCTCCTCGACGTCGGCGAACTGAGCACTCCCTACGCCTGGAGCCCTAACATCGTCGACATCCAGATGCTCCGCGTCGGGCAGTTCGTCATCGTCGTCGCTCCCGGTGAGGCCACCACCATGTCCGGCCGCCGCTGGAAGGCCGCGGTGAAGGAGGCTGCCAAGACAATCGTTGACGATGAACCCATCGTCGTCCTCGGCGGCCCCGCCAACACCTACGCAGTGAGTTGCCTCCCCCCATTCCCTCGTCTTGACTAACACTCCCAGCACTACATCGCTACCCCTGAGGAATACGGCATCCAGCGGTACGAGGGTGCGTCCACGCTCTTTGGCCCCAACACCCTCCCCGCCTATATCAACCTCACCGTCTCCAACATCGGCTTCCTTGCACCCTCCTCCACCTCCACCCCGCCCGCCGGCCCCTCGCCCCCGGACAACCGCCAGAACTCTCTCTCCTTCATCACCGGCGTCGTCGTCGACGGCACCCCGGCCGGGAAGTCTTTCGGCTCAGTTGTAACCCAGCCCTCGGCCTCTTACGCCCGCGGCGCCGTCGTCAACGCCACCTTCCAGGCCGCCAACCCCCGCAACAACCTCCGTCTCGAGGGCACCTACGCCGCCGTCGAGCAGCTCCAAAACGGAGTGTGGACGCGCGTGCGCGACGACGAGGACTGGTTCCTGGTGTACACGTGGACCCGCACCAACTGGCTGCTGGGCCACAGCGAGGTGGTCATCAGCTGGGAGACGGGCGGCGACGGGGCCGCTGCGGGGACGTACCGGATCCGGTACTACGGGGACTCGAAGCCGTTGATCGGGTCGATCTCGGCGTTTGAGGGGGTGACGAATAGTTTTACGCTGACTTAGGGTGGCGGTTTGTAGTTGTGCTTGGATGGTTTAGTGTGGGGTCACCGGTCAGCGGATGGTATATGATTTCTAGTACTTAACGACGATGATGAATATGTATTGATGGAATTGTTTGCAGAACTGCTGTGATGGCTTCGTTTGTGAGTGAGTGGCAGTTTATGTATGCTCTGGGGCCTCGTAGGTGAATCATCAAACTCGAGAGCAGCTTGTTTTATCCGTCTACAAGATCGCCTCCCTCGGTCTTCGTCCTTACTTTCTTCTTTCCCATTGTTATCAATGCTTCTGTATTTGCTTGACATCGCTGTTGCTCCTTGTTCCTATCGTCCTTGTACACTCGTCGTTTATTACCCTTGCTTTCCCTATTGTCCCTGTTGTCGTCGTTGTTCCTAATGTCCATCATCCTTGCAGTATTCATCCTCCGTGGTACCGGTTTCCCTACTTAACCGACACGCCCAACCCAGAAACTCCCAAGAGTCCACCAGAAGCAGTCACAGTCCAAGGCAAACTTCACTTCTTCCCCGGGAAGCCACCCGAATCTCGGGAAGTTGAGCCTGCCGTCCGTCCCGTCATCGCTACCCAAGATGACCCGCCGGACCGCAGCTTCCAGCTTTCATAGCCCATACCATCCGCTCTCGTCTCCTATATGATCTTTCCCCCTTCTCGTCTGCTCTTCTCCCCTGTCTTGCTCTCTTCCCAGCCGCACATCACTTCTCTTCTTTCTTGGGAGCGTCATCGAGTCAAGACTCCGTACAGACGACAACATCCTTCACTCGTGGATTTTTGGGACCCTTCTATCAACGACAACCCGCATCTCAACCGAGTAACGCTTCGCATCATCAACGGCCAATACTATATAACGGACTCTGACTCCGCATATTCGTCCTCCGCCCGCTCGTCCTCCGCATACGCCATGAATAACCGGCCACCGTTTGCAGCGTCCCCAATGTCCACGATGGCACTAGACGCAGCCTACTAGCGGCAGGACAGCGACAACCCCGCCATCAACTTGATAGTCAGGGGGATCAACTGGGAAGACTTTTTCTTCTTCCAAACAAGCAACTTCAGAGAGGCCTGGCCTTGGTACCTGCACAAGGTGTACGAGCTCGCCCACACTTTGGGCCACAAAAAGCTTTCTTTTGACTACGTCGTCTACTTTGGCCTGAAAAACCTGTGCTACCGTATTCGTGAGTATTTGGCGGCGCGCAACCACGAACTACTACACGCACGTATTAGGTACTGACTCCTAGGGTCCAGCCCACTTGCGGGTTGTTTACAGGTCATTCGTGGCTTTCAAGCCGGTGCCGCCCCGGGCTCCCATCGGCACCGCGTAGGACCTCGGATACGCCGCTTGGCTGGCATTTTATCGTTCCGCGTTCTGGGAAGTATATAGGCGGGAGATCGAGGAATAATCCGGCAAGGGCCCCGAGCCTCCCAGTCTACCTTGACTGAATACTCCACGAGAGGGGATGACGGATTACAAAGGCACCAGAGCAGATAAACGGCGGTGGGGAGCAGGAGGATAGGATGACGTGGGCTGAAGATAGAAGATATCCTGAATCGATGCCAACACTTCTCCCCCCCC